GAATTTGCGACATTGAAGAAAAGAGCCCCTGTACTAATATGTTTAGGGTGATTTAGGCCTTTTATGTCTGCCTCGAAAGTCGAATTGTTCCGCCGGCAGAAGGCCGTTGGGAAACACGTGCTCGTTGAGCCTGTTTAATAAAAGCCGCTCCTAGAGCTTCCCCAGGCAACTGAGGAGGCTGATGGGACGATAACTAGAGGGCTGGTTGCCTGGTTTATTCGGCTTGCGAATGCCGATAACCGTGGCTTCTTTCCAGTCGTCCGGAAAGGAGCAACTGGAGAGTAAAGTATTGTAAATGGTCGCCAGTAAACAGATAAGCTTTAAGAATTTTGTTACTAATATTATCTGGGCCCGGGGCGGATTTGAGTTTTAAGTTTTAATAATATCTTGAACCTCTTCGGGGGTCACTGAATTCAAAGGATCGCCTTCTGGTGTAAGCGCAGCCCTAATCTCGATTACGCGGTCCACCTCCGTTAGGTGGGCTGCATCGATGTGTTCGCGCGATGGCGTACATTGCCGCTCTAGGTTGTCCGCAAGGCATTCGGCTTTTTCGGAGTCATCTAGGGCTACTGAAGCGCTATTAGGTCTAACTAACGGCGGTAGAGATTCGCGGGGGTCTTCTTTCAGACTGCGGGCCAACCGCCAGTAGGCGGTGTGCGATGGCTCGATGTCCTCTAGGAGAGTATCCCACGTTGTATGTCGGTGTTCCGATACACGATCTTTGACTTCTAGCTGAAGGCGTCGAAGTAGGGTTCGGTTATCGGTCGATACTCATTTTTCTGCCTAATTAACAGTCGCAGGTCGGTCGGAAAGTTAATCCGTTCCGAGTGTGCGACTGTGGAAGTGATGGTTTCTCGGAGACTTGCTATCGCTCGATTTGCGTCATCGAACGTAGCTATCGTCTCGGGTAGGTCGACTAAGTTCTGGGGGTCCAAGGCCTTTAGTTTGACCTCAAGACGATGCCAGTCCACTACGGATTTGGTCGGAGGGACCGCGCCGGCGTTCTGGCCCAGTTTACACAGGACGGGCCTGTGATCTGAATCTAGTTCATGGATTGTCTCTATCGACTCGATGTCGAGCGAGACCTCCTTGAATAACATGATATCTAGGATACTCGGTGTCACGTGTTGGTAGTTGTCCACCGTAGGATACCTAGTGGGAGTCGCAGGAGCAATTATGGTAAATTCTAAATTATCGGATAAGCTAAAGAGCTGCTTTCCGTTGTTATTTGGGATGCTGTGGATGTCCCATGAGCCGTGTTTGCAGTTTAGATTGCTCAATTATCACGGAAGGGCATAAGTTGAGTAGCGTATCTAGGTTGCTTTGTAATAAGGTTTTGTTCCCCGAGAGGTAGGCTGAGACTAGTACAAGCGTCCTATGACCGGTGAGCGCTAACCTACAGGCGGATGCCTCTATATGGCTTAGCTCTGGAATGTCGAGCGGGCTACAGTGCAAGGACCGTTTGTAATAAATTAAGGTCCCTCCCAGACGGTTTGCTAACCGGTCGTGGTGGACTTTGTTGTAGTTTGCGATTCTGGGATCGCGAACAGTAGGTTTTAAGAAGGTCTCTTGTACTAGAAAAATATCTACATTATTATCGCGAAGGAAATCTGCGATTTCGTCCATTTGACCCTTAAAGCCGTTTGCGTTGAAATACGAAACAACCAGAGCCCGAGGTTTTGTTTTACCTGTGGTTGTACTTCCCATTAAAGTGTTTTTTATGGTTCTTAATTAGCGACGCGGCTGAGCGCGGACTAATAAAGTTTATGGTTGGCTTGTAAATGCCCAGAGGGCTTCTACAAGCATTTTATGTTCGCTAATGGCTTTAAAATGCGCGGTGCCAAATGTGGCGGCCGCTATTTTAGCGGACAATACGGTGAGTTCTTGTCTATTAATGCGGTCTAATAAGAAGCAGATGTTAGCAATTTGGGCGAACGGGTCGTCCTTGTTTTCGGCGAAAACCGACGGTGTCGACTGCACCTGCGGCGTCGGCGCTTTTGATAGGCGGGCTGCGATTGAGCGATTGTTCGTGAGGCACTCGGGGGCGCAACTGCCTGCGCGGCCACCTGGGGTTTCGCCCAGGTGTTTACGACGGGTACGGGCGCGGGAACGTATTTCACGGGCGCGGGTTTGGGCGAAGTTGATTTCGCGGGAGCTTTTCTCGCGGGAGTTTTTGGGGCCTTAGCGCAGCCCCTGTAGCTAGCCGGGTGGCCGGTGGTATGACAATTGACGCAGTCCGGAGGATCTGCGCAATCTTTCGGCCGCGTACAATCGGGCGTGCCGTGGTCACCGGTGCATTTGACGCACCTAGGGTGAGCGCGTGTTAGTTATGAATGATCGCGCGTAAAATAAACAAGTTGCGTATAAATCACGCACTTTTTAGATAAGTTCAAATGAATGTAATTAATTACTTACGAGTGATTTTAAATATTTATTATTTTTTTATAAATCATTACTTATGTCTAGAATTTAATTTAAAAAAATGGATACACTTAGAAAATCCTCCCTGTATACATCTTATCCTTTAAACGTGCAATTCTTGTATATATATATCTTGTATATATATATATATATATATATATATATATATATATAATCGTAATCTCGGAAACGGCTCCAGCGATTTTCATGAAATTTAGTATGTGCGTAGATTCGGGGGCGAAAAATCGATCTAGCTAGGTTTTATTTTTAGAAAATGTCCTTTTATCCCTGTTTTTAGGGAATGAAAAATATCATTCGAATATGACGGTAAATTTCGCTGCAAAAGAAAATGTTATAATAGCTCGGTCGGTAATCGGGCGGCACCAAAACAGACGCACAATTAATGCTGCGTACATGTGCATGCATCTATATAAGACTGAGCTCTGGGCATGCTTTGATTTTGTAAGAGGGACATTAAATAGATTGGTGCCTCCTAGACAGCGTGTTTGGATACGAAGACGCAATTTTTCTGGCAAGGTAGGACAGTCTACGTGGTCATGTAATACTTTATATAAAACCCGCATATCGGAAGTAATTCGCCTATTAGATACAGATAGAAGTTTATATTCCCTGAGCGAGATATTATAGTTGCACGTGGATTTTTTGTCAAAATAATTTAAAAATTATAAAATTTAGTATAAGTTTTGATTTCTTATACATTTTCCTACGTTTTATGTTTTATTATTTTCTTTGATTAAGAAAATTAAAGGTATAATAAATATAAAGGGCCTGGAGTCACGAAAAATACCCAATCTTATTTATTTGTCGACCTAACGACATCAAGTACGGTTTTTCATTATTAAGAGTTGAACTATGGAGAGTAGATTATAAAAGTGTCCGTCAAAGCGCATTTAATGGTGGTAGCGTAGAATAAATTTTAAGCCCGATTTGCACTGGTCAAGTGTCACATAAAGTTTTATTTCTGTTTTTTTTTATATTTAAAGGAAATTTAAATATTAATTTGAGTATTGAAACACGAATTACGAGCAAATGACTTCCGTAGCAAATCCGGTAAAAATTTGAACGCTTGTTGTTGAAGAAGCAATGGAAATTATATGTTTACAACTATGACAGAAAATAGAAAACAATCTCGTTAGGATGCCGCTTATTAAATGGGATAAACAGCCTGAACATAAATAAAAATCTCACAATTCCACCTGTTTTCCAATCTGCTGAACGTAGTCATGTCAATGGAATTAGAATAAGAACACATGCATCAGCTTTTCCATTAAGTTTCGTACCTGTATTATTATATCTACTTTTTTATGTAAGAAAATGGCAAACGAGCTGGCCTGATGTTAAGTGCTACGCGCTGCCCATCGACATTTGCCACACCCGTAGGGTTGCAAATGCGTCGCCACCTATAAATAAAGTGCGCTTCGGCTACCTCACTCACCAAACGAAACGTAGAAGTCTATAACACTTCCACTTTACGCCGGTCTTCTGTGAAGTCACCTGCCCATTCGTGCAACAGTGAACACTGTTGCGTGGTCCAACCACAGTGAAAGTTATAAAATATGAAGGTTAGATAAATATATTTGCCAAAGAGGGTTAAAGTCACCAGGCAGAAGGTCAGTCATAAAAATAAAAACAATAACTGAACTAACAACATGGTTCCGAAAATAAATGATGGACATTTTATACCGACCCCACAGTGTGGGATAAGGGCAAGAGAAAAATAAGTGTTATGTAAAGTAGACAAGTACAGTGAGTAATTACAGTAGTGTAAACTGTCCGACAGTGGTGAGTCAAGTTGACTTGCAAGCTGCTTTGCAACTAGACCCAAATAGAATAGCTTTCTAATTTCTGGTGCAAGCACACCACGCGCGCTCAATTAACCTCGGCGGGGCACTTGACTTTTCACTTGCCGTAGTGAAATTAGTATAATGACAGGCAACAGGCAACAAAACTTGCACGTATTGCTTGTCCACTTCGACAGAGAAATGCCACTGTACTTGATGTAGCGTAAACAGCCACTTGTCCCGTGCCCGCCACTGGCCACTGTACTTTTATTCACTTTTCGCCACTTTCCTTGTAAATCGATTTTTAAAGAAAGCGCCAAAAGTAATTAAAATATTTTATCATTCATAATCATAAATCAAATATTTTTAGAAGTACGGTAATAATATTGGTACGGCAATAATAATATCGTACAAAAAAATCATAATACAATTTTTTACAAAATTAAATTCCCGAAAATTTTTGTTTAAAAACTTCAACATTTTTGCTGCAATATCCTTCAATGTATTATTCTATTCATGTGGAAATTAAGGCAAAAATCTTTGCGCTATTTATTATTTATAAGTTTTTTAATAATATCATTTTAATAGAGGGTTTTAAGGGGTTTTGACTTAAACTTTAGGGACAAATATTTTAGGGAGTTGGTAGCACTGGAAGGGGAAAACGTCAAAGCAAGCATGTTTGTTTGTCATAACCACAAACTTCTGGGTTGCTGTTTAATGTTTTTGCCGTGTGCAGTTTGCAGTTATCATCGTTAAAATTGAAATCTTTTTATCAAAATGTGTTCTGTAGAACAGAAACCCGTGTTCCGTGATCTAACAGCCGAGGATCCAGAGCCGGAGGTCACTGAAATAGAATCTTTTTGCATGAATTGTCACGCAAATGTAAGTCGAATTGCGATATTCTAGAATTTTCCAGAAATATTTTTATTTCATTTGCTAAATTCCCATTAAGTTTAGAAAATTACATGACGCTCGCTTTAAAGTGTTGTAAAACTATATGTGAGCTTCAATAATTAGGTTATAAATATATTTCTGGCTTTTATGTTTAAAGAGTTACTGTTTAGTTTCTTGCCGGTTTCTTCTCATCAGAAACTGCTTTCCATACCGGGGGTAACTTCGAACGTATTAATTTCTTTGTAAAATTTCGACGTCTCATTAGAATCAGCAAGCGTGAATAAAGATATTTTATTATTAAGAGATAAGCTAAGGGTTACGTTAATGTGTCTTTTCTAATTTCCAGGGCATTACACGACTTCTTTTGACCCGCATCCCATACTATAAGAATGTTGTCATCATGTCGTTTAGCTGTGAGCAGTGTGGTTTTGAGAACAATGAAATCCAGCCTGGGGGCGCATTTGCCGAGCTTGGGGTAAGGTGAGCTATTGCAACGCTATTACTTTCCATAACTATGATATTGAACTTGGCGTGTTGAATGGTTAAGAGAATGTTTATAATTATTATTCATGCTCATTGCTGTCTGGTGAATTCTGCTTGTTTATTATTTAATTAATGTTTTTTTCTTCACCGAATAAAACTTTTGTTTGGTTGAAAAACACCATCTATCATTTAGAATTTATTTCAATTGAAATATGTGCCCATCAATGAATATTTACCCAGCTTACATGTATTTGCTTTAAAGCTCTTATTATCGTTCCAAATATGTGTATATATATATAAAGCTTTTATTTGCCATGGGGTTTGGCCAAAAATAGACAAGTAGAACAGAGTCAGTCTTTTCATAAAAAAACTTTCATTTCGTAACTTTTTCTTCTAACATGCGTTATAAGAAAAAGTTATCAAGAAAAGAAATTTAGAAATAAACAATTGAAGTAGTAGATTCTCGAACAACACATGCCTCCCCGTCATACGACAATGTTCAGCAAAAACTGTTATTGTATGGCCATTAGGATATATAATAAATTACCAAATAGATTAAAAACTTTGAATTTAAAATTGTATAAGCGAAATTTGTTTAACTTTTTGATAAGTAAATGTTATTATTCCACAGGGTTTTTAAATGTTATTAATTTATAATTAAATGTTATTATTTGTTATTTCAATTATAAAATTTTATAAAAACAGTTTTCCTAGATTATATTTACTTTTGTTTTGTTTTCTTTTGCATGTTTTAATCTAAAACGAAATATTTGTACACCAGAAATGGTAGAACATAAAGGATCTACAGCTTTTAAGACCTATATTGTACCATGTTCTAACAAATAAACATATCTTTCTTTCTTAGATATTGACAATTGTAATCCATTTATTGACAATTGTTTTAAATAAAAGATCAACATAGCTTTCATTACTACTACACTAGTAGATAATGTTGTGTAAAAATCAGTCTGCAGCTGTGTATTGTGTAAAAACATTTGTTAATTGAACATGTGTGGTAATAATGTAGGTAATTACCGAAAATTGTGGGTGCTGCTACAGGTTAAAGTAATAAATACAGCCCTTTTATTATTTTTAGATGGAAACTTCGAGTGGAAAACCGGATAGACTTAAATCGACAAATCGTAAAGACTGATTACACAAGCGTGAAAATACCAGAAGTGGATTTTGAAATACCAGCGCAAAGTCAAAAAGGAGGTCTGTGTTTATTTTTATGATCTCTAATGTCAAATTCATATAGTCTAAAAGCACACTCTTTATGGTATGTATCACTATAAGTAATCAGGAACAGTTAAAATAACAGAGCGTCCGCACTTGATCAACGTTTATTGCTTTTGTGACACAAATAATTTGAACCTACCATCAAATGAATATAATTATTTATAATTGACCTACTTATAATTGAACAATTATAGTAATTGGGCACAATATTGCTATTTGACTTACCAGTTTTGTTACATTGTTAACATACTTTACAGTGGTTTGTCCGTGTAAGTTCCACGACTTCACAGAAGACCGGCGTAAAGTGGAAATATAATACTTTCGCGTTTCGTCTGGTGAGTGAGGTGGCCGGTGGCCTATTTTTAAAAGGTTGTCAACACATCTGGAACCCTCGGGTGTAGCAGATGTCCATGGGCGACGGTATTCACTTAACATCTGGTAAACCGTCTATTAGTCTGGCAACTTTGACATTAAAAAAATGTAGATAACATAAAGTTAAAAGTTACCAAGGATGCCTTAAACTGTTCTTACCTTGGTTTATGTAGCCATAGAAGTATAGATGTGACAAAAGAGGATTGCATGAAATGTGAAGAGAGTATCTGCGATGGTAAAAACAATGCCTATCCCTATGAATTGCAGAGGTGACTACGGTAGAAGGCATAATTGCCCGAGTGATATCGGGCCTCACACAGGACCAGGAAACGAGGAGGGCGGAGCACCCGGACGCCGCGGCGCAAATCGACGCCTTCGTCCTTCGCTTGCAAGCGCTGAAAAACATCGAGAGACCGTGGACACTGCTTCTCGAAGATATTAGCGGTGAGTGACTCGAGTATTGTCTTATCAACTAAATTGTCTTATAACTGAAATTGAAATAAAAAATCCCAATTAGTTTCAATTTAAATAAATCTAGAAAAATGTACTGTTTGGCATTAAAACTTTTCTTACGCTTATTTTTCTCTGCCCAAAAGAGCAAAATTTTGAAACACTGAATGCTTTTGTTTTGCCCCTACTTTAGGATAGCATTATCCTGTGTTGTAAGGATTGCTTACAAACATAAATTACATATTGAGAAACACCCAGATCCGAAACAATTATTTGTGCATAACATAAATAGTTGTCTCGTGTGGGAATCTACTTCACGACCCCTGGTTTCAAAGCCGATACCTTGGCAACACCACCACAGAGTGATCAAGTGTGTAATATTAATATTATGTTGATTTATTTGTTTATTAACAATCAGTTGCAAGCAGTAACATTAAGATATGTGATATGTGAGTTGTTTCATTTAATCATTACTTCCTTACTAATATTATAAAGGCGAAAGTTAGTATGTATGGATGACTATTTGTTACTCTTTCACGCATATACTACTGAAGGGATTTTAATGAAACTACAATAATGTTGTTTATACCTTATACACCAAAATAAGACGTAGGCTATAATTTATATACATATTTTATGTATATCTGTCATTCTATCTGAATGTTAAGCCTTCAGCCTATTCTACGCAGACGTAGTCGCGGGCGGCAGCTAGTGGAAAATGAAAATGTTCCTAATGTTACTTTCATCTCTTACGATGGATGCCTTTGTCGCTTCCAGGCAACTGTTTTGTGGAGAATCCTGAAGCACCGAGCAAGGACCCGCGCTGCGACAGGACCGACTTCCCCAGGACCAAGGAGCAGGATCACGCCCTCGGCGTATTTACCCACGAGGAGGTTGGTAAAATTTTTAGGTTTCAGTACCCAAAGGTTGAAAACGGGAATGTGCAACAGCTAAGACTATTAGGTGTTAATTATTTTGAGATTTATCTTAAAATAATCTTTTAGTCATAACTCTACCATTAAGTTGAGTCGCTCTTCCGTCACCTTAAAAAGACTGGTATCGGTTCTTACACGTGATCAGACCAGCGGGCAGGTGAGGCGAGGGGAGGGGGCCGGTCAGCTAATAGGTCGCAGTCTCTGCCACGAACACTTTCAAATAGACCTCAGCCGATACCACCGGCAACATCTCTTGTTATTTTAAGTAAATTGCAAGTCGTATTCATTCGAATGTTACACAAGTTATTTAAAAAAGAAAGTGCGTGGAGTCCGTACGCGCGCAAGAAGTGAAATGCCACGCATTCGCTCTCGCTCTGTCTCTTTCTACTCCCGCTCCCCAGGAGCGTTGAGCGTTTAACGCAACAGCGCTCTCACACCACCTCCACGACAGCGTTAAACGTTTAACGCAACCTTATTTAATTTTCCAACAGGTGAGTGCCACAACCAACGGGGATGCCTCGGAGATCCCAGAAATCGGCTCGTACGATGGAATGGCTGCGGAGGAGGTCTTGCAGTTCAGGACCAACTGTCCCGACTGCAACGCTCCTGCTGACACCAACATGAAGCTGACCAGTGAGTTTATACAAACATTTTTTCTCTCTTTCATATTCCACCCTTTTCTCTCTGTGTTCCTTTCCTCATTTGTAACTTCAAAATTTGTATTTTATCTAAAAATTCCAAAATTTTTCATTTTTACCTATAAGTTGTTCTGCAGTTAAGCAGACTGAATTTGATTTCCTCTTACATTGTTTTCTTGCGTTATTGAAAGAAATTTATATAATTTCTTGGGGGGTTTTTATTCTAGAAAGAAAAAAAGATTAGGGTACAATTTTAGTTTTCACAAAATTTTTTATAATACACTCACAACGATAAACACTTTAGAAACATGAATGGCCTCTCAATCTCTTAACTTGGTGTTTCCTGTTAATTTCAGAAATCCCCCATTTCAAGGAAGTGGTGATAATGGCGACAGTCTGCGAGGCGTGCGGCCATCGCACAAATGAGGTAACATTATCATCTAGAATTATGTTATAAACAATTTTTGTGTAAAGGGTTATCTCTAGAATGGCTCATTTTTTTTAGTATACAATCCATATTTATAGATTAAATTAAATTGAAAAAATCTGAAAAGCTTGTTTGTCAGATTCGAAGTATCGAAAACTGTTTCCGTGACGCAGTCGTCTAGATATTGACTTCGGCGCGGGTTCGATTCCCACGGTATTTATTAAGGTTTTTTCCAACATTATCATTTTCTTCTCAAGCTTATTCTTTTTTGTTTTTTTTTTGTTTATGGGAGAAAGTCGCATACCAGCTGGCGGTTCACCTTATGTTAAGTGATAACTCCGCTCATGGACGTCTGCAACACCCGTACAGCTGCAAATGCGTTGCCACCTTTGAATAAAGTGGGCCCTGGCTACCTCACTCACCGGAAGAAACGGAGAACACTTCTACTTTACGCCTGTCTTCTGTGAGGTCGGGGTACCCGGATGGACCTGCCCATTCCTGCAACTGCATGGTCCTACCACATAACACTTTTTATCTATTAACGTGTGCGTCGCTCTGATCCGTGGTTTTTGAGAAAATAAATTCACCATCAATGGCTGCATCGCCACTTACCATCAGATGGTATGGCAGTCAAGTGCTGGCCAGTTATTCAATTAAAAAAAAAACCTTTTACCGTGCACTTTGTTATTATTCAACTCCAATTAATTGTTAACTTAGAAAGATCCTTAGCATATTTGTTCCGATGTCATATTTTTGAACTTATCTTACAGGTCAAGTCTGGCGGAGGGGTAGAGGAGAAAGGTGTGAAGTTTGAAGTGAGGATAGCGGGCAGGGATGACTTCTCCAGAGACATATTGAAGGTAATTTTTGAGATTGTACAGCAGGATTTCTTGTATTAATGCAACCTGCTAAATAAGAATGTTTTACAATGTTAAATTCGGTGGCGCTGTTGCTAAGCTATTGGCTTTGCGTCGGGGGTCGTGGGTTCGATTCCCACACGGGACAATTTTTTGTGTGACCCACGGATAATTTTTCAAGGTTCGGAAAAAACATAGCCAAAACCGCTTACGTGATTCATATGTTGTGCTGCAAGCCATTCACCCAACTAGGTGGGATAAGGGCATGACATGCTGTTTTGCAAGACATTAAAGTAATATATTTGCTGGTATTTGGCTTTCAGCAAGCACACGCGGACTATCAATTCACTAATTCAGAACTTATTCTAAGAAAACAGAGAATAGATAATAATAATAAAATAGATGATGAAAAAATAATAATATAATAAAATAATTATATCGGAAAGCAGTTTCTGTTGAGAAGAAACCGGCAAGAAACTCAACAGTTGCTCTTTTATAAAAGGTCAGTTTACAATATAATGTTACAGGTATAATAGTCTTGTTTTAGCCTATGTGAGTATCAACAGTATTAACCCCACACATTGGCGTCGTCAAGATATTCAGCAATAGTATAGTATAGTATGCTTTAGCCATAAGTTTACTTTTAACTTTTCGTTTAAATTCATCAAGTGGCAGACTTAATATCGACTGTGGGATTTTATTATACATGCGCACCCCTTGCCCCATGAACGACCTGTTTACTTTTTGTAGACGAAACAATGGCGTAGTTAGTTTGTCCTTATTTCTAGTATTTAGTTTGTCTATTGTGTCATATACATTTATATGTATATTATAAAATTATATGATATATTTCACCATCATTCTCTAACTTTAAGGGACCTCTTAGGACGGAAAATTTAAGTGCTTCGTTTTCAGCACCGCTTAAGCTTCACCTTTAGGCGAGTGGAGCCCTTATTCGTAAGACTTTAGTCATAACCGGTACCCCTTATTCGGTGAAAGTGATTTTTGGTGATGGGCTGATTTGGGGAATCACTTAGGTTAGTAAGGGAGCATTTTAGGGTACAATGGTGGAAACGGGCATAAGACTACTATAATGAAACGGCCTATTTGAGAGCAGGCTTGAAATCGTCTCGTTTGAATCGTCCTCATTTTGGTTTACTTTAAACAGTTAAACTTATTTTGGTTTTCCATTCAGTCTGAGACGTGTAGTATGGCGATACCAGAACTGGACCTGGAGGTGGGCGGCCGGGCTCTAGGCGGCCGCTTCTCCACCCCCGAGGGTCTCCTCCAGGCGGCGGTGCACCAGCTCAAGAACGCACCTGGTCTCACGGGGGACGCACCGGCCATAGCTCAGGAGAAGCTAGCAGGGTGGGTCCACTTTGGGCGCGTTTTTAGTATGCCCACTACTCATCATCATCATTTCAGCCTGTCTGAGTCCACTGCTGAAAATAGGCCTCCCCCACAGGCTGTCACCACTATGACTACTGATGACTTATAGCTTCGGCTAGCATGGGACATATTTGTGTGACCCACATAGATTGTTTCGGATCATATTAGCACAGGATAATATTAGCTTACAGTAGCTGTAGATTTTCGGTTCGGCTGTGTGTAGGTCTTGCGCCACCACAAATTGAAACGTCGATAAACATTGCGTACAGTTAGTTATTGCTCCCTAAATAAGGCTATAGAGCAGCTTCTATTGCACGAATAGACAGGCTCATCCGGAATAGCTGAAGATTTACATGGAATTATTAAGGATATTGAGTAATGATGGCAAGGAATTGGCAACACCAGAGGTGCTATTCATACAGGTAGCGCTGATCATTTAACACTTGGTGCTCGATTGCCTTTCCATAGAAATAAAGTTTGTTTTATAAAGAAACATTCCGCCAGAATTGAACATGGAGACGAACTTAGATAGACTCAATCAACCAGATAGGCTAGACACTGAACGACTAATAAATCCTCTTTTCAAAGTCAAAGTCAAAATTTCTTTATTCAACATAGGCTTATTTTAATCTCTTGTAGACCATCAAAAACTACCACCTGTTCACTAATGGTCATATATATTTTTTTAGGTTATCCACTTTATTTATGTATGCAATTTGTGCAGGTTTTTGGAGAAGCTGGAGGAGGTGTTGGAGGGCAAGAGGTCGGTGACGCTCATACTGGACGACCCTGCCGGCAACTCCTACGTCCAGAGCCTCTCCGATGACCCGAACGTACCTGACGACGGTGAGATTTCATGAACTTCACCATGTCCATTGTCCCATAGTCACCATGAACAGGCTCAGAAAATTCGCCCAAGTGCTAGTCGAACTCGCGCACGAAGCGTCCCGTACCGTTATCTATGAAAACGGCAAAAAGAAATCATGTCTGTTGAATGGGAGCCCCAGTTAATTTTTTTTTGTAATTATTTGTATTTGTTATTATAGTGGCAACAGAAAGATATCATCTGTGATAATTTGAACTGTCTCACTATCGTGGTTTATGCGATACAGCTTGGTGACAGACGGATAGATAGACAGTGGAGTCTTGGTAATAGAGTACGGAACCCTAAAAAACCACATAAGAAATGCTGAATTATATTTAACTTGTTAGACGGGAATAGTTGACACTATTCACATTTCAGTAGTTTTAAACGTGGGTAGTAAGATATTATTAATAATTGAACTTTCTTCAATATTATAAGAGTTTTCATGTCTATAGTAAAATTTAAAATATCCAATCTTTTATTTTAATAGATATTTACTTGTCTATATTTATTTATATTAAAAAAGAGTTAATGTAATTAAAAGTCTATACAGGGTGGCTTTTCAAAAGGTGGCCAAATTCACACCGGAGATTCAGACTCGTTAGTATAATCGTTTATTGAAATAAATTTTTTTCAAAATAGATAGGGAATAAAGGAGAATAAAGGAGGGATTCCCTAAAAACAGAACTTGTTGACAATGCGGTAGTCATTCATAAATCCCTCGTATACTTTTGAAACGAACTTGTGTGCGTGTTAGTTATGAATGATCGCGCGTAAAATAAATGAGTTGCCCATAAATCACGCACTCTTTGAGATAAGTTAAAATGAAAGTGATTAATTAATTACGAGTGATTTTAAATATTTATCATTTTTTATATAACATTATTTATATCTAGAATTTCATTAAAAAATGGAAACACTTAGAAAAGCTTTACTACATGTCCTACTTCTCAGCAAAGACTTTCTGTGCACAGAGGGTAATTAGGGAATACAATTCACATATCTTCGGAACATTTTTTTTTGTTATGATTTCGAAAATATACATGCTTCCTCACGATGTTTCGCTTCATAGCCGAGCATTTGATAAATGTAAACTTAAAGTTAACAATTTCATTAGGTGCTGGTTCCCAACCAGAATTTAAATTCAAGTTCCTCGAGTATATTGAATTAAAGGGTTAGGCACTGAGCTATCACGGCACCTTCATAACTAAAAAAAAACTATTGTACCAGCCTATACATGTCCCACTGCTGGGCGAAGGCCTCCTCCGTACAGAGGGTATCAGGGCATAGTCCACCACGCGGCCCCACTGCGGATTGACGGACTTAACATATATTCGAAATTTTTTTTTTGTTGTTACGCAAGGTACGTAGGTTTTCACAATTTTCATGCGCCGATGAGCACGTAGTCAGCACTTAAAATTAACAATTTCATTGGTGCCGGCACTGGGGATCGAACTCTGGTTGCTCAAGCATATTGAATTAAAGACGAGCGTCCGGATGCTAAACTATCACTATTATTCATTACTAAGGAGACATTATTTTATTCTTGTCCGTTTAACAGGTTTGAAAATCACCCGTTACGAGAGATCGTACGATCAAAATGATGAATTGGGTCTCAACGACATGAAGACTGAGGGCTACGAACAAGAAAGTTAGCCCAACAACTAATTTGTTCCGTTTAATTTTATTGTAACATATGGTCTGATCTGTTATGATATTAATTCTTCAATGTAAATTAATATAAACTTACTATTGGGGTAAGTTGATCATAACAATATCATTATTTATTAATTGTTTTCTTAGTAAAAAAAAATATTAGATCATTGGTCTGCATTAGCGGCAACTATTATGTCAAATATAGGCTAATTTGTGATTAAGAAATCCAATGACATGGAATATAAATACGACAATTTTAATACATTATCGGATAATAGGTAATTATTAATAGTACCTGAGTGAGAAACGTTTTTAAACAAATTAGAATTTAATGAAAATCTTCCGACATAATCTTATAGTAATCATTTGATGTAAACTAGCTTCAAAAGTCCATCAAATGATTTGTTGCCAGCTTACCCTGAATTCATGAACTGCTAAGATAGGAATTTTGCTTGCAAAATTATTTTCTTTATTTTGTCAAAACACAAGTCAGACTGTAATATATTTTTTTAATCTGTTTTCATATTTTTGCTGCATATTATAAAGTGCTTTTAAGGATCCAAACTCTTGCAATATTCTAAACTTTAATACTATCAGAAAAATTCTATTAATGCTTACATTTTTTTTATGATATAATTAAGGCGCGAAATTAAATTCGTTGATTATTCTTATATGTTTCAGTTTTAATAGTTAACTAAGTTGCCATAAATACAAAAGTAAGCATATTGGTTGTATCCATATTTCCTGTAAAATAAGTATTTAGAGGCATTTCATTTTTGTAACTTGATTTTTATTTAACATAATGCTATGGTATATTTTTCGTAACTGAATTGTTATGCATTTGCAAATAAAAATATATGTTTTCTATTACATTGTCGAGTTTTTGTTTTTTTTTTTAATTTGTGGTAAGTACATAGAATGCTCATAATGTATTGCCCTGATGGTTTATGGTTGCCATTAAATACAATGAAAATGTGGTTCTCTTGAGTTGAACTTCAGTTACTGTATAAAAAAGAAACAAAAATCTAAGAAGAACATTTTGCCAACACCGAATAATTATAGTCTTTTGCACGAATGGGCAGGTCCATCTGGCGAAACCAGGAAAAAAAAATTTTTCTATGGACTTTACGCGGCAAATAATGGCAGAATTGTCAAAACTTAATTTTGCACCGCGTATTTTGAATGTGAATGCTTAATTGTAAATTTAAATTGTTTAGAGTAAACTTTCTCACGAAAACTACTGACAGGTGATCAGCGTTGTACATTTAATTCAAAATGCCAAAAAGACGGTTTAGTACCTGTGAAATTGGTGAAAATCGAGCAAGTCATTCGAACCTTGAAAAAAGGATGTTTATGGCGAGATATACGTAGTGATTACATTCTCTTTGGGTCCGTCTAGTAAGCACCACGACCTCGCAGAAGACCCGCATGAACTGGAAGTGTTATACTTCTGCGTCTCGTTTGGTTAGCGAACTAGCCGGGGTCCACTTAATGAAAGGTGGCGACGCGTCTGCAACCGTTGCGGATGTTGCAAAATTGGGCGGCAGTTATCACTTTACATCAGGAGAACCGCTAGCTCCCTTATTAGTGTATGTATTTTTAAGTGGAATACGTTTGGTAGTGAGACCTAACAAACCTTCATTGAAAGGAAGACTACAATGGAAAGGTACTCCGTGGCGCAGTTGCAAAGGTATGAGGCCTGGTCGTGAGTTCGATTCCCACGCGAGATTCCAGGTTGCGTCACTTCCAAAGAGAGTTTAAAAAGCGAATGCAGAAACTAAACAGGATGATATATCTGCCTTCCATTTGCGATATTTAATGAACCCAATTTCTGCACCTTCCATTCTTTAGCCCGCCCCAGACTTATGTACAAATGGTTTTTTAAATATTTGTTAAATACTCGAATAAAATATTTCAGTTTCTACATTTGTTGCTTTTCACACTTGTGGATAGTATGTAAAAAGATGGTGGATACAATGGATGACTGGGTCGAAGCAGTAGCATTGTATTATTTGTTCTTTTAATTTAATTTATTATATAGTTTTCGACGTCCTAGCCACCTGGATCCTACCAGGGTGCCTCGGAACCTAAATCCCAAAAATTTAGATATTCCCATCCTTCATAATGTCGCCTTAAAGGTACATTCCTTGAGAGTAATTACCGAGTTAAACTCTGGCCATTGCCTGGTCAATTTAGTTAGTATTAGCCGGATCGGGAAAAGTTAGGTCAGGGGCTCGAATCCACGAGTTCCCGGCACTTAGATAAATTCCCTGATAGAGTTAATCGAGACCGCCGTCATGGCGATCTCCGATCTCACGTCACACATATATACAAATAGCCGTCGGAGACTATTCCGCTTCGAAATGTCAGAGAACTTCAAGCGACTATTGCGGGAGAAAAACTCAGCCACAAGTGCTTTCAATCGATATCGGGCTGACGCCAGACGCTCCAGGTTGCACCGCCTTCAAAGAGAGGTCACAAAAAGCCCATGCAGGAGTTAAGGAGTAAGAGATTTGCCTTCGATTCTAGTTGCGATCAAAGAGAATGTAACCACTACGTTTACTGCTTGCGATATTTAATGGCGATAACCACTGGTTGCGATATTTAATGATAATAATAACTCTTCAACAGCTGCACTTCCCATTCTATTACTGAATATAATATTTACTATTTGTTCGCTTTAATGTGTGTTGAAAAAACGTCGTCTAATTAAGTCCTTTGGCTAACGCCGGTCCCAGACATGTATGCTGATGTTTGTAAAGATCCTCAAATGTGTGAGAGGATATTTTCAAAATATTTGTAAAAATATTTCCTATTTTATTTGGTTTTTCGGATTAGCCATGGCGTGTCGGTGTCATACTGGTCATCAACTGAAATAACAACATGATACCAAAAAAAAATAATGGACATTTTGTGCGAACCCTGCCTAATGTGGGATAAGGGAAGGAGAAAGAAGAAGAAGAAGAATTAACATAATCCTATTGCCTCGACCTCGTCCTCGCGCCCTCTCCACCAGCGGTACACAAGGTTAATGCCTCTCTCCCTTACTTTTTACGCTCTACACGAGGGATATACCAAAAGACCCCCACGTTAATCTCGCGCTTTTCGCGGATTATACGGCCCTCTTTTACACAGATAAAAATCTTAATCAACTCTCTACTCGTCTCCAAAGCGCCACCGACCGCCTCGGCGATTGGTTCCACAAATGGAGAATTGAAGTAAATCCCGAAAAGAGTGTGGTGATTCACTTCACACGAAGTACTTACCCGTCACATCTTTATAAAGGTTGTCGCCAATGCAGAAAGCTAGGGCAAATATCTGTTTATGGCCAACCGCTCCCCTAGGAGAAAAAGGTCAAATATTTAGGAGTCACTTTCGACTCGCGTATGTCATTCACAACGCATATTAATAAAGTTGTTACAGAGCCGCATTCGTTTCCGGCCGGCTAAGCACTTTAACTAACCAGTCAAGTAAAATGTCCTTAAGATACAACTTACTTTTATACAAAGCTTGCGTACGGCCAATCTCCAATGGCCAATGTCCCACGCATGCAGGATTTTCGTCCACACGCACCCTACTGGCTTGCACAAATTGCAAGTAGTGCAAAATAAGTTCATCTGCCGCGCAACCGGTGCGCAGTGGTATCAACGCAACGTCGACCTGCACAGCGATTGCAGACTCCTGACGATTCGCGAATTTTTCAAAGACCTGACCAAACGGTTTTTCGATAGAACCGAACATCATCCCAACCCTCTGGTGGTAAGCGCAGCAAATTACCAACCCAATCCAAACGCGAACGTCAACAAGCGTCGCCCGCGAAACAACAAACGTCCTCATCGACCCGGTCGAGGAAGGGGACTTAGGTACGTCGGACCCACCGTCTGTCCCGCCGGATAACACCACACACACAGTTGGTGTAGCAACAAACACATTAGTTCGCCCTCGCCTCCGACACACGGCGAGATCAACACAACGCGTACACAAGGTACACTCGCGTTCCTGGGCGGATCTTACCGCCCCCAGCCACCGATTAGCTAAAAACACAGTCGACGGCCATCGGGGTCTCGGTCTGCACCGCAACTTCGATGGCCCTTAGATGACATGTCGTAGTTAAACGCACGCATGAGCACATGCGCGGCCTTACCCACAGCGGAGGGCCAACCTCGTGAGATCTGGCTAGCCCACCAGTTCTGCGTCAGATGAAGCTTTAATAGTCTCGGGACTGAAAGTTTTGTTTGTGTAAGATTTTGTTCAAGCTTTACCAACTTATATTTCCGAAAATTCTTACTAATATTATAAAGGCGAAACTTTGTATGTATGGATGGATGTTTGTTACTCTTTCACGCAAATACTACTGAATGGGTGTTAATGAAACTTTACAATAATATAGCTTATCCATCAGAATAAGACATAGGCTATATTTTTTTACATATTTTTATGTATACGTTCAGCCTATTCTACGCAGACGTACTCACGGGCAGCAGCTAGTATTATTATAAACATTTTTGCACATGTCTAGGAACGGCTTAAAATACGCATGTCCAAATCACTAACGTCACATTTTAATGTGACAACATTTTTATTGATTTTGTCATTTTGGAATTACGATTGCACAACATCAACAAAAACAAAACTATATTTTAAATTAGTTTTACGTACTTAAGTTTTTCCTTTAAGAATTAAAAAATTATAATTTATAGTAGATAATACTAAGAACAACGAAATCACTGATTAATGCGTCTTCCAGCATATTGTAGCGGTGTATTTAGTGATAATGCAAGTAGAAGGTGACGGAAATAAAATTCTCCTACCGCACCACGAGCAGTTACCGCTTTGCACGAGCCGCCTGGCCTACCGACAAGGCAGGAAGCTTACTGCAGTAAAGGTAAACCCCCAGCCTCCATAAGGTCCAATCTACGTCGACATCAGATATGCTCATGTCGTCTTTTCATGGAGAAGGCAATAGGTGTATATGCTGATTTAAAATTAAATTAATATTCGGGGCGTGGATCATTTAAAGGGTGGGAGACAAGAAATCCTTCCTTGTATGCTTAATTTACTTTACATGATCTCTATCCTCAATAGTCGGTTTTAACATTACCGCGGCGAGAGAGGCTCCCACAAATTTTGCTTATCTTTGTGATATATTCGGCTTATAATTAATTAATTAATATATTGCTTCGCTTCCTTTTCATTTGATTATTATAAGAGAATGTGTAAGACATCAACTCCATTCTTTGTAATACACACTATAAGATATTTGTCATTGATAATAAATTAAAAATAATTAGTATCAATTTCTGAACAATATTTTATAGGAAACTAAATAGATGTAACTGTTTTACAGTTATGTCTGTTTAGTTTCCTAAAAAAAACTAATTAATTTGTAATTGTCATGCAATATGCGAATGAGGGTTAAGAAATAATAAAACTTTGTTTCTCTGACCTTTTACCTGATGGACAGAAAATCTTGCATTTAATGTGTGTCATTGTAATGCCAAAAACTATACAATATTTCTTTACAGGTGTACACAGTGGCAAGTGAATCTAACCACCTCCTTGTATTCGGTGTTCCAGCACTGAATCTGCGGCAGGAGACGAAAGCTTTGTTCATGAAATTTGGGAAACTGGTAAAGTTCAACATATCGCCCGACCACCCCTCCGAGGCTTTTACAGAGACTTACCACTCTCAGTATGAGAGAATCCAATCGGCCAGGGTTGCAAAGCGCATGCTGGACACAAAAAACTTCTATGGTGGCTCATTACATGTGTGTTATGCCCCAGAAATGGAGTCTGTGGATGAGACTAGAAAGAAACTGTGGCAGCGACAGAAAGATGTCCTCTACAGGCTCAGAAATTTACCATTAACTGTTGATAAGCCAGAGGAAAAGAAGGATGAAAACTTATTTGAAGAACTACCAAAAGACAAGAAAGTTGTGAAGCTAGACATGGGTCAAGCAAACACAATAAGTCTCGGTAAAAAACCAAAACTGAGTAAGAATAAAAGAATTAGGGAGGCTCTTGATAAGTTCAAAAGGTTTAAACCATGTTTTGTAGACACAGCCATTGAAGACGCTAATACAAGTTCAAGAATTGAAACTAAAGTAGGTACGAGTATAGATAAAGAATTTAATAATGAAACACTTGTAGAAAGAGATCCAGTACATTATAAAAATATTAAACGAAAACACAATGATATGCCAGTAGAGGTTATAGATTGCACTTCAGTTGACAGTGAGGTTGTGACAAACATCAATGAACACTTGAACTATGATAAATTTGGTACGGAAGACATCAGAGAGATGCCCAAGAAACGGGCTAACAAAATTGTGTTCCATATAAATAAAAACAGTTGACAGAATAGCTTCTTGTTTTATTAAAATAGGTCTGTGGTCACATCGAGAAATGGTCAACGGAACTTTTTTCTACCATCCCACAGTATGTTAGTGAGTTAAGAGTGTTCTCTGCTAATTTTTCTATGTTCAAACTACCATAGCATTTCTTATTCAGCCTTTATTGATATGTGTATACTTTAAAAGCATTTTTTTAAATAATGTGATTATTGATTTCAAAGCTTGGTTTGCTCTGACATTCTATTCTGCCTATATATATAGCAATAAGTATAAAAAAATACTATAGCTTTTTATATACAGCAAAACTTCATTTAAGAATTGCCACAATACAAGAAACAATTTTACTAGTTGGCAGTTATAAAGCCCGCAACATGAATTACAATGAAAGCCTTGCAATAGTCTTCTATGTACACAACCATTTATTGAGACTTGATTAACACAAAGTCTTATATAAATTAAATAAAAAACAATATTGCCATAAATAACAACACTTATTCAGCTGGCGATACTGGCGATTCAAGTATATGAAATGGTTTTGGCCCTTGCTATTCTTCTTCTGGATATTCTTCTCCCGGCATTTCTTCTTGCTCATCAAATTCCCCGTCTTCTACACCGACTTCCTGAAAGCAAATATAGCATACAATACAAGCCTCCTCGTCCTTAATCCCAATAGAGTAAACTGTGACATATAATCAATTTTAATAAAGCTTTATAAGAGTTTTAAGTTTGAAAAAGGCCAGGTGACCCGTTTTATATTTTATAAAGTTGAGTGTATGATAATTTTGTATTTTCTGTGATGCAGAAAAATTATTTGTAGATACTAAAAACACTTGTTCCGACGGAATCGAACCCATGGGCCAAGGGAATAGTCTATCACTCAGCAGTTGCAACAACAGGCAAATTGCCGTGTAACTTAAGCGTTGCCCTGTGTACAAATGCCGAAGTCATTTAATAATAAACAAAATGTGTGTTATGAACGCACGTATAAAGTCATACTTCTTTAGCGTAACAAAATAAAAATGACTAAAAATTTTATCCCTGTGCCCGTACTCTTTGTTTGTGGAAAGACAGAGAATGAGAAATGCAATTGATAACGGTTATAACTTGTTTTTTTTAACACAGTGGCAATTTTTGCTATGGTAACACCATGAAGTCGGTGTAGCGTGTAGATGTTGCACATCGTAAAAATCCACCCTCCTCATTTTTCACGCCACAAAAGTTTAACTTCAAAGATACACAATTTAGATAAAAGACGTTAAAATTTTCGTCGGTGTGGCAATCAGCCGTTTAGCTGAGTGGCTAAAGCGTCAGGGCGCGAATGCTGAAACCGTGGGTTCGATTCCCACAGTGGCGAAATTCCCACAGCGGCGATAATCTTCGTACTGTATCTGTTTTAATGTTTGCAAATTTTAATGTTTAAAGATGCACGTCATCTAATGAAAGTTGGACAGTTGGAAAAACGACCCGGTACCTCGTACTGCTGGTACTCGGAGACCAGGTCGTTCATGTTGCTCTCGGCCTCCGTGAACTCCAGTTCGTCCATGCCCTCGCCGGTGTACCAGTGCAGGAACGCCTGGAGCGAATCCACATGACCTTGAACCTCCAGAGGACCTTGTATTTGTACAGTGCGGAAGTGGTTGGGAAAGTCCCAACGACCATTGCAACCTAAAAGATCTTTTGTAGTTTTCCTTTCGAAAACATCGTCCTTTTATTGTAGGATAATAATATCGCGCGTTGAAACAATTATTTGTGGGTCGCACAAATAGTTGTCTCGTGCACGAATCGAGCCCACGGTCGGCGTTGGGCGCCTATACCTTAAGTCATCGTCAAGTCCCTTGTGATGGGACCAAAATATGGCAACACCGTATTTAGAACATCACCATTTTGGCGGGAACTGTTATACGTCTAAGTTTCTTTTATATTGATAAGCTCCTCTGTTCAGAAGGCGTTAGGACGATGTCCACACATACAAGTGCAGTAACGTAACAGCCTATTCATAATAAGCCCAGTTGTTGGGCAAATATTTATTTATTTATTCATAGGATTACCAACATGAGATACAGCATATGCAGACTAAAAACAAAGATATTAAGGCGTGGACTACCACCTCGTTAATCTCTCTTGCTTAATGTTGTTAATTTCTCTGTTGGATTATCACGCGACCCCACTGCGGATTGGCGGGCTTTATAAATCTTCGAAATATTTCATTTTGTTACTATTTCGAAAATGTGCATGTCTCCTCGCGATGTTTTCCTTCACCGCACATCATAATTCAACACTTAAATGTAACAATTTCATTGGTGCACCGGGATTCAGGTCACCATCATCCTCCTGCCCTTATCCCTCCTAGGTGGGGTTGGCTTTGGCTATGTTTTTACGATCAACCCTCCTTGGGAAACAAACGCCCAGGACCGGAACAACTATCTATGGGTCACACAAAATCTTGTCCCGTGTGAGACTCGAACCCACGACCCCTGATGCCGGAGACGATAGCTTAGCAACGGCGTCACCGAGTCATCGGATTATGAATTTAAGTAGCTCGAGTACCCTTACTAATATTATAAAGGCGAAAGTTTGTATGTTTGTTACTCTATCACGCAAATTCTACTGAATGGATTCTAATGAAACTTTACAATAATATAGCAACATCAGAATAACATATTTTATGTGTATCATTTTTTCTGTCTGAATGTTACGCCTTCAGCCTATTCTACGCATACGTAGTCGCGGGCAGCAGCTAATATTGAGCACAGAGCTCTGGCTTAGAAAGCCGGCTAACTCTGGCACTCGCCTTCCTCCTGAACATGACGGTGAACTGCTCGGAGATGCGCTTGAAGATCTCCTGGATGGCGGTGGAGTTGCCCACGAAGGTGGCGGCCATCTTGAGCCCACGCGGGGGCACGTCGCACACCGCCACCTTCACGTTGTTCGGGATCCACTCCACGAAGTAGCTAGTGGGATTATAAGCAAGTAGCTAGTGGGATTATAATGTGTGTAAATTACAGGGAGATTTTTTGAGAAGTGCCCAAATTTACACAGGAGGTTCAGACTCGGTGATATAATCGTTTATTGAAATAAAAAACAATTTTTTTTTTTCGAAAAAAAATGCCATTCTTCGCCCTAAAAACAGAACGTGTTGACAATGCGGTAGTCATTCATAAATACCTAAATTTTACTGTGCAAGAACCTGTGTACGTGTTAGTTGTGAATGATCGCGCGTAAAATAAATGTGTTGCGTATAAATCACGCACTGTTTGAGTTAAATTCAAATGAATGTAATCAATTACTTACGAGTGATTTTAAATTTTTATCATTTTTTATATAACATTATTTATGTCTAGAACTTAATAAAAAAAATGGATACACTTAGAAAAGCCATCCTGTATAATACTAGTTAGTAGTATTATATTACGGGTAGACAGTATTATAATTTGAGTAAGAAGTTATACTTCTGTAGCTTGACAAAAGAAGTTATTAAAAAATATTGTCCCCTGTGCCGGTGCTGTTTGTTTGTAAAAAAGACTAAATGCAATTATATCGGTTTGATTAGATTGCTCTTGCGTCGCCCTACCACAGACTAACTGTGGTAGGTCAAGTGTTCGCTGTTGCACAAATGGGCAGGTCCGGGGAACCACGACCTCACAGAAGACCGGCGTAAAGTGGTAGTATGTTACTTTCACGTTTCGTCTGGTGAGTGAGTCGGCCGGAGCCCAATTTTCAAAAGGCTGTCAACGCATCTGCAACCCTCGGGTGTGGCAGATGTCCATGAGCGGCGATATCCAGTTAACATCAGGTGAACCGTCTGCTCGTTTGGCAACTTTCCACAGTTCTCGTCCTCCGAGTGAACAGCGAGCGAGTGCCGAGCGAGGAACAGACCTGGAGTTCTTGTCTTGCACCGTGAGCATCTGCTCGTCCACCTCCTTCATGGACATGCGGCCGCGGAAGATGGCCGCCACGGTGAGGTAGCGCCCGTGACGCGGGTCGCACGCGGCCATCATGTTCACGGGGCTGAACATCTGAGGGTCGAGAGTCGGATTGCAAAGGTCTATACCAATGGTTCGATGATCGGGGGAGTGGTGGACTATTTGGAGGTCAAAGTGTCGAAAGACAGTTGGAAGTATGTTTAATTTTAATGTTTAACCTTAAGTGCAGAGATTATTTAAATTTAGGAAGGGAATCGTTCGGGCTAGACCTGAAATTTACTTTTATTTAAATAGACCTACGTCACTCGTAAATAAACGTGTATTAATGGGAAAAGTTGTTCTATATTCCTATTTTAGAAACTTATTTCGCAATAAGAACTCTACTTTTGCACTGAAAGACGATTATACCACAAACCCTCACCTGCTGCGTCAGCTCTGGAACAGTGAGCGCCCGGTACCCTTGGCTGTTTCTAGCTGTTAGAGGAGCGAACCCTGGAATATTAAAGACATACTTAGATCTAGTGCACTTACCATAAACAGCTGCATCGTCACTTATCATCAGGTAGGATAGGCATGGGCAAAAAATATCGATATATAAAAATATCACATATAATATCGATATTTTCCCATACAATTATCGATATTTATTTCAGACTATCGAATTCGTGTCTATTTCGATATATTTTTTAACGCAACTCTGGTTCGGTGTTTAATGTTACTAGACTACTCTATATTATGTGTGCATAACCATACGAAATATGGATAATTTTCGCTCGACAATTATCAATATATATTTTAAATGTTGATGTCGAGACCATATATATCGATATAACTTTTTACTTCTAAAGTGCTGGCCAGTTTTGAACAAAAAAAAAAGAACTTAATATTTGAAAAGAATCAACGTTAGATAATATTGTGACGATATTCTGCCCAAATCATCGTTCTGCTTATCCATTCTGGGGTAGGCTTAGGCACAACATGAGAATCGTGTTGTAAATGGTTTATGGCAGGTTATTATTTTGAAGAATAACCTTTTTCACTGTATTCGTACTTCGCTATCTTCATTTAAACAATTTGTTAACAGATGGCATTGTCACACATTCTTTCGATTCGCGACGCACTCGTGACTCGAGGCGCTTTGGTTAAGTTACTGGATTGCGCGTCGGGGTCGTGGATTCGATTCCCGCGTGGGACAACTATTTCTCGTATGTAAAACGTAGCAACACAGGCTGATGCTATCTCACAGTGACGGTATTAAAAGAAAAATAGACCTGGCATAGTAAAGACAACGTCTTTAAAAAAAGCAGACCTGGCATGAAGAAGTGGAGCCTGGGGAAGGGCACCATGTTGACGGCCAGCTTCCGAAGGTCGGCGTTTAATTGGCCCGGGAACCGCAGGCAGGTGGTGACCCCGGACATCGTCAACTGAGTTACAGAGGCCACTGTGAGTTGAAACTGTTCTATTGGCGGCAGATTACGTTTGCTTGTTTATTGGCTATCGCATATTTCACGCTCGTGTAGAATTATATTATGTAACACCACGCGGTCCCACTGTGGATTGGCGGACTTCACATACCTTCGGAATATATTTTTTGTTATTATTTCGAAAGTACGCAGGTTTCCTCATGATGTTTTCCTTCATCGTTGAGGAAGGAAAGTCGGCACTTCAAATTAACAGTTTCATTGGTTCCAGCACCGGGGATCGAACTCAGGTTGCTAGGGTATATTAAACTAGCTTTCCGCCCGCGGCTTCGCTCGCGTTGAATCCCTTAAATACATATCTTTCTTTAAAAAAATTCAAATAAAAAAATAGCCCATGTCCTTTCTCAGGCTCTAGACTATCTATGTACCAAATTTCATTTAAATCGGTTCGGTTAGTTTTGGTGTGAGAGCGAGACAGACAGACGGAGTTGCTTTCGCATTTATAATATTAGTATGGATTAAAGCCGAGCGCCCGGACACTGAGCTATCGCGGCCTTACGTTACCCGTTACGCCGGAAGTTTTACTTAAAGAAATAAAGCCGAATTGAGAACTTCCTTTAAAGCCAGAGCCGTGATAGCTCAGAGTACCGACATGTCAGACCCTCAGCGGTACGTACGGAGACCAGGTGGTTCAGGTCGCCGTAGGTCGGCGAGGAGAGCCGCAGCGTCCTGAAACAGATGTCGTACAGCGCCTCGTTGTCGATGCAGAACGTCTCGTCGGTGTTCTCCACGAGCTGGTGGACGGACAGCGTGGCGTTGTAGGGCTCCACCACCGTGTCCGACACCTGCGGGCAGGAGAGCACCCGGTCAAGGGGGCGGCGGTTCTCTTATAAACTCAAACTCGAAATATCCCGTATGTACGCGATTATACAGTCATTATGAAACTAAAATAAATAAATACTCAATAACACATATTTTCTACACAACGTTCTCTAGTCCCTAACTAAGCAACGCTCGTGCATATGAATTATGAAAATATTTTTTTTTATGTGAACAGTTGCCAAGCGAGTAGACGGTTCACCTGATGTTAAGTGAATACCGCCGCCCACGGACATCTGCTACACCCGAGGGTTACAGATGCGATGACAACCTTTTGAAAATTGGGCTCCGGCCACCTCACTCATCAGACGAAACGCGAAAGTATTTGTCGTACTCCCACATTACGCCGGTCTTCCGTGAGGTCGTGGTACTTACCCGGACGGGCCTGCCCATTCGTGCAACAGCCGAGGCTGCTGAGTGGCCCTACCACCGATACATGTTATATAAAAACCCAGACACTGGAAAAACACCTAACGACCACTGAGATATCAATTGACGTTAAGAACTATCTAGTGTAGTCTTCCCTTCGAAAACCGTACATTATAACACAATTCTGTGTTATAAGGACGTTTTACATACATAAATTTCAAGTGGACAAACACCCAGATGCGAAACAACTATCTCTCGGTCACACGAGTTGTCCCGTGCGGGAATCGAACCCACAACACCTGGCGAAGAAGCCAATTGCAGCTGCGCCACGGATACATCATACTAGCTCCTAATCAATGATGTCTTAATAAAGATGAAGATTTAAAAATTGTTCCGCTCTCTGCACATTACATGACATATATAAGTGAATATGACAGATGATATAGAACGTACGGAAAGAGATAGCAGTATATAGTGTTGCCATCTACTAGACCCATTGCCGTAATTTGTGTGCCTCAGTTTCGGTGCGTCAGTGTTGTGTCTACTTCGTATTTGTATGATTTGATGATCACACTAGTAGGGGTGACGAAATATATCGATATTTATAAAAATATCCATATCGGCCTTGATATATCGATTTGTTTCTTAGGCCCTGTTCTCCAAAAGAAAAAAAAGCGTATGCCAAGTATTAAATATTTGAATGTACGGACACTGTCCCGTATAGAAAATGAAAAAAAAATCGTTATTGATACGATTTCAATATTGAATATCATATATCGCATCAAAATATCGGCTAAGAATATCGATATATGATAAAAAACATCGATTTGTCGATAGTTTGTCGGCATCCCTACAGGCTAGTTCGCACCTTCGGCGATGGCATGACGCTGAAGGTGTTCACGATGCGGTCTGGATACTCCTCGCGCAGCTTGCTAAGGAGCAGCGTGCCCAGGCCGGAGCCGGTGCCGCCGCCCAGCGAGTGGGTCAGCTGAAAACCTGGGTTCACGACCGATATGAACTGTGGGAGCTGTGTGGTTTGGCGCGTATGTAAATTGTGACCCATGTGTAACACGTGGTCAGAATGACGCATATACAGGGAGGCTTTTTTAAGTGTATCCATTTTTTTTTATTAAATTCTAGACATAAATAAAGTTATATAAAAAATGATAAATATTTAAAATCACTCGCAAGTAATTAATTACATTCATTTGAACTCATCTCAAAAAGTGCGTGATTTATAGGCAACTCATTTATTTTACGCGAGATCATTCATAACTAACACGCACATAAGTTCGTTTGTGTACGTGAACAGTAAAATTTAGGTATTTATGAATGAGTACCGCGTTGTCAACAAGTTCTGTTTTTTAGGGAATAGAATGGTAATTTATTTTGAAACAAAATCTTCGTTTTTATTTCAATAAACGATTATTCTACCGAGTCTGAACTTCCTGCGTACATTTGGGCACCTTTAAAAAAGCCTCCCTGTATAGCGCAGCGTCGTTGTTCAATTGTTTGAACATAAAACTATATACGTTATTTATTATGTATATTTATTGAGAGCCGTGATAGCCCTGTATATATTACTCAGTTATATACTCGAGCAACCTGAGTTCGATGCCGGCACCAATGAAATGTTAATATTTAATGCCGAATTATTACGTGCTCAGCGGTGAAGGAAAACATCTTGAGGAAACCAGCATATTTTCAAAATAATAACAAAAATATTTCGAAGATATGTGAAGTCCGCCAATCCGCAGTAGGGCCGCTTCACTTTACTTTTTATATATATTTATGTGTATATATATATGGTTACCACCAGGTTAGCCGGCAGAGAACTCATGCATTGAGTTAAGCTTACCTTTTGTACATTATTTTCATTTTTTTTGTGTCTTGTGTTTTGAGCTCAATAAATACACATATAAATAAATAAGTTTATTCGAAGACACTTGGGCATCGACAGACAGAGAGTGAAAGAGATAGCAGTCTGATTTGCATTTGACGTACGGTAGCCATATTGCCCTAATTTGTAGCGGAAGTGTTACACTTAGCATTTCGTCTGGTCAGTGGGGTAGCCGGTACCCGCTTCATTAAAAGTTCACTGGGCGGCGGTTATCACTTAACATCAGTTGAACCGCCACTCATTTCTCACATAAAAAACCTCGTGTTTGTAAATAACATAATTGCGTAAGACCGCCCCTTCACTTGTGCACAGATAACAAATGGCCGTCAAGCTGGTATTACTCAGGAGGCTTTGCCCCTTATCGTTGGACCTCACCCTGCAAGCAGTCGCAAGGCTCGGCCTCCTTCCGCACCACGTCCATGACAGAGTCCACCAGCTCGGCACCCTCAGTGTAGTGGCCTTTCGCCCAATTGTTGCCTGGAATGTCGAAGTAAAAATTAGTATGTACAATCCTTAGAATTAGATCTGGTCGCAAAATAGGAATTTGGCTTCTTATGAAGAAAACTAATCCACCCAATTGCGGGGAATGTGGAGTCATTGGTGATCTTCACCACCAACATGTGGTTAATACAATTTCTAACGCGTTCTTTCAACAGATGTAGCCACTGACCTGAGAAGAACCGGCGAAAGAAACTCTGTGGGCCACTTTTTACAATTTTCTGATAGTATAAAAATATTTTACATGAATGTATTATATTTTCAGGGTAAAACGCATAAAAAAACCTCGTATATGTAAATAGCATCATTGCGTAAGACCGTCCATTCCGTCATCCATGCACAGATAACAAATTGTCGTCATCTGCAACACCCCTGTTGCAGTCCATTGGCTACAGTTACCAACATCAACATCAGGTGACCAGCTGCCATGTTCTCTCATTAAATTTTTCCCGTAAATAGATAGAAAGAAATAGAAAGAAGAAAGAGATAGAAGATAGCATCACCAGCGCCGCTCTGGCCGAACACGTAGTTGTCGGGGCGGAACAGCTGGCCGTAGCCCGAGGAGCGGATGGCGTCCATGGTGCCAGGCTCCAGGTCGACCAGAACAGCTCTCGGCACGAAACGGCTTCCTGGGAACAAATACTGCACGCTCGTTGTCCATATCACTTTAAAGATGACTGAAGACTTAAAGGGAAATCCCCTTTAAGTCTTCAGTCACATGATCTACGGTTTGGACACTGACAAATAGAACAGTAACAAGAAACAGTTGCCTGGAAGAAATTACTCTTAGTAATAAGGCTGCACATTGTACCCATTACTTCTACAATAAATTTTTAATTTTTGTTTGGATTATTTTGGTGTCCAATAAAGTATATTCATTTATTTATTCATTCAAGAAATTTATTGATAACAAAAAAAACCGACTTCAAACCGGAAACTAAAAACATTTTTAATATCTATAACATTTGAGGATTGCCCTCGATTTGTCTGGCAGTCCATGTTCAGATCCGGGTTTCCTTATCATGATATCACCCTAGGGATATCTCCTTTCCAACAAAAAAAAAAAAGATTCATCAAAATCAGTTCATAAACAACGATGAAGAACTAGAGTTACTAACATAGCAGAGCGAGTCAGCAGGCTGAAGTGGCAGTGGGCAAGGCACATAGCTCGAAGAACCGATGGCCGTTGGGCAAAAGGGTTCTCGAGTGGAGACAAGGTGGACAGACCTAGCCAAGATCGCAGGGACGCGTTGGATGCAGGCCGCTAACGACCGGTCGAAGTGGAAGTCAATGGGGGAGGCCTGTGTTCAGCAGTGGACGTCCTACGGCTGATATGATGATGATGATGATGAAACCACGAATTGAGAAACCACCTCCTTTTTTGAAGTCGGTTAAAAAGGCAAAACACCAATCGCTCACCATCTGACGCCTCGTTGTAGTAGACCTGGATCCTCTCCAGCTGCAGTTCGCTATCACCGCGGTACCTTCCCGTCGGGTCGATGCCATGCTCGTCCGAAATGATCTCCCAGAACTGGAGCCAAATTAAAGCTGGGTTACGGCCTATGTTTTAACTAAATGTTATGGTATGTTTTAGGAATATTTGCTTGCACTAAACGTTGGTACTACCTAGTTTAGCTGGCAGAGAACTCATGTACTGAGTAATCCTACCTTTTTTATTTTCCTTTGTATCTTGTGTTTTGTGTACAATAAATAAATAATAAATTTTGCCGCTGGACTTCGTTCTAATTTGAATCAATAACGTCGCATTTAATTCAACATAAGTGGCAGTGCTGAAATCTGCTAAGATTTGACGATATGAGACGTGTGCCTGAGGTCGATTTGGTTGATAATGGACCATAAAATATGATATATGAATATTTTGGTTATTTCTTAATTATTATAGGGCGAGACTATTGAGCATGTAGCCTTCTGTAGTGGAGCAATCTGTCGGATTTCCGACCAAATACAATAAATGGGCGTCTTCAAAACGAGAGTTAATCTTTTCTCATATCCGTCTGCCTTGGTGGGTTCTTAGAAGAACAACGTGCTGTTGACCGTTTTAGGCACAAAAATATGTGACAAATACTCATTCATACTAAATTCTCGATTTACGCGAGAATTTAACCCTATATCCGATGTTCAAAAGCACACTTGTGTTGTAAAAACTGCCAGAGCAGAAACTGCTAAATCTTGATATATACAAGATGTGATTTGAATGTTCTGAAGCTAAGATACTCGCAATCTAGCTTATTTTTAAATGAAACAACATACATATACACGGTATATTTATTATCATTTTCTTATTACTGTTATTAATTAAGCCGCTCAGTGTCCGGGCGCTCGCCTTTAATTCAATATACTCGAGCAACCTGAGCTCGATCCCCGGTGCCGGCACCAATGAAGTTTTTAACTTTAAGTGCTGACTTATCACGTGCTCCGCGGTGAAGGAAAACATCGTGAGGAAACCTGCATATTTTCGAAATAATAACAAAAAAATATATATTTCGAAGATATGTGAAGTCCGCCAATCCGCAGTGGGGCCGCGTGGTGGACTATGACCTGATACCCTCTGTATAGAGGAGGCCTTTGCCCAGCAGTGGGACATGTATAGGCTGTTACTTTACTTTTTTTACTTTTATTACTGTTCAAGGTTTTTTTTTTTCAATAAAGATTGCTAGAATTTAAGTTATCGAACTGTAACCATCACCCTGTCTTAGTATTCGTAAAATTTACAAAATGCGTCATAAAAAATTTAATTAATCTCAAATACATGAATCTGGACCATCTTCTGCTGTATAAAAACGTCGGGCATAATGAAAAAAAAAACTGGATGGGAGGTCCATCTAATAACTCCAGCCGTAGCTCCCGTACGGCATTTCCGGAAAAACGATGACATTTTTTTTATTGTAAAAAAGGTACTTCATAGAAGATGATGGAATTTGTTTTGTGGATAATGTTGAAAAATAACGTTTGTATAATTTTCTATATCCTATTTAGTGCGCTAGGCTCGGAAATTTTCAGCTTTCGGTCATTCAAAACTTAACTGAAACTTCAATCTACGAAATATCAGAAAAAATTTTCAAATTTTTACGGTGGTAGGGCCACGCAGCAGTGTTAGCTGTTGCACGAATGGGCAGGTCCGTCCGGGTTAGTACCACGACCTCACAGAAGACCGGCGTAAAGTAGAAGTGTTCACTTCTGCGTTTCGTCTGGTGAGTGAGGTAGCCGAGGCCCACATTATTAAGAGGTAGCAACGCATCTGCAAGCCTACGGGTGTTTTAATTGTCCATGGGCAGGCGGTTATCACTTAATATCAGGTGAACCGCCAGCTCGTTTGCCACTTCCTCACATAAAAAAATGAAAGACGAAATTAAAACTTGATTTGTATTTATAGGTTTCTTGTTAAAAAAACCAACTAAATTTATAATCACGTACAAAGCTGTCTAACAAAGAATACTATAGCTGGCTAACATGATGAACATTGTTTTTTTTCAATTAACTACTTTATTATATTCCTTGCTTTTATATAGCCAGTGTTTTAAAATTTCACTAGAAAGGATTTGCAACTATTATAAACAAAACAGATGTTTCAAAAGAGGCTGAATATTTTTCCGGATCGCTCAACCATAATCCTACGTCGCACTTGTAAGTAGAGCATAACGGAAATATAAATAGATTTCCATTTCTAGCCGTGTCAAAGTACAAACAGAATAAAGATGAAATTTTTTAACGCACCTTCGATCCTATCTGGTTGCCGCATTGTCCAGCTTGAAGATGGACTATTTCACGCATTCTGTTGTATAAAATGTTTAAATTCTCTTTTTGTAACGAACAAGAGAAAAACGTAGGCAAAATAACTATTTTAAGCGACGACGGCACGTGGGATGAGCAAAGTTTAATTTTTAATGTGTTAATAATTTTAATTTTGTTGTTCATACATTAAAACACATTGTTCATTCTGGAATAGTAATGTAAAATATATGGAAAGATTTTCCAAGAATTAGACAAATTCTTTCTATTGTTCAAAATCATATTGCCTTGATTTTTTATTTTATACTAATAATGAGTCACAATAAGTTAAAGGGTATGCATTACAATATAATTTTATTTAACATTTTAATGTATTAACTAGTAATTAATCATAATAATGGCTTTAAACACTAAAAATGTTTTTCCTTCATAGAAAATCAGAAACATGATAAATTAATAATCTGTGGAACACACAACGTCTAATGTCATTGTCAAACAATGTTACGATAAAATATTGTAATTGAAATAATTATATTAATATGTTGTTATTTCTTACAAAATGAAATATATACAGTGTTAGAACATTTGTTGCTTTTGTACATAATTTATTCGCATTTCAATGACTTCAATTATTGTCAGTACAATGTTTTTTCGTAGTGATATACAGCCAATTACTAGTAGAGGTGTTTATTTCTTTTGTGGTTGCAAGTCTTGATAAATTTTCTGACGTGTTGTCGTGTAATTAAATCTTCTCACCCATAAGTACCTATAGACGTAAGTAAACAAATAGTTATTGGTGTTTGAATAATGAAAATGTTAGACTCATAGAGTTATTTCTAAAATTATCGTAAAATTACCATTTGCCAGAAAATACACCCATATCTTTCAATACCTAGTGGAAAAATATGTACTCGCTTATACGAAATATTACCAAGCATTCATTTGAATAAATTTCTAATATACCATATTTTTCATAATCTAAAGAAAATCAACTTAATTCTTGTTTATTAATAAAACATGTCTATTGATAGGATCTTTGGTTCATCCTTTTCTTTTACCAAGTACTCAACACAATGGGTTTGTGTGATATGAATACTGCATTATCTTCAGTATGTGGTAGCAAATGTTATGGAATAAAATTATTTAGATTTCAGAGACTTGTAAAAATACCTATAATCAAATATTATAGGTATTTTGCAGATTTCAATTTAAAAAAAATTGTTAAATATATTTATGTAATATTTGCACTATTTGCATAGATTTAGGATATTGTTATATATTTAATGGCCAATTATAATAGAACATAGAGTTATCAGACTTAAATGGTTTTCAAAACATTCAGCAATGGATATGGACCTAAGCTGGTAAATAAATCTGCCATTTATAAAAAAAATAGTATAGTATTATTCTAATTTTAATGTAATGGCTCCATAAAGTCAGAGAAGTATAAACACTTAAACTCCGACACAAGAATTTTATACATTAAGAGATAGGGACAAAAATTATGTGCTAAAGACTTATTGACACTCTAGAATAAAACTGCATACTAAAAAGCTGCATTGTTAATTAAATTTAATGGCATTATGGAATTTGATGGTGAACCTTGACAGTTGATGAAAATACTTTTTAAAAGGCCATTACTGAAATTTCTATATAAATTCATGTTAACAGTCATATATCTTATTTTTCCCAGGGAAAAATGGAAGAAACTGCGCAAAGTGCGGAGTTTCTTAAGATGAAGGAAAGAGAGGAAGAATCAGAATCCTCCACTCCATCTCAACCAATGAAGTTCATAAGTGTAACCAGTTCGTCGCTGACAGACGAGCAGCGGGAGATGTACGAATCGGTCCTCTCCACCTGGAAACCGGTCATGTTCCCCAAACGGACCAAGCGCTACATCTGCCAGAAGTGCAGCAAGGAGTTCAAGAACTACCAGAACCTCTATCTCCACACCACCAGGGTCCACTCGTCAGAAGAGTCGGCAGTTATCTGCGACATTTGCATCAAAACATTCAAGAACAAACACTACCTATACATGCACAGGATGAACAAGCACTATTCAGAGTCGGAGAAGTGCTACTGCCAGTTCTGCTTCCAAGAGTTCCGCACCAGGCGCGCCCTCCACATGCACGTGAAGAGGGCGCACCCAACGACCCTCCCCGAAATCAAGTGCCCCGAGTGTGGCAAGCAGTTCAGCGTCCCCTACAAGCTGCGCTACCACATAGACGCGTGCCACCGCGACGACAAGGAGAAGTACAAGTGCCACATCTGCCAGAAGCTGTACAAGAGCCACCTGAACCTGAACAGGCACCTGCACTTCCAGCACTCGCAGGTCGAGCGGCACCAGTGCGTGTTCTGCCCGATGACCTTCAAGTCCCGCCACCACATGAAGCGGCACATACTGAACATCCACCCGCCGCTCGAGTCGAAGGTGCAGTGCCCCGAGTGCCTGAAGGAGTTCAAGAACGACCAGTACCTGAAGGAGCACATGCAGGTGCACACCTCCTTCGAGAAGAAGGTGAGGTGCGACCTCTGCGAGAAGTACTTCCACTCGGCGGTGCGCCTGAAGAAGCACAAGAAGATCGTCCACCCGGACAAGCCGAAGATACGCTGCGAGAAGTGCGACAAGGAGTTCGCGCACGCCCACTACCTGAGGCGGCACAACAACTCTGTGCACGTGGAGGTGGACGAGACGGACTACGAGCACGCGTGCCCCCAGTGCGGCAAGAGATTCAAGATCAAGCGCTACCTGAACAACCACCTGCAGCGGCACGAGCAGCAGCACCTGAAGCGCATCTCGCAGATGGTGAAGACCGTGATGGACGACGACGGCCAGGAGCCGGACGCGCCCAAGAGGCGGGGCCGCCCGCGCAAGCAGCGCAGGGAGTTCGAGTTCATCAAGTGCGAGCCCGTCTCCAGCTCCGACGAGGCGTCCACCGAGGAAGAGAGCGACACGGAGTCGGAATGAGCGGGAGCGGTGCACCGCCCCCCGGTGGGCTGATGTGGGGGGGCCAAATAAAAAATCGGTCGGCCGTGGAAAGCAGACATTGAAAATTGTTAAGAAGTTCATTAAACAGCCTACGTAATTGTTATTTCCTTACATATTTTTGTAAGAAATTTGGTTGAAGGATAATCATTTTCCTCCTAAAATGGGCGGTACACTTAATAAGTTTGAGAAACACTGCTTTTGAGAATATAACTGTGCCATCGGAAAGTCCTGACCTCGAAAGCCGTGTCGTTTTGTATGTCCAGTGTTGAACATTGAAGTGATATTGTTGGGAAGACCAGTACTTCCTAAATATATAAACGCTAAACTCTTGTATTCTGAAGGAGTACTGTCTATGAAAAGTCTAGGTTTAGTGTTATAAGGTTGTTCGAGATAGAACAGTGATGAATCGTTTTCCCTTGTAGTGTTTGTTACCAAGTTGTGGACACCGTTTCTGCTGGAATCGCTGCCGGATCCAGCGTCCATTCCTTAGATCTATTCCGTTTCGTCGCGACTTCTTCAATTGAAAACGGTTCAACTTACGAATTGTGATTTGTGCACGTCAACTTAGTCATAAAAATTGGGGCAATTGTAACTTATAGATTATTTTTAAGTGTTAGTTGTTCTCTAAAAATTCTAAAGGTAGCGTAATTTTGTATAGTAGATAGAAAAATTTAATGATTTATGTTCCTCGTTTTGGGAGTCCTCTCGAGATTTTAGCATTTGGTGTTTTGATATAGCCGAGACGGAGTGATTTGGACACTTGTCTTGTTTTTGCCTATAGTTACTGTGTTTAAATTTAATGTTAATTGTTGATAATGTAAATATTTAACTAAACCATTTTTCTCTCCGACATTTTAAAAATATATTGGATATTGCACCTCGTAGGTAGGCAAATAATTCGGCTTTGTCGGTTTGGTGTCGAAATTTTCATCTTTTAGAAATCTCTTCACAATTAAACATTTTAAATCTGTATAAAAATTGTAGATATAAAATCATATCTTGTAAAGATGATCATCTTTCTGGCTGCAGAATTTAAAATAGTCAATAATAGGGTGATTTGGTAATTAATTAATTAAATTTTGATTTTTAATTAAGAATATTGTGCTCTTTACCAAGATTCCATTAAATGCTGGATTTATGCTCCACCAAAATTTGAGTAGTAACATATGCCATTGTCGCTAGACCTCAGAATAGCCTATAACATATATAGATATATAATTCGGGTAAATTATAATCTAATAATTCAGCCGAATATGACATCAAATTCTGATTTTTGCATTTACCTGCTGGTAGTTTTTTGCTTTTAATCCCAGACCTGAGTAAGGAAGATGAGGTTACATCCACTTGTGTACATTAATTCTCTCTTCATTCGTTCATTCTTTCTCTGGGATAATATGATATGTTTTAGATCAAAAAGGGAACATGTACTGAAAACATGAAGTTGCTAAATCTGATCTCGCAAGTGACCATGAACGCCATCTGGAATAAAGTCATCAAACTGTGTCAAAGGGGCATTACAACTGCCGAGTATCAAAAATTTCAGTCTTAGTTCTGTACAGTACCTAAATTCATGTCGAAAACAGTTCAAATGCTTGGCTGAAAAAAAAAGTGAAGCAAAAGTGAAGCAGTGAAGCAAAATCAACCGTGTATATATTGTACCTACATTGCACAGGAAAATTTGCCGTTGTATCTCCGAGGAATAAAAAACTTAATTTTGTTTGGGGCGAGTGAACATATAAAGTTAATTTTATAGCGTTAGTTGTGTATATGTTAAGTTGTGGGGTGAATTTTGCCACCTGTCAACTTGCGGTGCCAGTAGGCTTTTGAATGATTTTTTTGGGCTTCCTACCGGTTGCATGAACTAGACAATGCTATTTTGTGTCGTTTAAATAGACGTGACCTCGTTTGATATTTTGCATTACGCTCTTATCTCACAATACGCTATTCAGACATGGACTGGAGTATAATAGGTTTTATGAAATATATACAGCGTGTGTTACCATCGCGACAATAAATGAACACACGTCTAACGCTACTTGCCAATAATCATAAAAAAATATTAACGTTATACAAAATCCATAATTAAAAAAAAATATTTTTCAAACAAACTAATTAAGTAAAAAAGAAACAAAATTTGTAACATCCTATACAACTTGCGCCACAGCGTCGCATTACAAGCTTCTCCTTCTAACGGTATGTTTTGTCTCTTTTAAATTCATTCAACCCACTCATATGCTTTGTGACCTTTACAAATGAACTTTACGTTACAGTTTTATACGTAAGGGTATTCTAAAATTGTTTGTTTTGGAAAATTTAATAACTGGGTTAATATTGATGTTTAAAGAATGTAAATGTTTAATACAATTTTAAAAAGTTATCCTCTATATGTGTGTTCATTTATTGTCGCGGTGGTAACGACACGCTGTATACATAAATATTTAAAACATTAGGAAGTGTATATCTGAACATTTCAGATATGCAGTGATCAAATGTTTTAGTTTATATCGAATTTGTGTACAGAAATCTTACATATGGTAACCACGAAAACTTTGTCAAGTCAAAAAAGGCAGCAATTATAAAAAATATGAAAGATATTTGGATTGGATAAATATTTTTTACTTAATCGGTCCCAACCGAATCCGCAGGTTTAGAAATATTCACATAAGAAAAATATACGAGTATATTTAGTTTGCAACAAGTATAATTATATAATGTATGGTCCTTCTAACTGGATCTATCCTGTTATAGTATTATTTTAGCAATGCGTGGAATGATATATAGAACAAGTTCATGGCCGAAGATCCATTACAGTGTGGGTGCTGCAGTCGATTTATTGATTTTTACACACAGAAACTACGGAGCCCATCTGAAAATAATGCCTAGACCTAGATGCCTTCCCGATGATCCCATTGACAGGTGTCAAATTTACACAATATGAAACTCGCAATATACGGGCGACGGCAAGTGCGTTCGCCGGAAAATCGTGCATAATATCTTCAAAGTATATTATATTGAACGGTGATGAAGAGATCTATATTGTAAATAAGCGGAAATCCTTTATCGATCGTGCAAATAAATGGTTATTTGGATGGAGTTGCGTTTTTTATTTCGCCAACACGTGCCGTTTGCGGGTCGCAGTTCTACTTCCCTTTGCACTGACAACTGATGAAAGAGTGTATCTTGTCTCATACTTCAGATGACTCCGTGGCGTAGTTGCCAAGGTATCGGCTTCGGCGTCGGGGTCGTGGGTTCGATTCCCACACGGGACAACTATTTGTGTGACCCACAAGTAGTTGTTTCGCATCTGGGTGTTTGACCGCGTGAAATTTATGTTTGTAAATCGTCCTTATAACAGAGGATAATGTTATCCTAAAGTTAGGGCAATGTTTTTAATAAAAAAAATAGATTGTGTGCGTTCCATTACCACTGGGAAAATATTGTGTGATGAACATGCGATTTTCCACTGTCTGGGTGTTTGTTTGTTTACTAGTTTACATATGTTTATCAGTAATTTAATACCCATGTTTGCACTAAATAACGTTGTGTAAAAATGTGTTCGGAAATATTTATTTTATTTACAAAAGGTTCTAGTGTTACCACCGAATCTCGTGCTGTACTGTAAACTTTCTCTAATGCATAATAGTTATGTTAGAAATACGTTTTTGACAGCCCTCCGACACACTTCTTTTGATACGTGAACTGCTTTGAATATACCGGTTTATTTTATCGCACTGTCAAAAAATATAGTCTCTATATATTATCTTAGTATGTAGCTGGAAATAGATAAACATGGAAATAAGTTCGACGGTTAGGTAATATATTCATAAAAATAATTTTGGTATTGTAAGTAAAGTAACAGCCTATACATGTCCCACTGCTGGGCAAAGGCCTCCTCTATACAGAGGGTATCAGGGCATAGTCCACCACGCGGCCCCACTGCGGATTGGCGGACTTCACATATCTTCGAAATAATATTTTGTTATTATTTCGAAAATATGCAGGTTTCCTCACGATGTTTTCCTTCACCGCGGAGCACGTGATAAGTCAATACTTAAAGTTAAAAACTTCATTGGTGCCGGCACCGGGGATCGAACTCAGGTTGCTCGAGTATATTGAATTAAAGGCGAGCGCCCGGACGCTGAGCTATCACGGCTCAACGGACGGTTAGGTAATATGAATAAATAATTTTGCTAATTGTATTGTTTCGAAATCGGGAAAATATCAGTAAAATGTTTCGAGAGGATTATTAATATTATTATGACATTTTCATCCAAAATGTTGTAAAGGGTTGAAAGGTTAAAGAAAGATATTTATTTAAGGGCTTCAACGCGAACGAAGCCGCGGGCGAAAAGCTAGTCGGATATAAATTACTACTGTCTTCCACCACAAGCTAGCATTTGGGTGGCACCAATGTGTTAATACAGTAGAATTGTCAGTATGAAATTGCACTTCTGGACGAATAGCTTATTTTACAGCATTTTCAAACCAATTCAAATCACATTGTATTCACTTTTGGCATTACAGATTTTTTGGGTAGACATGTTCTACTTTATTAAAAGGTTGCAACCCTACGGGTGTTGCATCTATCCGTGGGTGGCGGTTATCGATTAACATCAGGTGAACCGCCAGCTCGTTTGCCACTCTCTCAGAAAAAAAGTGTGTTTAAAAAAAATTACAAAAAGTTGACTAATAAAATCAAAAACTGAACTTGGTAAAACAGTGAATTCTGGGTTATATAGATATAATATACTTATGCATATAAATGTTCAAAAGTAGGGCAGAATTATGAAAGCGCCATCTACATTCTTTATTGAGAACTGCAACGGGCAAATGTGATTGAGATTATGCTGTCATCCAGCGGTTTAGTAGGCAGCTTCAAAGGTGTGACTTTTGTATTACATCTTAAAATTTCACCCATCATTTTTTCATAACGCGCCTAAAGTATAACTTGAAAAATGAGGGAAATGTCTAATAAAATTGAACGGGCAGTAACTCGCTTCTAGGAATTAAAAAACAACATACTTTCACACCAAACACATGTTAATATAAATTATCGCTAAAAATATACAAGGTCGCGTTTCTGCCCCGTATCTTCGTCTCCCCAGACCTCAGGGTCCCGCCGTGACCCTGAAGTACACGTCGCACGGCTGCACCTGGGGCCTCTCCCACTCCTCGAAGGCCAGGGGCGCCTCCTCCTTCGCGAAGGGCTCCGCCAGCTTCGGCTCCTGGGGCTCCTGGGGCAGTTCCGGCTTGATCTGTTGACCAGGAGTTGGAGTAACGGTCGGAGCTAAACCTTTCTGGTGTTTATTAGAACACAAGCATATGTAGACATACGCATGCAAGTGGCAACTTGAATGCTTAAACCCTAGTGGAAACTTGAAATGTCATGTACGTTCCATTTTCTTCTATTTGAGAGCCCTTCATTGACATGGACAATGGCTGCATGTGTGTAGATTGGCTTCGGCTACTTCAACCACCAGTAACGGCGGTAGGACCGCGCAGCAGTTTTCACTGTTGCACGAATGGGCAGCTCCGTCCGGGTTAGTACCACGACCTCACAGAAGACCGGCGTGAAGTAGAAGTGTTTCACTTCTGCGTTTCCTCTGGTGAGTGAGGTAGCCGGGGCCCACATTGTTTAAGAGGTGGCAACGCATTAGCAACCGTACGTGTGTTGCAAATGTCCATGGGCAGGCGGTTATCACTTAACATCAGGTGAACCGCCAGATCGTTTGCAACTTTCTCACATAAAACTCAGTCTCAATCCGGTCTCCATCCAGTTAGTACATTCTCCAATTGTATGTTACAACGAGCAGCACGCACCTTGGCGCTGCGGCGCAGCTTGAGGTGCACGAGGCGCAGGTGCGTGCGCATGGCGGTGCGCTGCGAGAAGCGGCGCCCGCACTCGGCGCACGCGAACGGCTTCTCGCCCGTGTGCGTGCGCACGTGGTTCGTCAGCACGCTCTTGCCCTGCACGGGGGACACCTCTGCCTTTCATCATGTGTTTTTTCAATTTCTAACCCCACCACCCCCCACCCCCTGTCACGTGATGGGTTTTTACAATTTCTAAGATGACTCCGTGGCGCATAAGCCAAGGTATTGGTTTCGGCGTCGGGGGTCGTGGGTTCGATTCCCACACGGGACAATTATTCGAGTGATACACAGATTGTCGTTTCGCGTCTGGGTGTTTGTCTGCGTGAAATTTATATTTGTAAAACGTCTTTACAACACAGGATCATGTTATTCTAAAGGGCAACGTTAAAAAAAATAGGACCCCCCCTCTCCACCCTCATTATTCTTGCCCTAAAGGGGGCACACAGGTGATTAACGGACGGCCGTTGTAAAGTTCCACTTGGTACTTTCGTCTTTGCCCTAAATTATATGAAGATGTAATTAGACTTGGTCGGCGCATTTGCTACGCGAAAGACATCAACTTGGGCCGTGAGTTCGATTATCTTTAGAGGCAAGTACTTTTATCGCTATCATGATGATGTGTCGTGTCTGAGTAGATGCACTGAGGGCGTTGTGTCTGTGTGCTTGTACTACTGTATGAGGACGGTGTATCTGAGCGTGAGTGCTACTCTATGTGGACGTAGTGTCTGAGTTCGGGCTATGAGAAGTTGCGTACTGCGTAGTGTCTACGTGCGTGAGCTACTCTATGAAGCGTCGTGTATGATATAGTTGTGTCTAAGCGTGTGCTTTACTTTATAAGGACGTAGTGTCTGTGTGAGTGCACTGCTCTGTGGTGTATGTTTGCGCACCCGGAACGTGTGTCCGCACGCGTCGCAGTCATATCTGTATGCGTGTGTCAGATTGTGAGGCATCGTGTCTGTGCGTGTGCGCTATTCTATGAGGACGTTATGTCTGCGTGCGTGCGCTACTCTATGAGACGTCGCGCGACGCATTCGTGTCTAAGTGGTTGCACTACTCTATGAGGACTTTGTGTCCGAGCGTGTGGCTACTGTAGGGTGCGTCGCGCCCGCTCACGCACCCGGAAGGCCCTGCCGCACGTGTCGCACACGTGTCCGGGCGGCGGGCGTTTGCCGGCGTGCACGGCGCGCACGTGCTTGGCGAGCGAGTTGCGCGTGGCCAGCGCCTTGGGGCACTGCGCGCAGCGGTGCGCGCGCACGCCCTCGTGCTGCACGCTCGTGTGGTGGCGCAGCGCGCGCTCCGACTCGAAGCGCTTCTCGCAGCGCCCGCAGCGGTACCTTGGGGCGGGGCGCGCGATGGAAACACTGGCTTTGGGTTGGGTTAGGTTAGGTTAGGTTAGCGCGCGCTCCCGTGAGGAGTTGCCAGATCTCCCATCGGGCGCGTCCCCAGGTGGCGGATAGGGGAATATTCTGGGAGTCCTTTTCAGGACTAAGGGACGTCCAAGAACTTAAAGTCCTAGGAGGCATATCGCTCCCGGTATATCTCTCCAGTGAGAGGGGACAGGGGATGCAACAAGGGAGGGAAATGTGCGAGACGTATGAAAGGTGTTTGCTTTGGGGGTAAAGGGGAGTGAAGAAGAAACAGGCGAGGGATTGCGTGATGTACGAAAGGAAGTTAGGTTAGATTAGCGCGCGCTCCGACTCGAAGCGCGAGCATATGAGGATACATAGGAGCGGCGAGATATACAGCGTGTCTTTACTACCGCGACAATAATGAACTCACATATGTAGGATAACTTTTTAAAATGGTATTAAACATTTACTTTCTTTAAACATCATTTTTTACAGAGTTATTAAATTTTCGAAAACAAACAATTTAAGAACATCCCTTACGTATAAGTGTAACGTAAAGTTCATTTGTAAAGGTCACAAAGCATATGAATGGGTTCAATGAATTTAAAAGAGACAAAACATATTGTTAGAAGAAGAGGCTTGTGATGCCAAACTGTGGCAACGAATGAACAAATAAGTATGAATCATTCAGTTGTAGTTGTATAGGATGTTACAAATTTTATTTCTTTTTTACTTAATTAGTTTGTTTGCAAATATTTTTTTTTTAACTTTTTTAACGTTAATATTTTTTTATGATTATTGGCAGTAGCGTTAGACGTGTGTTCATTTATTGTCGCGATGGTAACGACACGCTGTATACGTGTGGTAACTTACGAACGTATTAATTTCTATTGTAAAATTTTGAGGTTTCATAAGAACGCGCAAGCGTCTATGTGAATGAAGATATTTTACTATTATTTATCTATACAGATAAATAATAATAAAATAATAGTAATATAATATTATAATCGTTTTTTTTACAAAATGCATATGGATGTATACACGGTACATATACCAAAATAACATTTTTTACAATTTTTGTCTATCTATCTGTCTGTTTGTTCCGGCTAATCTCTGAAATGACTGGACCAATTTGGACGGGTCTTTCACTGGCAGATAGCTGACGTAATATAGGCTACTTTTATTTTAGATTTTTTCATTTAAAATTCCACGCGGACAAAGTCGTGGGCACAGCTAGTTATTATATAAATAAGGAGCAGAGATAAATTGATCCTACCCACGACTAGCCCGCATTATTGAAAGGTGGCAAAACATCTCAACCGGTATTGCAAATGTCCATGAGCAGCGGTTATCACTTAACACCAGATTAACCGGCTCGGTTGCCAGTTTCTCACATAACAAAAAAAAATACAAATAGACGCTTCCGCGTTCTTATGAAACGTCGAGTTTTACACGAAAATTAATACCCAAGTTCGTGAGTAAGTTACCATTATAAAGGGTAAAGATATTAGGCATTCAGTCCTCCCATTGTAACCCTTAGTTTAAGGTGTAGCAATGAAGCTTGGATAAATACAAAATCGAAAAACGTTTCAAACGGAACCTTGGGGACAAGAATAGAATTCAAAGAATAGACGCTTGCGCGTTCTTATGAGACGTCGAATTTCAGCGTTACACTTTTGCGTTTCGCTAGGTGAATGAGGTATCCAGGGGCCCACTTGATTAAAAGATAGCAATACATGTACCACATGTTGCAGACGTGGCGGCGATTATCACTTAACGTCAGGTGAATCGCCAGCTCGTTTGCAACTTTCTGACATTAAAAAAAAGTTTTATTTGACGAGACTTCCATAGTCGCATACTTCGGACACAGTTCACAAGTGGATTAAGGTCACTAACTTGAGGTTCTGCGTGTCCATGTGCTTGAGGCTCCTCTGCAGGTGCTGTCTCAGGCTGTGGGCGGATTTGAACCTGGGGGCGAACGGTCGAATTCAACACGAACCGAATAGTAACAAACTCCAGCAAATTCGTCGTGCAAAGACGCTAGACAAATTTAAAAATCACGTAAATAATCACTATCTTTCCCTCTGTAATCCATAGGTAACATTGACAATATTAATCTATTTACTAATATATACTTTCATATATTTATTTATGTTATTTGTATACAGCGTGTCGTTACTATCGCGACAATAAATTAACACATGTCTAACGCTACTTGCCAATAATGATAAAAATATTAACGTTAAACAAAATCCATAAATAAAAAAAAATATTTTTTAAACAAACTAATTAAGTAAAAAAGAAACAAAATTTGTAACACCCTATACAACTCGCACCACAGCGTCGTATTACAAGCCTCTCCTTCTAACAGTATGTTTTGTCTCTTTTTTTTTTTTTTTTTTAAATTCATTCAACCCGTTCATATGCTTTGTGACCTTTACAAATGAACTTTACGTTACAGTTTTATGCGTAAGGGATGTTCTAAAATTCTTTGTTTTGGAAAATTTAATAACTCTGTAAATATTGATGTTTAAAGAATGTAAATTTTTGATACAATTTTAAAAAGTTATCCTCTATATGTGTGTTCATTTATTGTCGCGTTGGTAACGACACGCTGTATTTTATATATTTATTTATGTTTATTATAGTTAATTTTGTTATTATTAAGTAAGTTTATTAAGCCACCACCTCCCACTATTCATAAGTTTATTTTCCTCGTCCTAAGGTTGTCTGGAAGAGATCGCTCTTTAGCGCTAAGACCGCCTTATTGTACCTAGCTTTTAAGATTTATTTTATATGAACTGTATAAAACTTTTTGTGGTGTACAGTAAAGTATATATAATATAATAATAATAACTCCCGCTTCGACGACGAGCTTGTCATATGACAAGTGGAGTCTTCACACGATTTGGAACGCGACAACATTTTGGAGCACGTGACACCGAGCCTGTCAGATGACAAGTGGTACGTAGCCCGTGCAGCGGGTAAATTTGCGATTGGGTCGCTATTGTCTCTTTCGCAATATGAACCTTTCGGAGGAGGCGTTCCAAGAGATAAGAGAACGCTTTTCATACTTCCGCGTTTCGCCTGAGTGAGGTAGTTGAGGACCCGCATTTTCAAAGCGACGCCTTTGCAACCCGTCAGCAGTTGCAGATTGGAGCCTGCTCCCTTCTACAACTCCTGGCGTCTTCGAATAGGCTTCGGACTCGTGTTGGCCGGAGCAAGTAAAATATGTTCAGGCGGGTACTCTCAGAAAGCCCAGATCAGGACAATGAGTGGAGCTTGGCAGACCACTGTTCATCTGGTATCCTCCCCTGCCTGGCCTTTCACCAGGATATATGGAGGCCACGAATGGTGCAGGCCAAGTTTAATGGGTCAAGGCGGTTCCAACGGCGTAGTGGGTAGTGTACCTGCCTCCTGCGTCAGAGGGTCTGGGTTCGATGCCTGCTGCTAGAAAATATTGCGTGATGACCATAGTGTTTTTCCAGTGTCTGGCTGTTTATATGTATATCCTTACTTAATATTATGAACGGGAAAGTTTGTATCGATGGATGTTTGTTACTCTTTCACGCAAATACAACTGAATGGATTCTAATGAAACTTTACAATGATATAGGTTACACATCAGAAAAACACATAGGCTATAATTTATATACATATTTTGATGTATATCTGTCTTTCTGTCTGAATCTTACGACTTCAGCCTATTCTACGCAGACGTAGCGGGTAGCAGCTAGTGTATAATATGTACAAGAGAAAAGTATGTTTAAGTATTACGTTGCTTAGTTTGGGACTAGATAACTTTGTGTAAAAATGTGTCATTTATATTTATTTATTATTTTGGGCCGGTAAGGTAACTAAACTGCCATCGGCACGGCGAAGAGGGAGACGTGGAAAGTGAGAAAGAGAGAGGGATACCTGGTGTCGCACTCGACGCAGTAGTACTCCTTGAGGTCGGAGTGCCTCCTTTGGTGGTGCTTAATCTGGGTGCGGGTTCGAAACCGGGCGCCGCACTCGGCGCACTCGTAGTTCTTTATGCCCTGGTGGATCCTGAGGATCGGTGAGGCGACCAATATAAGTTGACCTCTCTTATGGATACTATTACGGCACACGTGGTCTAATATGGACGTGTTCGATTTTTTTTTAAATTTCGATATCACTATTCAACTTATGAAGCGTTACTCAATACTAATACCAGAAAATGCTAATACCGGTACGGAAATGAAAGCCATTGACGCTGGCCCATTGACATTTGCAACACCTACGGGTCGCAGACGCGATGCGACCTTTTGATAGCCACTAACAGATAACCATTAACAGACCACTGCTGCAAGACAAGACAAAATTAGCACGTTTTGCGTAGATCGATACAAAATATGGTGTGAATATCCTGTATGTATAGGAGTGATAAGCCTTATCAATGACAAGATAAGATATTGAAATTACGCTTCGTTTGTTAATACATAAAAATAATTAAAAATACGAAATATGTATTTTTTTAAGGTCTAATAAAATTATAACTGTCAATAATAAATAAATACGGAACATATTTCGCAACGGTGAGCGGACGACGAGCGGCATAGGTCCATCTAGCAAGGCGCCTCAGCGCTCTCTGTTCAACGTGTGGAATTCGAAGGGAGCCGAAACACGTTGTTTTGGCCATCGCGTTCGAATTTCAATGAATTTAATTAATATTTACAAATTTCTTACATCAACCAACAGATTAAGACAACAGTCCTTTTTATTAATATATTCTACACCATTGATATTAATTTTCTTTAAGATTTTTTGATGTATTACGTTCATTTTTGGATTTGAATTTCTCTTTTAGAGGTAGTTTCATGATTTTTTTCTATCGAGAAAATATATCGAGAATATGTTTTGGAAACAATGTTCCCTTAGAATGTACGATCAAGATTAACATATATTTTTTTTTGCTTTTATAATGTATATGGATTGTGCTAAAAAGTTTTATATTTATAGAGAAGAAGGGAGAAGGAGAATGTCCGCTCCACTCACTGCTGGTGCTCAGCCAGGGAGTCTTTGTTGACGAAACTCTTGCCGCACTGCTCGCACCTCGGCCTGTCCCCAGAGTGGTGGTTCCGCATGTGGCCCCGGTGGGTCTTGCTGTTGCTGAGGGGCAGATAATTCAAAATTCTAATGTCTTTGACGGCGCGTTCGGCTGTTTGAGGGTGACAATTTAAATCCGCCAAAAGCCTAATTGCAACTGATCATATGATTTTTTTTTTTAATGTGAAAAGTTGCCAAACGAGCGAACGGTTCACCTGATGTTAAGCGAATCCCGCCGCCCGTGGACATCCGCCACACCCGAGGGTTGCAGATGCGTTGGCGACCTTTTGAAAATTGGGCTCCGGCCACCTCACTCGAGACGAAACGCGAAAGTAATATACTTCCACTTGACGCCGGTCTTCTGTGAGGTCGTGGCACTCACCCGGACGGGCCTGCCCATTCGTGCAACAGTCGCGGCTGCCGCGTGGTCCTGCCACCGTACAAATAGGTGGGGTATTGTCCTTCGCTGTGACGCGACACCGAGCACAAACGAGAGGGTCAGCACGAGTTGAGACGGCAATCGGTGCGCACGTCCATGTGGTTGGGGGTGTGATTATAATTTCTATTGAATGCAATATATCGTAATTATTATGATATTGTGATCATAGTTTAATGATGACTCCGTGGCGGAGTTGCCAAGGTATTGGCGTCGGGACAGTTATTTGTGTGACCCACGGATAGTTGTTTCGCATCTGGGTATATGTCCGCGTGAAATTTATGTTTGTAAAATGTTATCCTAAAGTAAGATTTTTTAAAAAGAAAAAAAAAATTAGATTAATCCTCCTCGCCCGACTGCGCACGTCTGCTCAGGTATGGAAATGGAAACTGACGATATTGGAAAAAACGAACTGCAGTGGAAAGACACCACCGGAAACTCACTTGGATACTTTCCCGCAGAGCTGGCACGTGTAGAGTTTGAGCAAACCCTCGTGCTGTGAGCTGGAATGTGGAATGGATTTATTAGACAATAGAAAATATAACAATAAAAATCAAATAAAAATGTGATAAATTCAAATAATTTCATTCAGTACAGAATCATTACACTTATTTATTGATTGGCAAACACTACTAGTGCACTGGTGTCTTGTGTGGCAAACGGGTAGTCGTGTAGTGGTTTCTACGGCGTGGATAGTTTTGCTCGTAGCACCTATAACGGATGTACCGTAGTTGTGTAGAGGTTTCTACGGCGTAGATTTTGCTCTGGCACGTAGCACCTGTAGCGGCGGTAATAAAATCGTGTAGAGGTTTCTACTGCGTGGATAGTTCTAAGGCTAGAAGCACTTGTAGCGGTTGTAACGAAGTCGTGTAGTGTTCTACGGCGTGGATAGTGCTTCTTACTTGAACGTGTAGCGTGTAACGATATTGTGTAATTTTTTCTACGGCTTGCTTGATGCTTTGGCTCGTAGCAGGCGGAGCGGCTGTATGGAAGTTGTATAGTGTATTCTACGGCTTGGATAGCGTGTACGCTCGTAGCATCTGTAGCAGATGTAACGAAGTTGCGTAGTGGTTTCTACGGTATGGATAGATCTATGGCTCGTAGCAGATCTCGTAGTACCTGTAGTGGTCGAGGATGGAGGCGCGGTCGGTCATGCGCCTGCCGCAGCGTAGACACTCGTAGCGGCGCGTGTGGATCAAAGCGTGAACGCTAGCGCTGTATGCGGTCGGCAGGTACATGCGGCACAGCTCGCACTTGAACGTGCCCCTCGACTGGATAGGAGGGGTTGAAATTTACATTTTTATATACATTTTTTTTTTCTTTTAATGTGATAAATTTCCAAACGAGCAGACAAGTCACCTGATGTTAAGTGAATACCGCCGCCCATGGACATCTGCTACACCCGAGAGTTGCAGATCCGTTGACAACCTTTTGAAAATTGGGCTCCGGCCACCTCATTCACCAGACGAAACGCGAAGGTATTACACTTCCACTTGACGCCGGTCTTCTGTGAGGTCGTGGTACTTACCCGGACGGGCCTGCCCATTCGTGCAACAGCCGAGGCTGCTGCGTGGCCCTACCACAGTTTAATTAGTGTTCCGTACCCAAAGGGTAAAACGGGACCCTATGACTAAGACTCCGCTGTCCGTCTGTCATCAGGTCGTATCTCACGAACTGTCATAGTTAGACAGTTGATATTTGCACAGACGATTTATTTGTGTTGCTGATATAACATCAGATACTAAAAATAGAAAAAACAAATATTTAAGTGGGGTTCCCGTACGGAACCCTTCGTGCGCGAGTTGTGCAATTTTTTTATTAATTGCTTCTTGTCGTGTACAGGCACAGCATTTGGGTATATAGGTGCCACTCACGCTCGCATTTGATCTCTATAATTTTTATTTTAGCTTAATAAGTTATGTTTTACTTCACTAATTTTTAGAGCCGTGATAGCTCAGGGTCCGGGCGCTCGCCTTTAATTCTATATACTCGACCTAAGTTCGATTCCCGGTGCCAGCACCAACGAAATTGTTAATTTTATGTGAAACATCGTGATATTGTCTAATCGTGTCTTGCATATTGTCGAAATGATAACAAAAAAAAGTATTTCGACGATAAGTGAAGTCCGCCAATCCGCAGTGGGGCCGCGTGGTGGACTATGCCCTGATTCCCTCTGTATAGAGGAGGCCTTTGCCCAGCAGTGGAACATGTTTAGGCTATTACTTTACTGTTTTTACTCATTTTTATGTTGGGATTTTACTGGGTATATTTTTTCTTTTTACGTATACACTCGCTCTCAAATTAACTATTGGTACGTATTTACAATTATAAAACACTTTTATACAAATTTTAATAAAAACACTATATACATTAGAAGAAATTAAAAAAAAAAACTCACCGGACTGTGCTTGGTCATGTGGTTTTGCAATTTGGACTCAAAGTTGAAGCCCTTAAAGCAGAGATTACATTGGAATGGAAACTTTAGCACAGCCTTGCTCTCTTCCTGCGAACACGAAAAAATTCCAATTGAAAGAGCCGATCAATTCATTTGCCAGAGTCTGTTATCATTTAAATAATTACTAGTATTATAATAGTAAAGTACAATAGTATATATAACCGGAATACACTCAGAGACCTTTTTAAAGAGATTAATATACTCACTGTTGCGTCTCAATATATTTATTGTAATATTTTGTATTTTAAACATAATATTAATAATTATCTAAAGAATAGTGACAGACAAACTAAATACTAGAAATAAGGACAAACTAACTACGCCATTGATTCATCTACAAAAAGTACACAGGTCGTTCATGGGGCAAAGTGTGCGCATGTATAATAAAATCCCACAGTCGATATTAAGTCTGCCACTTGATGAATTTAAACGAAAAGTTAAAAGTAAACTTATGGCTAAAGCATACTATACTATTGCCGAATATCTTGACGACGCCAATGTTTGGGGTTAATACTGTTGATACTCACGTAGGCTAAAACAAGACTATTGTACCTGTACCATATTGTAAACTGATTTTCTAAAAAAAGAGCAACTGTTGAGTTTCTCGCCGGTTTCTTCTCAACAGAAACTGCTTTCCGAACCGGTGGTAACTTACGAACATATTAATTAATTTCCTTGTAAAATTTCGACGTTTCATAAGAACGCGCAAGCGTCTATGTGAATAAAGATATTTTATTATTATTATTATTATTAGTAAAGACCCACCTCTCTCTGTTTGATCTGCTCTTCGGGGTTTAACACGACTATCCTGATCTTCGTCGGGTCCAGTTCCACCGGTTTCCTAATGGAGGTCTTCCGTTCTGGCTTCTTCTCTTCTTGACCCTCGCCTGTTGCTTCTGCGCTGTGGACACGCATATTTCATTTAACTCTTGGCTCCACTTCTCTCACTTATTTCATTAAATATATGAATATACTAAAGAATTTTAGACTTTATAAAGAACTAGTGTGTGATGGGTCATCAACCTTTTTACAAGTTATAAAATATAAAACACAACCAGTTGTTATAAAATAGAAAAGTTTTGCTAGTGCCTCTAAACTGTCATTAATAATGTACCGTTTATTTAAAAATGTTTAATAACAACTGAGTATGAACAACCGAACATATTGGAGATTATTCAACATGAACTAGTTTCATGTTGCCAGACTTGTAACTTCATAATGGAACTTTGGAAACGTCTTAACTATTTAGTGCATTGCTTCTAGAGCATATCTAGAGTTTACAGTTAATTTAAGTGTACAATTTTTTTTTTAAAAGCATTGCCCTTACTTCAGGATATCATTATCCTGTGTTGGAAGGACGTTTACAAACATAAATTTCACGCGGACAAAGACCCAGATGCGAAACAACTATCTGTGGGTTACATAAATGGTTGTCCCGTGAGGGAATCGAACCCACGACCCCCACCGCCGAAGCCAATAACTTGGCCACTGCGCCACGGAGTCATCAAAAATATGAATGTACTAAAGCTTTTTAGACTTTTAAAAGCACCAGTGTGAAAGAGGTCATAAACCTTTTTAGTAGATTGATATTTTTTTTTTTTTTTTTTTTAATGCCAAAAGTTGTCAAACGAGCAGACGGTTCACCTGATGTTAAGTGAATACCGCCGCCCATGGACATCTGCCACACCCGAGGGTTACAGATGCGTTGACAACCTTTTGAAAATTGGGCTCCGGGTACCTCACTCACCAGACGAAACGCGAAAGTATTTGTCATACTTCCACTTTACGCTGGTCTTCTGTGAGGTCGTGGTACTTACCCGGACGGGTCTGCCCATTCGTGCAACAGCCGAGGCTGCTGCGTGGCCCTACCACCGTAAAGTATATCTATGAAATATAATCTATTATTCAAACTGTCACCATGTTGCCAATTTTCCCCGTCTTTCATACATCTGCTAAAAGACGTAACTTTTAACTTTATAGTGTGTACTTTGGAAACATTAGTTTTGGTGCATTGCTTCTAAAGCATATTTAGAGTTAGTTTACAAAGTGTCATATATTAATGATCTTGACGTCTCAAGGTTAAGTATCAGCCTATACGTGCCGCACTCCTGGGCAAAGGCCTCCTCAGTACAGAGGGTATAGTGCCCACCGCGGGTTGGCAGACTTTACATATCTTCGAAATATTTATTTTTTTGTTAGTATTTCGAAAATATGCAGGTTTCCTCACGATGTTTTCCCTCACCGCTGGACACGTGACAAGTCAGCACTTAAAATCAAGTTTCATTGGTGCCGGCATCGGGGACCGAACTGAGACCACGCGACTGAAGTGAAACATCTTGGATACACGAGTATCTTTCTCGGCCCACCAGCACTGGTTACATTAAAATGCTATAACTCGCTAATCTGATATTGGAATATTAAAAAAAAGCAGCTGATATTAGAATAAGTTTTAAATTTGGTTTTAGTTTTAAGTTTGCTTTGGAATATTGTTATGAGCGTAAGATGATCTGAATAAAAGGCTATTATTATTATTATATTATTATTAACTCGCTAATATCAGGGAGTACTGGTCCGATTTGAAAGTAATTACACTGTTAGATTGCCCATTTATTGAGAAAGGCTATAGGCTACTTTTTAAGTACGATATAAAATGTATGTACGTAGTACATGCGGGCGGAACCGCGGGGGCTAAAAGTTGTAATGTTATAATATTAATGTGACGACAATTTAAAATTCTTTTTGGCAGATAATTTTATCAATTAATTAAGGTGTGATGAAGAATGATATTGTCGTTACAGTCAGTATACTATTAAAGCACCATCACGCTCGTGGGATAGCCAGTTTCCACATACTTCGGTACGAAGCATACATGATAAATTTAAAGATTTCAGATTTCTGACAAATTTATTACAGTAATAAAACTTGGAAACCGCACGATTAATATATTGACAATAATATCAAAATTTAACTGATAAACAATTGGAGCACTATCAAATGCATACAATGATGATTAGAATTTAGCATTGTGTCGTCCGAGTGAAACAAAGCCATCATCATTTTGGTCCGCCCTTCTGTCGGATCATCGCGGAGAGATCTTTTTTCCTTTGCGCCCAATACCAAAATGAGTTTGGTATTGAACGTAGCAAAGCGAGATTCGATCCAATACAATTGTTTATGTGTTCTTCTGATTTTTATGTCCTCTCACTATGTTGGTATTACGGCCGATATGCCGGAAGCGATCATGAATGGTATAGCTCTAATGTCTTCTTCAACCGCTATTGTCCCAAATAAATAGTTGGAAATAACAATCCTTCCGCGTGTTCATCGAATAATAAACTACGAGGAATATTGTATTCTCCAGATTCTCAAATATTCTTCCTCGTTCCACGGAAGTGTGTTGCTGAGCTGTGAGACCCTCATCGATGGGAATATCTTCACTCACTTCGTCCATGTCACCTATTTGTTGAGTTTCTCCATCATTAATGAGGAATCCACGATTTATCGTGATATTGTAATGTGTATAAAGAAATATCTTTCTTCTCATATAACCCTCGTAAATTGTGAAAAGTCCATTTGTGAATTAGTTACTGTTTTTAAATGTGAACAATATTTATTTATCTAATATTTACAAGATTCTTTTTGATATGAATGTATACAGCGTGTCTTTACAATCGCGACAATAAATGAACACACATATAAAGAATTTTAGAACAGCCTTACGTATAAAACTGTAACGTAAAGTTCATTTGTAAAGGTCACAAAGCATATGAATGGGTTGAATGAACTTAAAAGAGACAAAACATACTGTTAGAAAGAGAGATATGTAATGCGACGCTGTGGCAACGAATGAAAAAGCCTCTGAATGTATGAATCAGTCAGTTGTAGTTGTATAGGTGTTACAAATTTTGTTTCTTTTTATTAAGTTTGTTTGAAAAATATTTTTTTATAATTATGGATTTTTTTAACGTTAATATTTTTTATGATTATTATTGGCAAGTAGCGTTAGACGTGTGTTCATTTATTGTCGCGATGAACCAAATTTGTAACATCCTATACAACTTCAACCGACTGATTCATACATTCAGAGACTTTTTCATTCGTTGCCACAGAGTCGCCTCTCTTTCTAACAGTATGTTTTGTCTCTTTTAAATTCATTCAACCCATTCATATGCTTTGTGACCTTTACAAATGAACTTTACATTAAAGTTTTATACGTAAGGGTGTTCTAAAATTCTTTGTTTTGGAAAATTTGATAACTCGTTAAATATTGATATTTAAAGAATGTAAATCTTTAATGAAATTTTAAAAAGTTATCCTCTATATGAGTGTTCATTTATTATCGCGGTGGTAAAGACACGCTGTATAATTGCAATGACAATTACGATTCGACGTTGACATTATCGTTTCCTCTTTCGAGATATTCTCGCGTACGTTCTGATGTTTCGATTTGTTGATGCGATGTGAATCCTCCCTTCTGGTTAGCTCTGAGGACATGCTGTCCTTTGTTGATGGATCCCCTCGTGATGATGTGCCGACTGTGGCATCTGAATCTTGACCACTTTGCCGCTTCCACAGTACTCTCTTTGCTCTAAGTGGGAAAATGCGAACAAGAATTTTACGACCCTCCAATGGCATAAGTCTTACAAATAGAAAACGAGTGTGCTTTAGACCAAGACTGAAGTAAAACTTCTCTAGCTCCATCTATACGTAATCTGTATTTCCATCTGTGTGAATTTACAATTTTACTCACTTCAAACGTAGGACATTTAATGTATTTAACAAGATATTAATTCAAAAATTGTTCAAGAGCGACACTATCAAGAGATCACCGTTCGCGTAACATCACACTTTTCGTAACGCTCGGGCGTAAAGAAGTTTTACTTCGTTTGATATTTACAATTTCTTCCTCTGCCGGTATTCCCTCATTCGTTGGGCGGCAGTTTTCGCCTGTTTCTTTGATGGCTCACTGCGGCCTCTCTTTCTCTCTCTCCAACGGCGCGTTGCCTCCGCAGACTTTGCTCTTCTCTCCATTATCCTCATTTCAGAGGGTCCAGGGGCTGAGTTGTCTTCCGATGGACCACTTCGAATGTCTTCTGTAGCAGTTTCGACCATCGCATCTATTTCCTGCTGTCGTTTAAGCAGTGCTTTCCGCGCTCTGAACTCTCGGCCACGTTCTGCGGAGGTTTTCGGCGCTTTTTCCGACCTACAATTTCGTCATTTCGTTTTGGTGAATTTAGTGAATCATTAGAGTCATGTGTGATTGTGAAAATGAAAAGAAATTTACCCAAATCCGATAATTTGTCTCGGTTTTTGTATACGATCTATATAGGCATATCCGTCAACGGCTCCCATTCGATTATTGTCGCGTTCAATCACTATGTCACCGATTGTTTGTAATGGTGAACATCTACAATTATTAATTAGTATTTTATTATTTATGCATTTGTTACATTTAAAAAATTTGCCGAAGCAAATTGTAGAAACGCGTGGCCGAAATACGGAAGAGTAAAAAGGAGCGAGCGAGAGAAAGAGACAAGAAAATGACAGAGAATCAAACGCGCCCAATGTCGAGAGTGGAACGCCGTGTATTAGTAGAGGGAGAAAAGAGACAAAGGAAAAGGAACGCTGCATTTGACGATACGACGCCAGAAACTATTAATTATCAGTTGATTAGGTCTCACTAGGTTTAAAATCTTGCCTTGAATATGTTTTCAAACATTTTTATGCACAATTTCCGTACGCAATTTCTTTATAGTTGATGGTCCTGGCACCGCTTTTATATTCAGAGTCTGTGTCACTTCCTGCCATAATTCACCTTTTATAAATACGTTTTTAAAGTTCATATTTTGTGAAATTTCCCACAAAATATGAACTTTAAAACGTATTTACAATTTTTTTTTTTTGTTTAAACGTAGGATATTTATTGTATTGAACAAAATAGTAATTTATAAAATTGTTCAAGAACGAAATGAAATTACGTACTGATCAGGAAATCACCGTTCGAGTAACGCTAGCAAACTCACAAACGGACTACTGACTGAGATATATATATATATATATATATTTCATTGACTAGCTACGAGAAGAAGAGAGTAAGAAAATGCTATCTCGCCTGCTAATACAGGGAGATACAGACAATAGGCCTGCACTGTGTCTTAGATATACGAAACGTAACTGGTTATGAAAGAAAGAGATAAAGAAAATGTGTGCTCGCAACTCTCTCTTGCCCCTAGAGTAATATACAAAACGTAACTCCTTTTCTTTCTATCTTCACTAACTTATATCTCCCTCTCAACTTCCGTTCGCCTCACCCGATCACACTTCTCGTAACGCTTTCGAAGTTTTACTTCAAAACTCGAAGCAAAGACATTCCAGCATTATAATATGTTGTGATTCCACTTACATTTTTCCAAAAGTAATCATATTATCTTAATATGAGATTTACATAAAGATAATTAAGAAACTAGAATCATAACACCGGCCAAGTGCGAGTCGGATTCGCGCACGAATGGTTCCGTACCATTATCGTTAAGAACGGAAAATCATTTCTGTTGTATTGGAGTCACACTTAATATTTTTTTACTCTGATTTTTTTTTAGTATTTGTTGTTATAGCGGCATCAGAAATACATCATCTGTGAAAATTTCAACAGCCTAACTATCATGGTTCATGAGATACAGCCAGGTGACAGACGGATAGATAGACGGACGGACAGATAGATAGATAGACAGACAGACATCGGAGTTTTAGTAATAGGGTCATGTTTTAACCGTTGGGTTTGGAAACCTAGAAACTATATATAAATTTAGATCGGAAATAGGTAAGGATGATTATGATAGCATTTCTCACTGCTCACATTGGCTTCTTCTTTTTCCCTTTCTCATCCTTCCTTCTCGTCTTCTTCTTTCTCTTAGGGTCCCTTTCCACTAGGAGGTCCACGCTGTCAGCGTTTGGTTTTGTCGGTGACTCCTCATTTTCTGACTTGGGGTTGTTCCATCTACAGGGAGAGAATAATGAAAACGCTAGAACTTTAAAACTTAGTGAAACTTTCTACCGGTTTGGTTACTTACAATGCTCTATTTTTTTTTTAAATAAAAAAAGTTGTCGTTGAAGCAGGCGTTTCACCTGGTGTTCTGTGAGTACCACCTCCCAGGGACTTCTACAACAACTTAGGGGTTGCAGGAGCGTTGTAAAACTCTAAAGAAGTTGGCCCCGGTCACCTCACCAATTAGATAAAAACGCGATGGTAAAATACCCCCACTTCGCGACGGTCTTCCTTGAGCCCGTGGTGCTTCCCCGTACGGGTCTACCCATTTCCGGGTACTCTCTGTACAGATGTACTCATTTCTACGGTGGTACTTTGTGTTTAATGCAACATCAATCCAAGGAAAGGGCTAATGATAACTCTGTGATGCAGTTACCAACACATTAACTTCAGCACTGGAGGTTATGGGTTCAATTCCCATATGGAACAATTACATGTGTCATACATAGATAATTGTTTCAGATCTGGGAGTTTGTCCATGCGAAACATATGCATGTTAAACATCCTTACAACACAGAATAATGTTATTCTAGAGTAAGGGCAATGCTTTTTTTAAAGAAAGGAAGGTAATTAGATTGTTAAACTCCATATAAATAAAAGTTATATTCACCTGTACTCTTCCAGAGTTATGTTGTCGTCATAATCTGAGAAACCAGTTTCTTCTTTAACACATTCCTCTGTCTTTTTCAACAATGGCGGTAAACTGATTTCATCTAGTGCCGGATTCTGTATTTGCTTTTCGTGCTGCAAATAGAAGAATTTTATATTGTTATACATAACTTCAGTTGAGATTCTTATTATATTATTTTTAATAGTAATTCTTGGTAAATGTGGATTTTCATTTAACTAAAACTTATATTTTCATTATTGTAAAGTCATGTGTATCAATCGCAACCACGAAGCCCATAGCTTGACGGTTGCAATACCAAGCTATTTTACTAAATGTTATGTGTTATACAGCGTGTCGTTACCATCGCGACAATAAACGAACACACATATAGGAAATAACTTTTTAAAGTTATATTAAACATTTAAATTCTTTGCACATCAATATTTACAGAGTTATTAAATTTTCTAAAACTAAGAATTTTAGAACACCTTACCTATAAAAGCGTAACTTAAAGTTCATTTGTAAAGGTCACAAAGCATATGAATGGGTTGAATGAATTTAAAAGAGACAAAACATACTGTTAGAAGGAGAGGCTTGTAATGCGACGCTGTGGCGCGAGTTGTATAGGGTGTTACAAATTTTGTTTCTTTTTTACTTAATTCGTTTGTTTGAAAAATATTTTTTTTTAATTATGGATTTTGTTTAATGTTAATATTTTTTTAAGATTATTGGCAAGTCGCGTTAAACGTGTCTTCATTTATTGTCGCGATAGTAACGACATGCTGTATACAGTAAATGCTTGAGACGCCTTTAAAGCAACCCACCTCTAGGACCTTAAGGAAACCAGTTTTGCTTCTGCCCCCAGTATCAAACGCCAACGTTTGAGTGGCACACAGGTGGGGGCGCTCATATTTGTTCAGTTCTGGGTCCTGGGCATCTATTGGGAACTGGAGAGTGCAAAGAAGTTCGTGTTATAATTATATAATTTAAATTCCGCTACTAAAGATTAAAACATCTTATTACAAATATATTAGCTTACAAACACAAAATTACAGGCACAAAGTACACCCAAACTCAGAACATCTGTTTAACTTCATTTCATTCAATATTAGCTCACTCTTGTGTTTGCGTGGTTGAATAAACCTTGGCCATGTCAAATACTTCATAAAACATTCTGCCAAATTTAAAATATTAAATGGTAAGTGTGTAACAACCATCGCAGGGCCAAGCAAACTGTAGTGGAGCTACGCAGCAGGTTCCCCTGTTGTAGTATTGGGCAAGCTTGACCAGGGATGTACCAAAGTCTAACAGAAAACCAACATAAAGATACATGTCTTATATCAGATTGTCAATAACAATAGTAATGAAATGGGTACATTTATTTTGATAATAAAAAAATATTACATCAAATAATTATTAGGAATTTGTCTTACATGTTCCCACTAGGCTTAATAAAGTTCACATGTGTTATCTTGTTTTACTAATTCACAACTATTTAATTATTGCACAATAATTGCCGGCTATACATAATTGTGTGCTGTTTTACTATTAATGTTTTATATAGAAACCATAAATGATCAATTGAGACACTACAAACGCAACCCAGATGTTGAGCTTAGAATGAATGAACAGTTCCCAATAACTTGGCCCTACTTTAAATCACTAAAAACTAATAAAACTATATAATTATGTAAAGACCATAATTTACCGGTGCACATCTAGTTAAGTACTCATACAGCAATATGTTAGCTCGTTGTAGCTTTTGTTTGAACCGTACAGCCTTCTGGAGAAGTGCAGCGCACTCCCAGCATAACCACTGGGGAAGGCCATCTGACTCGGTTACCTGAAGTTAGAGAGAAATAGTTGGATTTAGAATGGATTATTTTGTCAATACTTAGGATTCATAGGTAAAAATTCCGAACAGTATGTCTCGTTTTTCAAGATAGAAAAAAATTTTAATCGATAGAGAAATGTTAATAATTAAATATTACATACATGAAAACCAAGGCAAACACTTACTTTTAATAAAAAAAAAAATATTTAAAACTTGTTATTTTCACTAAATAAATCCGCCATTTTGTGTTTGACAACATGTATAAATTTACGAATTCACACACTTTTCGAAATTATAACCTTCGCATTATTAAAAAAGAGTCTTTAAAAATACTAAAGTATTGTTACACTAAAGTTTTCTGGGTGGTCATAAAAAAAGAACCTAACAACGAAGGCTAACCTAACCTATCCGAGTCGGATCGCTCTGTGTCGGATCTGTGACTCATTTTTGAACCTAATATTTGAGACATTAAGTGTACGCTAAGTCACAAATTTTAAATTTTAGAAATTGTTAATAATACAAATGTTCATGAAGTAGAAACTTGTGTTTTTGTGATATATCTGTGTATTTGTGTCTTCTTACAACATAAAAAGTGAAAACGTAAGTTTTTAACTTAAAATAATAGTCTATCATGAATAATGGACGCACAGTAATTACGGATTTCAGTTGTATGAAATTTAAAAACTTTGTTAATTTTTTCCTCATAATCTAGTGGTTTTCATTGATTATAACTTATATAATATTTAGTTATTAACATTTCTCTATAGGTTAAAATTTTTTTCTAGCTTGAAAAACGAGACGTACTATTCGGAATATTAGCCCTTTTGTTAAATACCACTAATATGAAATTTTAAAGAACACAAGAAAAACACCACGATCTGTTTTAAAATTTAAAATTCACTAATGCTAAAAACGACAAAATGGTGTTTTTAAATAAAATTTTGAATTATAACTTACTGCATATAGTCATTAAGTAATTTCTAATGTTAAAGATGGAATGATAAAACAATATTTACCGTAACACCGGCTAAATCATAAAATAAATCACTATATAATTTTACATTAGTTCCACGTCTGTCCTTGGATAGACAACAGCGACATATCGTTCTCACAATCTCAAAATCTAGTTTACAATCTTCGTTATTCTTTTCACTATCAACTTCCATTTTTTAGGATAAAATTTATAAATTTTATTAAAATAAAAAGACACATGACAACTACAAGTGCAAGAAATTTGTAAACAATATGGCGTGTGGCAGTTAAGCATGGGCTAAAAATATCGATATTTTACCAAATAAATATCGGTATATAACATCGATATTTTCATCGCCGATATATCGATATTCGATATTTATTTTTGACTATCGAATTCGTGTCAAATTCGACATATTTTTGTAACGCCACTCTGGTTTGGTGTCTATTCACTAGATGCGTCCAAGATTTTTTTTTTAAATGAAGATTATATTATGGCCTAGTCACAAGAACTTTAAGCCCATACCATGAAAATACTAATTATACCTTATTACCTATTGAACCATCAGTGCGAAACGTATATGACCCTAAAGTTAACAAAATTTTTATTAATTTTAATATTAACACAATTTTCGGATCTTTTTTTCAACAAATCAAAAAAGATACAAAATTGCACATGTAGAAATTTAAAAAGTCTAAGTACAACATTTTATAATTTAACGTTGGAAAAAGTTTCAAAAATTATTATACGTCGACTAACTTCAGTGTCATGAGAAGTTGATCAACTAGTTAAATTCTTAACTATTTAGCGTGATACTTATGTCAGTTTGATGGTTTTATTTAACGCTGCGACATTCAATGAGTCCAAATTGTCTGACTAACTACAAATTAATAAATTTACGAAAAAAGAACACGTTAAAAAGAAATAAAATTCAAAAGCCGTTTGACAGAGGAGCCCAATAAACAGAGGTTGCTCCTAATGTCCATATCAGATGATTATTGGTTCGTATAAATTGTATTTGATTGAGTCGATTATTAATAAATATTACTTTTTTCTTCGTGTTTATTCTTTTTCACGAATTTTGAACGGTTTGGAAATATAAATAATGAAAAAAAGAACCTTAAAATATATCGATATATCGACATTTTTCACTCGATAATTATCGATAGTTTTAAAAATGTCGATACGATAAATATCGATATATATTTTTAACTTACCCATCCCTAATATCAAAATGACATAATCCTAAATGCAATTTTCAAAGCCCCAAAAAAGTCCGGTACTGTATTCAAAGATGTTATTTACGTAAGTTTTACGTTTTTTAAGGTAAATAAAATATAACTTAGTTTCAATTACTTTCCATTACAATTTCAATTAAAATTTTATTATTTCTAGACATTTTGCTTTTTTTTACAAACTTTGGTCAGTCAAAATAGGTAATGTATGAAATATTATTCATGGCCCTAAAAGTGTCCCTAACCTTTTTTGTACCCTAAAAAACCCCTCTAAATCACCATCACCAAATTTAGGGCAAAAAGTTGGCAAGTCTGGCGATTGGCGTGCCACAATGTTAAAGAATTTTTTGTTTGTAAATTGTTTGTAGTACAATAAAAATAGATTATTGTTTTTTTTATAAATTATTAATTATTAACTTTTCATTTACTATAGGATAACAATAAGGATATATAACAAACATATATTTTCAGTAATTGTTTATATAAGCGCCGACGTCGTTTTCCACATTCCAAATAAAATATTTTTAAATGATAAAAAAAATGTTTCAGCTGCGTTTCTCATAGCCGAAATTATTTTTTTTCATACACTTAAAATCCGAGAAAAAAAATTATATCTTACGCGAAAGATTTAATTTTTTTACATCACGGATTTGGACGTGGCTTGCGAGAGCTCGTATTGCGGTCTCCATATCCTGTTTAGTGTTAATTTCGGCAGGGATTGACTTTATTATAGACGGATTAGCTTCGTTGAACTTTGACTACACTTTGCGCCAGCTAACAACTGTTTTGGTTTGGGAAGTGGCTATTGCCGAGGGCCCTAATCAGAGAGAAGTTTAGGAATCGCTTTAATGTCGCTTATGGTGGGGTTAATATTTTTGACGATTGAAAAATCAAGGAAATCCGTTGTGCTTCCCCCTATGTAAGGGAAGTGCGTGTCTTCGGCAGGGGCTGCGATATCGACATCGTGACTATCGGATAGAGTCGCGTGCAATGCCTCAACTGTTGGTGCGAGTAGAATTCCATCGGGTGTTCTTGCTATTGAAATCGCCTGCAAGAGTGGTTACTCCTAATAAAAGGAGGGCCTCAAAGTATGAGCGCAATAATACTGCGTCCGATCTACGCGGAAGGTAGACGAAATCTATTTCTATGGGAGCGTGGCCAACTGTCTGACCGAGGCCTCGAGAGATTTTGTAATATATGACTGTGCATAGTCAGAAACAATCGCTGACATTGGCATCTTCCGAAATGACGTTGCGTGGACGAATCCGCATGGAGCTCCTGCGTCTGAGACATTTCTGAGAATTTTGGTCGTGCTTCCGTAGATTCGTTAGTTGATACGGGTGGTTGGTGGTATGCTTAGATACTGGTATTGCAGGTCCAAATTTTCCATCACATTTTCTACAGATTCCAGTTCCACAGCATTATAAGCAAGAGCTCGTTGATTCTGTTCATGTCCACGCGCCTCGTTCCTCCCGAATAGCACGCAGTTGTTCCTCGTGCGCGGCGTGCTTGTTCCTCCTGTGTTTCTTGCATGATGTGGAGTCGTGCCAGAAATGGTTGATGTCCACTGGTTGAATCACTTCATCTTGTTGCTGCTTTGATGCTACCTTTTGTTCCCTAGGCATGACGGGCATTCTCCAATCCCACTTCTGACAACAGTTTATACGGGCTAGCGGGGTTGGAGTGCAACGCCGGTCGTTTGAGTTTTCATTTTATTATAACACTCAAATTCTCACTTACTATTTCAGGTGCGCGACTTCTCTCGTTGCAATGCGCTACGAATTTCCAGTTACGAGTATACAACGTGTCGTTACAACCGCGACAATAAATGAACACATTTATACAGGATAAATTTTATAAATATTTACCGAGATATTAAATTTTCCAAAACCAAAAATTTTATAACACTTACGTATAAAACTGTAACGTAAAGCTTAATTGGACTTAACGATTGAATGAATTTAAAAGAGATAAAACATACTGTTAGAAGGAGAGTAACGCGACGCTGTGCCAATGAATGAAAGCCTCTGAACTTATGAATCAGCCAGTTGTACCGTTACCGTTTCGCTAATGTAAACAATTATCGATTTTTTTAAAGATACATACAAATTTTCCTCGACCACTAGAACATTTGTATAACTTAAATAATTGAAATGTGGAAATTGAAGTCACGAACCGCTTATTAGCTTATGACTTTCGGACCACCTAAGTCATAGAGATTGTGTTAAGGGGTACTATGATAAACTTTTGTAGCTATTTAATAAGCTCATAATCAGGACACTATCCCACTCTCTACTTTTAGGAACTTTCTAAAGTTCTTACGTTCAATGATATTTTAGATTTAGATTTCCAAACATGTGAATATATTCTGTTGTCGCTCTGTTTGAAAATAGGAATACTTTTGACCGGTGATTTTGTATGCGTATAAAATCTTATTGTTACCGTTTCGAGAGATGTGGCAAGTTTGATTTGTGAAATGAAATTTCATGAACATTTTCAAGGAAGGAAATAAAAATGAAAAGTATAAAGTATTTTAATTATAATTGTATTTACAATATAAAATCTAATGGATATACTGAGTTCCTTGTTAATTTTTTGAATGATCACAAGACAAAACATAAATAGGTGGTGGCGCAGCCAACACATATACGGGAGGATCTGTAAAAGAACAAAATATTTTTTATAAAAGTAAATGACCATTTTTGTAGATAAATGAACATGAACTTTCAGGGCTGCGGGATTGGAACCTCTTCTGTTTTCGCGCTCAGACGTTTTACCAACTAAACTAAGTGGCCGATGACCTCACGGTATGTGAATCTCGACATCTACTTTCTCTATCTATATTTACTTTCGTTTCAATGTATTTTTAGCATTTAATAACGTTTTTTTCTATCCTTAAAACTGAAAATGTTTTAAACGAGAAGAAATAAAGTCCTAAATATTGTCAGCTTAACGTAAATTTTTCATTGTTCATAGTCCGAGCGCTCGTTTCTAATTCCAAGTACTCGAGCAGCCTGAGCTCGATTCCCGGCGCCGGCACCAATGAAATTGTTAGTTTTAAGTGCTGACATCATATTTATACAATTAGTTAATCATTAATAATAACAAAAAAAAATGTTTCGGAGATATGCGAAGTTCGCCAATGCGCAGTGGGGCCACGTGGTGGACTATGCCCTAATACGCTCTACAGAGGAGGCCTATGTAATATGTCCCACTGCCCAGGCTGTTACTTTACTTTTTTTATGTTTTCATAAACTTCTTACCACATGCTGGTACGTAATTGGATCTAACATTGTCCAAAGAGTTGCTATTACTACCACTGCTGCAGCTGAAATAAACAAATTAAAATATAACATCTTAAAGTGCCTTACTATGGGCAAAATGTTATTTAATTTATTAACTACCATTGGTTTCCTATACTTATATTATTTAATGACTTAGATAAAGTACAGGCAGACGTTGCAGTGTTCTGCAAATCAGCCAACGAACAGGCTTGTCTTAGTTTAGCGACCAATTTATGCTGCACCATATTATGGCAATTAGTTGTACAATTGTTATTATCTGCATCTTCAACCAATATCTGTGGAACGTTTCGACATGAACGATTGCTTTGATTATTCGCATCTTGACTTAATCTGTGAATAATATTTTGACAGTAGCATGTGCCGTTTCCACCAGGGTTAGGAACAGGTAGATATTCTACCGTTTTGGTAGGAATTGTAGTTTTCGTCGGGTACTGTTTGTTTGAATCGTTGCGGCTGAGCGAACGGTGTAAGTTAGGGTCGGAAGCGAATTTCTCTGTGAAACGAGCGTTTCGCCTGTTTCTGTTCATCATAGATATCTGATATTGCCCTCTTCGGTTCGTAGTCGGCGATATGTTGGGTGATCGCTCGGGCGATGCGTACGCTGATGTACATTTCGGGGTCCTTGATGTCTCCTTTATCTCGTATTCGGTTGCAATTGCTTCAAATACCTATAACAAGACGAAGTATTGCAATGTATTTATTTTAACAATCCAGAAATTTAATTTTGACTGTAATTAAATATGAAACATGTTGTGATTTATTTATGACACATTTACCTGTTCAGCCACCAAGTTTCTTGAATATGGAGATTCTTTCGAAGGTAAATTCTCTCGACACAACGCGCATCGCTCAAGTCGGCTCCAACATGCTGCAACAGTAAGAATTTTAAAATGAACAACATTTTTATCGATAGAAAAATAGTATAAACAAACTTAAGTACCTAACTAATGTGTAACTAACGTTTTACAATTTGTATTTGATATGAATCTATTTATATCTATGTTTCAGGTTTTAATTGGTTTATGAGATGGATTCCACACACTTTCACACGTCAATTCACTTTCGTTGACCATAGTTTGGTTAAACGTGACTTACACTACTTATTTAAATTGTAAATTTTTTTAGATAAATGAACAAAAACTTTCGGTGTTGCGGGAGTTTAACCTGTGTCTTCTGGTGTCACACCTAGACACTTTACTTATTTAAAAATAAAACTATCTTAAGTAACTTATTTCGCTCGAGTTTTAATTTGAAAATTTGACTTTTTAAAGACTTTTCCATGGGATTTAAAGTCCCATGTTTATATACCAGTGTTCGAAGTGTCTCGAGTTTAAAATTTAATGTGGTATTAAAATCTAAAAAATAAATTGTATGTACAGCGTGTCGTTACCATTGCGACAATAAATGAACACACGTCTAACGCTACTTGCCAATAATCATACAAAAATATTAACGTTAAACAAAATCCATAATTAAAAAAAAAATATTTTTTAAACAAACCAATTAAGTAAAAAAAGAAACAAAATTTGTAACACCCTATACAACTCGCACCACAGCGTCGTATTACAAGCCTCTCCTTCTAACAGTATGTTTTGTCTCTTTAAATTCATTCAACCCATTCATATGCCCTGTGACCTTTACAAATGAACTTTACGTTACAGTTTTATACGTAAGGGTGTTCTAAAATTCTTTATTTTGTAAAATTTATTAACTGTAAATATTTATATTTAAATAATGTAAATGTTTAATACAATTTTAAAAAGTTATCCCCTATATGTGTGTTCATTTATTGTCGCGATTGTAAAGACACACTGTATAAGAACACAACATTCGTCTAAGTAAATAAGGCCCTACGTCAAACATTGATCACTCAATCATATAGTTACGTCACACGCATTATTACGTACATCGTAACCTCGTCTCTACGAAGTGAAGTACCTTCGCAATAGAGATGGGACCTCGCGCAGGTGAGGGCCTTGGTGGCCGTCGCGGCGCAGACGCAGCAAGACAGCGCCTTTATGACGCCAGCGAGCGCTCGGCGCGACTTCTCGCCGCGGGAGCCCCCGCCGCAACTCCACAGTAGCTGGGACAAATATTCCTTTTTATGTGAAAAGGTTGAAAGCGAGGTTGGTAAGGCCACGCATCAGTGTTCTTAACGCACCACCAAACTCTGACGGCGAGTGTTTAGCCTGGCCAAAAAATTCGTTGACGGGTACACATAGTATAAAACAAAGTCGTTCCGCTGTCTCTCTGTCTGTATGCTTAGGTCTTTGACACTACGTAACTGATCTTGATGCGTTTTCTTTTACTAGATAGAGTGATGCAAGAGGAAGGTTTATATGATTGTATAATACATTGAGCCCACGCGAAGCCGGGGCGGGTCGCTAGTTTCCAAATATAAGAAAAATGCCAGAATTTTTTAGAGGCGCAGATGGTCTCATGTTTGGAATGTATGATTTACGACCTTAAAGTCTCGGGTTCGAATTTGCCGCTTGCAAGAATAGCTGTCTCACATTAAATGTGCTAGGTGAACGGAGAATCTGTCATTCTTGAGACGATATCTACCCTTTAATGTCAACAGATGTGATGTGTTATTGGTTGTGTTGGTACAAGGAAAATATGCAGTAAAATCTCACCATTAAATAACAACCAAATTACTATGTACCTATTACAAAATATTTTGTCATCAAATAAAAAAAATATAAAAAGGGAATTTTCACGAACAGGACATAACAGATATAGAGTACACCCAAGCTTACAACAATTAAGTACGGAGCATACAACCTAAGATGCGCTGCTTGAATGATTGTATCCGTGTTTTAGTTTTAGCTACCAATGGAAACATCTAACTAGTAATCGACCGATGGAAACTTGTGGATTGTCCATTATTAGTATATTGAAGTGTCTGACTCCAAGGCTCACCTCAGGATCGTCTTTAGGATCGACGCCGCAATTCCACACTAGGAGTGAGACGCCTCCCCCCGTGCCGTCTCCTCTGATCAACCCCGCCACTTGCCCCACCTGAGATTCAGAAGTAAAGTAAAGCATATTTTATAAATTGTTATATTTACGTGAGCCGTGCGCTCGCCTTTAATTCAATATACTCGAGCAACCTGAGTTCGATCCCGGTGCCGGCACCAATGAAATTGTTAATTTTAAGTGCCGAATTATCACGTGCCCAGCGGTGAAGGAAAACATCGTGAGGAAACCTGCATATTTTAAATAACAATAAAATAATAACAAAAAAAAATATTTCGAAGATATGTGAAGTCCGCCAATCCGCGATGGGGCCGCGTGGTGGACTGTGCCCTAATACCCTCTGTACAGAGGAGGCCTTTGCCCAGCACATGACACAGGGACATGTATAGGCTGATACTTTACTTAATTTACGTGAACATTATAGGTTATTGATTTTTCCAGCATTTTATACATTACGGAGTTCTGAAATAACAAACACAAGAAATACAACCAAATACCGGTTAATAATAGTTTCATTGTGTAAGAACTTATGCGTTTTAAGTCCCACTGCTATAAAGTAAAGTACTTACTATACAGATGATAACGGCCAAACATTCAAAGTTTTATTAACAGAAACATAGTTCTTTCAATTTGTTATGACGAAATTCCCCATGTCGCGACAGTTTTCACAAACGCGGACAAGGCCTACACTCACACCAGAATCAATAGTTTTTAAAGCACAACATGTTTTTTCTTTATAGGGCAACCGTTGAGATTTTTCGAATTTACGTTAGATAAAAAAACATAAAATACATTGTAGTAATCAATGTCATATGCCGAATAAATAATTGTAGAAGTACTGTAAACATTTTATAAATAAACATTTCTTATCAAGTATAAGGAATAAAAGTAAACATACCGGAAATATACTATCTTACGTTTTATTTATATTCGCTTAAGAATTAATAACAGCCAGGTCACATCGGCCCTGGTGCTAATGGAGTAGTAATAAATCATAACCGACGGAGGTAAGTCGTGTTTAGAACACAGTTCACCTCGAATATAATCAATTCTAAAATAATACAAGGCATATTTGCAATTGCACAATTTATTAATGTGGCGCTGATTGCTAAAAAGCAATCGTTCAATGCTGCCAGTTTCAAGGTGTAACCGTCAAAATCTGACATCTCTTCACCAATGCTGCAGTTTCAATATATGATCGTCAAAATGTACCATCGCTTCACCACTGTTGCCAGTTTCAATATATGATCGCCAAATCTACCATCGCTTTGCTGTTTGCTTACCGGCATCCCTAATAGGTCCCTGCCATCGACCTGCAGTAGACAGTCGCCGGTCTTTAAACCGGCCAAGTCAGCTCTCGCCCCTGGGGTCACTTCGCGAACCTGTTTGCGAAAGTAATATTTGTACAGGAACACTTTTGATACGACTACGGGCGTTCTCGTGTTTAACTTTTTTATTAACTTTTTAATTCGCAACATTCGTAATTATTGAAGAAGTCATTCATCCGTGAGTTAAAAAAAGTAATGGGTCGATGTTACAATTTAAATTATTTTATAAAACTTTTAAAGTTACGCCGCGAATGGAGAATACCCCAGAAATAACACACAAAACACTGCTACCGAAACGTGATAAACTAATAGGCGTTAAAGTTGTTTTTCAGGTATTTCTACTTTACTGTTTTATGAAAGGTATCAGAATATGAAAGAGTTTCTTTGAAGGTTATAAGATGACTGTGCTAACACTGTGAAATAATCTGATTTTCTTCAGATTAAATTATAATCTTCCAAATACTTTACTCAGTAGTGATACAATAGGCGTAGTGGATAGTGAACCTGTCTCTAGCGCCAGAGGTTGTTAGTTTGTTTCCCAATATTGTCCGATGAACATAGTGTTTTTCTAGTAGTCTGGGTGTTTATATTTCATTGATAAGTATTAACTTACAAAACAATATTATGTTTCATTACGTTTATCGGTTCCTAGTACCCTTAGTACAAGATTTGCTTGGTCAGGGACTTCATAGTTTCAAAATACCCACTGAGATATGCACAATTAAATATCGTAACTCACTCGAGTATTACCACAACTGCAATTACAATTCACACTGGCTCATATTGCTTGCAATAGGCAATAAATGAAATGTAAATCGACATCTTACCCATGGATAAGGATCCCATAGCGTCCTAGTCAGTCTGAAGCCTAGCCCATCGCCTTCGTCCTCGGGAAGGTTCAGCTGAAAGTGTACAATCAACTTAAACACTATTCTGAAATAAAAAAAAATCACAAGTATCCGTCCCTCAGTGGCTTGCGACTTGCGACCAAGACGAAGGAAGATCAATTAGGTAATTAAGAATTAAAAATTGGAATATACAAAACAAGAACATAATGAACAATTCTACGTATTCATGAGAGATAATTACGAGATTGTTTCATACGATACGATCGTATTTACTTACTTTACATAGCATCAAAACAGCGTACAACTCGTTTTGAAACTAATAAAAAATCTATAAGATTTTCGAGACATTGAAGGACGATGTAAACATGCCATTATTTATGTACCCAATACTTACGACGACAAGACGCACGCCGGCCGACCTTTCCTCGCTACTGGTTTCACCAGAAGGCTCCGCTATGTTCTCATCCATCGGAGTGATTCCTGTGATACAGGAGTAATGTGCGTGTTTTTAAGTCGATCTAAATAGCCTCAAGATGTTAAGTTCTAACAAAAGCGTTGCATTACGGGAAAATGTCACGGGCTCACTACAGAAAGTATATCAGGGGGCCGGGTGGGCCAAGCCCACCCCAGTATCGTCTAGTGCCCACACCACGGCTTTTATGGTTACGGATTCAAAATTCTAGGTTATCTATAGTGCCCACACCAGAACTTTTATGATTACTGATTCGAAATTCTATGTTATCTATTCATCATTGGATACCTAAAAAACTTCATAAAAATCATTGAAATCAAATAAATATCTACAGCCGAGAAATCTATGTACAAACTTAGTTTTTATTACATGCTATTTTACAACACATTCCGTTTATTTACTTGTGAATACACAACGTACTGTCTACTTATTACTTAATAATACTTTTATAATAAATTAATAAAAACTATTAACGATAACGAGCAGCAACTTCTTTAATAAGACTCATAGTGTTCGATTTTTTTTGTAGTCAAAGCCAACGCCGACCCTGAAAAATAAACCTAGATACGCCATCGACAGAAAATTGCCTTAGAAGACGATTAGGACGACCCAAACAATTATTACGATAACGTATAATTGCGCTACTTCATCATCATCGTATCACCTGCATCCATCGACTTTCCGCACATTTGAACAGGCAAACCCCATTTACTCGACCTACACTGCGATTGCCAGTACGAAACTGTTACTAGAGAACCATTCTTCTCCAACGGCTATCGTCAGTGATGACCTACGAAAACGAGATGTGTCCCTTCTTTGCTGGCCTGCAATGAGGAAGCTCAAAGTCGCGCAGCGAGCTATGGAGCGGGCTATTCTCGCTATTCCTCTAAAGTCTAAGTGATAGAGTTCGTAACGAAGACGAGAAGTGGCGATGGGCCGTCCATATAGCTTGTAGCATTAATAACATAATACTAATAACTAGCTGCTGCCCGCGACTACGTCTGCGTAGAATAGGCTGATTTCGTAACATTCAGACAGAAAGACAGATATACATAAAAATATCTCTATAATCTGATGTATATGCTATATTATTGTAAAGTTTCGTTAAAATCCAATCAGTAGTATTTGCGTGAAACAGTAATAAACATCCATCCATACATACAAAATTTCGCCATTATAATATTAGTAAGGATTATAAAAAACGACGTATCAAGATTTGTACGCATTTTAAATGTGTCACAATCGGTCGGCATTGGTTAAACTTCATAATTCTTACTTTATTGCCTTCTACAATGATGCTAGCTGCTATGATCAGGGTTTGAACCTCTTTATTTATTTGTTTACACTTTATTGTACACCAAAAATATATATAAAGTAAATTACAAATGAATGTAACAGAGAGTACAATAGGCAGTCTTATCGCTCAGCTAACCTAACTAGGTATGCCCTTGGCAATGAGCGTAGGCGTACCACCTATAATTCGGATGATCTCAAATTTATCATGATTAAAACATAATAAATAATACCCACAAAAAAATAAATCACCAACCAATAAAAATATTTTAATCCAATAAAATAACTGATAGTAGATAGTTCAATAATGAACGCGTGTAAGTGAATTGATAAATGGAAAAATAAATAGTGCACGCCACGGATATAGAATTGCGACCTCAAATCACGAGTATCCCAGCCACTAGGGCTTTAACAAAATTTTTGTTTAACTCACAAATGTCATATTCTAAACAAAAAAAAAACCTATTTCAGCTATCGTAACTGTCGGGGCTAATATGGCAAATGTTATTGTTAATTTATTGCTGTTCTTGAAGTTTAGTAGAAATTATTTTGTGATACAAAAATGTTACATTTTCGGAGCTAGTTCAAAAACATCGCATACGATCTTAGAACAGGTAAATCCTGCAATGTCGATATGACCCTCTGAATTTATTTTTAATATTTTTTTATTAAGAAAACAAGTTACATAAGCACTAATTGATAATAAGTATTCTTTCTAAATTAAAATGGTAAATTGTTCTTCAATAAACTGTATAATAATTTGTTTTATTATCTTTAGAAAATAAATCAGTTATAAAATAAAAAAAATATTGTAGTGTCATTACAATATCGATCATTTAATTCCCTGGATGAACTTCAACTTTAGTGTCATTTTTGGCGGGAGTTTGTCAAGGCGGTATTTTTGACATAAAAATGGAGGCCCTCAATTTTTTATCGTATTCGCTCGTAATTTGTTCGTAACTTCCTTGTTAATAATTATGCAAGCCCTTTTTTTATTCGTTATTCGTGATACAGTTCCGCAAAAAAAACGATTCGGTTAAAAAATATTAGCGAATTTCATCAATTACTAAAGTTTCATTTTAAATCAACAAAACCGTTTGAAGGTTAGTTTTTAACATATTTTGCATCTTTAAACAGTGTTTGTTTGTAAATATTTGAGACATTGCCCCTGCATGCAGTGCCGGATTAAGCAAGAGCGGGGCCCGTAGCAATTTCTTTCAAAGAGCCCTTAATCTGCTTTGGGTTCTTAAGTATGAAGTGTTGAATAACAATTCAATACTCTTACTTATTTATTAAGTCCCACTAAAAAAATAAATGCGGGGCCGAACAAGCAGATCCGAAAAAAAATTCTAAATTGTTCAGAATTGAAGCCACTATAATGCCTATCACGAACTGTGCATACTTATTGTGAAATAACAGTCAACGAGGACTTAATCCGTCAAGAACTTTATAACTAATTAACTTATTAACTTAATAACTAATTAACTTTACATACATTGGAAACTATGTAATGATAAATAGGTATAATATTTCTACTATTTCACAATAACGACGACTCGAATGGCGTAATGGGTAGTGTACCTGCCTCCTGCGTCAGAGGGTGTGGGTTCGACCCCAACTACTGGAAAAATATTTTGTGATGAAAAGTGTCTGGGTGTTGATATTAACATACATACATATGTATAATATGTATTTATTTACAAAAGAAAAGTATGTTTCCTAAGTATGTTTATCAGTGATCCAGTACCCATAGTACAAGCTTGGTTAATTTGGGAATAGAGAACATTGTGTAAAAATGTGTCCTTACAAATCTAAAAAAATAAACTTAATAACTGCTATAATTTTAATAATTATAGTAAAAAATAAATCATGGGCATACCTACATCTTGTTTATTCGCTATAGTAAATTTATAAGTAATATTATTAAATAGTAAATATACTTAAGTTGGCGTATGTTTTTCAGGCATTTTCGACAATTTTCATTTTTACATTGATATTAGGACTAGTATGCTAATTAAATATTTTCGCTTAGTTCAGACAATCATTAATATTTCCAATTAAAATGACTTACATATTTCGAGGGGTATATGATTTATGTACGAAAAAATTTTCAGTCGATAAATATGTGTAATGAATTTGTGCCGCCAATTTTACCTTATGTAATTGTTTGTTACTTTTGTAATTTTGTCTGGTGTACAATAAAACGTACAGGTGTGAGTTACAAGTAAAAGTTACACAAAGTCATTTCTGTACACACTTACGGACGTACAATATACAAATTCTTGACTACTTCTTAACTTCAAGTTAATTATAAACAAAGTTTATCTTACCAATATAGTCATCTATTTATCTATCGTGGAATAACTTAGCACAGGTAAACTATTTCGGAGCCGTGCGAGCTTAACACTAAACGCGCTTAATCGAACCGTTGCTTACGATATCGATGCGTTATCGTAGTGTAGTGTTGTAACGGATAAAACTCGATATCGATAAAAAAACGATATAGTACGATACCATTTAAGGATATACGTATGTTAACGATGGTAGGGCCACGCAGCAGCCTCGGCCGTTGCACGAATGGGTAGGCCCGTCCGGGTAAGTACCACAACCTCACAGAAGACCAGCGTAAAGTGGAAGTATGACAAACTTACCATCAGGTGAACCGTCTGAACATTTCGCATAAAAAAAATATGCTCATCTAAATCATCTAGTAAGGATAGCGCAGCGCAGTTACTGCGATGTCAATCGCTATCTGGTCGTCGGTTTGAATCTAAATGGTTTTATGTTACGTTTCGTTTAATTAATTCTTAGGTGGAAATTTTTCTGTTAGATTACTTTAGTGCCAGCTGTTTTAATTAATTTCGCCCATTGTAGCCCTTAACTTAAGGTGTAGGAATATAGGAAGTGTTATTTACACCTCTGCGTTTCGTCTGCTGTGTGAGGTAGCCGGGGTCCACTTTGAGATGGCAACGCATTTGCAACCGTACGGGTGTTGCGAATGTCAGGCGGTTATCGCTTAACATCGGAACCGCCAGCTCGTTTGCACTTTCTCACATAAGAAAAAGAATAAAGTTTAAATAGAAAAATAATATTAAATTCAGTCGATTTATCGACACTTAACGGCACATCACTCGAGGGAACAGGTTAACCTCACACCTCACGGCCGCCTGCGTGACCTACACGTCTCCAATGTAGGTTGAGTGGAGTTGCGACACATCGCCTTTCACGACACGTCTATACGTACGGTCGACCGCCTTTGAGAAGACATCTCCGTTTTTTTTATGTGATCACTTGCCAAGCGAGCAGACGTTTCACCTGATGTTAAGTGAATACCGCCGCCCATGGACATCTGCTACACCCGAGGGTTGGAGATGCGTTGACAACCTTTTGAAAATTGGGCTCCGGCTACCTCACTCATCAGACGAAACGCGGAAGTATTATACTTCCACTTGACGCCGGTCTTCTGTGAGGTCGTGGTACTTACCCGGAAGAGCCTGCCCATTCGTGCAACAGCCGAGACTGCTGCGTGGCTCTACCATCGTGTGAGCAGAGTCCCTTATACACCAGGGTCTGCCACTGACAAGCCTTGGATGATGTGCGAAATCAGTTCAGAGTATAGTAATAGCCTATATGGCAGTGGTAGGGCCACGCAAGAGTCTTAGCTTTCGCGAATTATAAGGTCCGTCCGGGTAAGTACCACGATCTCACAGAAGACCGGCGTAAAGTAGAAGTATCACACTAAAAGGTGGTAACGCATCTGCATTCCTACGGGTGTTGCAGATGTCTATGGGCTGTAGTTATCGTTTAACATCAGGTGAACCGCCAGCTCGTTTGCCACCTTACATAAAAAAAATATGTCCCACTGATGGGCGAAGGCCTCAAATCCCGAAACGTATCCCAATAAATAAATTACCGTAGATCTTCTAAAATTGCTCGATATTTAATAATGATTAAACGCAACCTTTAAAAAAAATGTTATTCGAATCTAAAGCACTGAGCTTTTGGCGGTATACCGTCCAATACTTAGGTCAGCTTTATACCACCGAGTATAAGTGGCCAATTTGAGAAACCATTAATATTCAGTACTAGCGACCCGCTGCAATGTATTATACATATAAACCTTCCTCTTGACTCACTCTATCTAGTAAAAAAAACCGCATCAATTTCCGTTGCGTAGTTTTAAAGGTCTAAGCATACATAGGGACAGACAGCGGCAGGGCTTTGTGTTATTCTATGTAGTGACTACAGCGAATCCGATGATTCCATATTTTTTATACGACACATTTATATCCGATGATTGGCAGGCTTGTCAAGTCAGTGTCGTCAAGACAACTATTTGTGAGACCCACAGATTTCCGGATATTGGGAGTTTGTTGTTAATAGGGGTTCAGGCAGGCGGCATGCCGGATAAAGCAGCCGAAACAACTTACATTATTTTTTGCTGTTCCAATCTCTCCTATGTGGGATAAATACGGACGACGATTATGGCAATGACATTTCTTTTGACAGTTGATGTTTTCATCGGCGTTTTCTTTTGCACGAACGAACAGGATCCCGGGTAGTAATTGGCAGAAAACCGGCGCGAAGTGGAAATGTTAAACTTTCGTGTCCCTTCTCGCGAGTGGGGTAACCGGGGTTCACTTTCTAAAGATTAGCATGTGCACCCCGAAGTAAGATGCCCATATGCTGCAATCTGTCATCACTTAACACGATGCGAAACGCGTGCTCACTTGAAATATTTTTACATGAAAAAATCAAATCGGAAAAAAATACTCAGCTGTTTCGTCCTCTGTCTATGTTTTATACATACTCGTATAAATATACGAGTATCATATTTCCTAATAGTTTCCCCCACAAAAACATTACCATTTACCACATAACAGGCATAATTTCGTTTTTCTAAGTTATTATTTATTATACAGCGTGTTGTTACCATCGCGACAATAAATGAACACACGTCTAACGCTACTTGCCAATAATCATAAAAAAATATTAACGTTAAACAAAATCCATAATTAAAAAAAATATATTTTTCAATCAAACTAATTAAGTAAAAAAGTTACAAAATTTGTAACACCTATACAACTCCCGCCACAGCGTCGTATTACAAGCCTCTCCTTCTAACAGTATGTTTTGTCTCTTTTGAGTTCATTCAACCCATTCATATGCTTTGTGAATTTTACAAATGAACTTTACGTTACGCTTTTATAGGTAAGGATGTTCTAAAAATCTTTGTTTTGAAAAATTTAATAACTCTGTAAATACTGATGTTTAAAGAATTTAAATGTTTAATACAACTTTAAAAAGTTATGCCCTATATGAGTGTTCATTTATTGTCGCGATGGTAACGACACGCTGTATATATATAATAGATGAATTCATTGCCTTAAGAAGTTTTAACACTGTGTCTCACGGTGATGCAAATAAGTTCAACATAACATCGTTTCAGCCTGTTTGAGTCCATTGCTGAACATGCATGAGCATACTGAACATGAAGATAGACTTTCCGCGGTTGCCAAACCGCTTGCCAGGCGTGGCAACTATGGCAACCCCTTACGATGGACGTCAAAGATAAAAGTTAGTATTTAGATAAAAATTAAAGGACACCGTTCGCCACAAAGAAATAAAACAAAAGAAAAATGCTTAAAATAATCTTTTTCGGTTACATTAATCAGTTATGTGAAACGACGACACAGACTATGTATATTTACAATTACAATAATTACATACTTTTACGTTGTTCTGTACCCAAAAGGCTTCTTTACTAAAAAAAAAAACAACCCCGAGTGTAAAATAGCATTTCCTAGTTTTGCAGAAACAAAAAAAAAATACAAAATCATTTCATATATGTTTTCGATGTTGGAATCCAACATAAAATCCGCCGCCGACGATCCCTGTGTTAACAACTGCCCCAAACGAGTCAACAGTTACTTACCGAATGAGTTAGAGAATGCAGATTCACTGTAATTTAATTTTTGTAACAGAGTTCAAAAAAGGAGGAAAGGGAAAAAGGAAAAAATTACAGTTTTTATGTTTGTTACCTAAAGCAACTTGTACTGTGTGCAATAAGTAATTGACAAACATACTTAGACATTAATTTCTTTTGTAAATAACTGCATCTCATATATTTAAAAACAGACACTAGATTATATTCATCACACGATTTTTCTAAGGGATCGAAGCCACACCCTCTGGTACAAGAGACAGGTGCACCACATACTATAACAATCGGGGTATTTTTTAGGGTTCCGTATCCAAAGGGTATAACGGGACCCTCTAATTACTAAGACTGCACTGTCTGTACCAGGAGACTGTCTACCAGGCTGTATCTCATGTACCGTGACAGTTAGACAGTTGACATTTTCACAGATGGTGTATTTCTGTTGCCGCTATAACAACGGATTATAAAAATAAGATAAATAGTATTTAAGGGCGGCTCATGATTTTTGTGCCGTTTCTATGTTGATCAGCTACTACCCAAACACCGGCATTGTGATGGTCCCAACATTCCTCCCTTGCCCCACTGGCGCGGTCTACCCAGGGCGGTGCACTCCAGCTAGACCTTGGCCTTCCTGCTGCGGTAGGGCGCCGGCATCTTGAGGTGCACCGTGTTCACGTGCAGCTTCATCGAGTTGGACTGCGAGAAGGCCTTGCCGCAGTGCGGGCAGCTGTAGGGCTTCGCCCCCGTGTGCACCTGCGGGGCCAGGGACAGGGTCAGGCTCCGTAGACCTACTCGCCGGATGGCAAAACGTCGCCGCGGTCGACAGGGACAGATTTAGAGGTCTGGATGCTTTGGGCCAACAAAGGAATGGAGGCCCCTTGGCCCTTGGTTAATCCTTACTATCCTCACTAATATTATAAACTCGAAAGTTTGTATGTATAGATGGGTGTTACTCTTTCACGCAAATACTACTGAATGGATTTTAACGAAACTTTACAATAATATAGCTTATACATCAGAATAACACGTAGGCTATAATTTATATACATATTTTTATGCATATCTGTCTTTCTGTCTGAATGTTACACCTTCAGCCTATTCTACGCAGACGTAGCGGGCAGCAGCTAGTATTTAATGTGATCATGTTTGTACAAAGTACTGCAAGTAAAAGTGAAACGCGAAAAAAAATATGAAAGGCAAAGTCTGAATTAGAATTTATTTTTCTGAAGTCTCTATTGTGGGCCTCGTTTGCCCTCCCCTAAATCCGACCCTGACAGTCGATAGAGTATAGCGCCTGGAAGGCTGTAGCTGACGCACCTGCCTGGTTGAGAGTGACTCTCAGATTAGAATAAATAATTACAAAACTCTATTCAGTGAGGACTTCTTGCCAAGTAGAGTGTTGTAGCCGGAGCCTTAATATCTAATATAATTTTAGCCGTAATCGCTTTTTTATGCGAGAAGGTGGCAAACGCGCTGGCGGTCCACCTGATGTAAGGTGATGACCGCCGCCTATGGAAAACTGCAACACCTGCAGGCTGCCGATGCGTCGCCACCTTTTAATGAAATGGGCCCTGGCAACCTCACTCACCAGACGAAACAAAGAAGCGTAACACTTCTTCACGCCGGTCTTCTGTGACGCGGTGCTGCCTCCCCGGACGGACCTGCCCACTTGTGCAACATCCCAAGCTGCCGCGTGGCCCTGCCACAGTGGAATCCACACAGGCGGTGTGGCAGCAAAGTCCCACTCAAAACTCTACCCATAATGGCGTATAAAAAATAAAGAGAGAATTATTTCCATTTGGAGAAAAGTAAGTAAGTCTCCGCTACCAACCCGGTCGTGCCTGTTGAGGGCGGCCTTGTGCTTGAACGCCTTGGGGCAGCGCTGGCACTTGTACGGGCTCTCCCCAGTGTGGGTCCTCACGTGGATCTGTTGAGGTCCGGTTCATGAGAAAGAGAGAAAGATAATCATCTATTTACCAAAAAAAAATCCTTAGAAAAGAGAGAAAAAGAAACTAAATTCAACTATAAAATAAAAGAAATAAAAAGAAAACACTTATAAATAATAAAGTTTTACAAAACAACAAAAATGAAAATAAAAAAATTAAAATTAAAATAAAAAACAAATGAGAAATAACTATTGTACACCCTATTCCGGTATTTATTAGGATATTGGAAGGGTCGCAGTATACCTTAATCAGGTATATTCTGTTGACCAAACCTTTGGTTGTGTATAGCATGAGACTGGTCAGGAACCCCATAGAATCACTGAGCTAAATTATTTAGAGATAAAAATATTCACCGTTGTCTCTCAGTGTCTACTTGGTAATGCTATGTATGTCCATAAAAATAGGAATTAATTTTCATTAAAGTGAATATTTAAATGACAACACATGCTAGAAATCAATTGTTCACTGCAGGCTCTTGCAAGTAGACTTTAATACACTGTAATTATGTTTTTTAATCAATTAATGATAAAAAAAATTGTCCTGCTGAGTATCTTTCACCGGTTCTTCTCAGGTTGATGGCTGGTTTTCCGAACCGGTAGTAATATCTTGACAATCAATAAGTGAGTGAAATGCTTTCTATACTAACTAGATTCGCACGGATGCAAAATACATATAAACCTTCCTCTTGAATCACTCTATCTAGTAAAAAAAACCTCATCAAGATCCGTTGCTTAGTTTTAAGGATATAAGCATTCATAGGGACAGACAGACAGCGGGTCGACTTAGTTTCATACTATGTAGTGATTTACATACAGGTCAAAATGTAATCCAGTATGTATGTTCGTCTCGTTGCAAATTTCATATCGATTCAGAGAATAGTCTCCCCTTCACATACGCGCAAAAACCACTTGTACTCTTCGAGGGTACGTCTCCGTCTCCTGTCTACCATCAGTTACCTGCAGCCGCTGCAGCACGCTGAACTTCTTGGGGCACTGGGCGCACTGGAAGGGCTTCTCGCCCGTGTGGATCCTCTGGTGGTAGATCAGCGTGGCCTTCGTCTGGGTGACGGGTTCGAGTCTGAACTGAAGCTCATTGGCACATGTGGCATCCGAGTCGGTGCCACATTTGTAATATTTCATTTGGTTCTAATTTGCTTTGGACAACTCCAATTCATAAGTCTATGAAATTATTATACGATTGGATTGAGTTAAAATCGATGAAAATTTTCCATTTTCCTCTGAATTAAATATAAATGTTATAAATGTTATAAATGTTATAAATGTTATAAATGTTATAAATGTTATAAATGTTATAAATGTTATAAATGTTATAAATGTTATAAATGTTATAAAGTTATTAAGATTACTAAGATTATCGGTATTTCCTTATTATAAGAATTTAGGAACTTGTCAAAATATTTGATTCAATTTTTGATAGTGAAACAAGAAATTTTGTTGATAAATCCACAAGCTAAATTAATTTAAAATGAGTACATAAGCAATGTAAAAAAGGAGTAAAGTACATAGACAGTTATAGACTGTAGCGAAGAGATCTGAAGTGCGTACTGAGAGAGTATGAGGTGCGTGAAGAGTGCGTAGAATAGTAGTGAAGGGAATTAAAGTTAGCTGGTGATTGAAGTGAGTAGCAGTTTAAAGTACATAGAGGAGTAAAGTGAGTGGGCAAGAGAAGTGAAGTGTGTAAAGAATTAAAGTGTAATTGTACACTTTAATTCTCTACACACTTCACTTGCAATGAAATTGTTAATTGTTCAATTAAAGTGGAAAAAGAAGCAAAATGTGTAGGGAATTTAAGTGCAAAGGGAAGCGAAGTGTGTAGTGAATTGAAGTGCTTAGAGAAATGAAGTGTGTAGTGAATTGAAGTGCTTAGAGAAATGAAGTGTGTAGTGAAGTAATTAGAGAAGTAAGTGGGTTTAATTGAAGTCTAGACAGTTCACTGTGCAATTGAAATTGTGAATGGGTAGGGAATTCAAGTGCTTAAGAAGTGAAGTGTGTAGTGAATTGAAGTGCTTAGATGTGTGGGGAATTTAAGTGCAGGGAATTGAAGTGCTTAGAGAAGTGAAGTGTGTAGTGAATTGAAGTGCTTAGAGAAGTGAAGTGGGTAGGGAATTGAAGTGCTTAGAGAAGTGAAGTGTGTAGTGAATTGAAGTGCTTAGAGAAGTGAAGTGGGTAGGGAATTGAAGTGCTTAGAGAAGTGAAGTGTGTAGTGAATTGAAGTGCTTAGAGAAGTGAAGTGGGTAGTTAATTGAAGTGCTTAGAGAAGTGAAGTGTGTAGTGAATTGAAGTGCTTAGAGAAGTGAAGTGGGTAGTGAATTGAAGTGCTTAGAGAATTGAAGTGCTTAGAGAAGTGAAGTGGGTAGTTAATTGAAGTGCTTAGAGAAGTGAAGTGTGTAGTGAATTGAAGTGCTTAGAGAAGTGAAGTGGGTAGGGAATTGAAGTGCTTAGAGAATTGAAGTGGGTAGGGAATTGAAGTTCTTAGAGAAGTAAGTGTGTAGTGAATTGAAGTGCTTAGGGAAGCGAAGTGTGTAGTGAAGTGAGAAGAGGTTTGATAAGCGAGGCGGCAACACCGACGATGCACTGCTTGCCGCAGAGCTCGCAGACCACGTTGTCGGGGGGCCGGCGGGGCGCGGGGCGGCGCGCGCGCGCACGCTGGCCCAGGTGCACGCGCGCGCGGTGCGTCGCCAGCGAGCGCAACGACGCGAACGCGCGCGAGCACTGCCACGCGAAGAGTGCTCGCTGTTGCACGGATGGGCAGCTCCGAGGTGTGCGAGGTGCAAACGTCCATGGGCGGCGGTTATCACTTAACATCAGGTGGACCGCCACGGACTCGTTTGCCACTCTTTCCACATAAAAAAGGGTGAAACGGCACCCTGATACCGTCCATCTGTTACCGGGCTGTATCTCGTGAACCGTGATAGTTGGACATTTTCTGTTGCCGCTATTACAAAAAATACTAAAAAACAAGATTGGGGCTCCCATACAACAAACATCATTTATTTGCAATTGGGCCTTTTTGTATTTATAGTGACCCATTTAGCGTAGTTGATGACGACCTTGCCTCTATCACTAGAGAGTGTGGGTTCGATCCCCGATACTGGAAAAATTTTGTGACAAACATGGTGATTTTCTAGTGTCTGGGTGTTTATATATGTATTTATTTAGAAAAAAAAGTATGTTCGAGTAGGTTTATCAATTATCCAGTACCCATAGTACAAGTTTCGCTTAGTTTTGGACCAGATAACGTCGTGTAAAATTATGTCCCGAAATAGTGCCATTGAGGACTCCGTGGCCACTCCAACGGCTGGGCTTACTATGTATAGACTGTCGGCCCATTCACACTGGGACCGTGTAGACATCAAGGTATTTCGTGAAGATGAGGTTTTCATAGAGGTCGTGGTACTAACACGGAGCTGCCCATTCGTGCAACAGGGTAGAGTGTTGCATTACCCTACCACAGTTGACTCAACGTTATCACGTCAAGAACTCAAAACCACCACCGTACGTTACCATGTATACACTCACATCCTGACAGTGGACAGTTTCTTCCTTCTGGTGGACGAGCTGGTGTTCCTTCAAAGCCTCAACTGTCGGAAGACCCTCGCCGCATTGGGGACACGCCCTGTAACGGTATACAAGCGTTTCTTATACCCTAATAATGGACAAATATACAGTAGCTAGCTCGCCAGCGAAATTTCGTCAGAGCCAAATATGTTATGAACGATTTCAGTTGTGGCATAGTTCACCACGCGGCCCCCACATTCTTCGAAATATTTTTTTAAAGTGAAACTTCTAACGCGACTTCCAACAAGGTTGCGTTGTAGGTTTAACGCCGCCATGGAGGGGGTATCAAAGCACTGTTGCGTTAAACGTTCAACGCTCCTGGGGAGGAGTTTAGAAAGAGACAGAGTGAGAGTGAATCCGTGGCATTCGAAGTTTAACTTCTTCCGCGCGGAGGGACTCCATTACTACGCACTATTTTAATTTGTTTCGAAAATATTCAGGTTCCGTCCGTGTACGTGCCACGGTCTCACAGAAGACCGCCGTGTAGGGGAAGCGTGACACTTCTGCGTTTCGTCTGCTGCGTGAGGTAGCCGGGGTCCAATTTTTTAAAAGGTGGTAACGCCAGATGCGTTAACATCAACTCATCACTTAACACACACACACATGAAAAAAGATGTCACCTCGCGTCTGGGTCGCAGAGGCCGTCTTTTGCTTCGCCGAGGTGCCTCTCGAGGGCCTCCGCGCTGTGGAAGGGGGCGGAACAGCCCTCGCACCGCACCGCCACTTTGGCCACTTCGCCCTGCAATACATCGCGCGTCATTTTTAATCGATTCAACCATAGTCACTCGATGTATCGATAGTTAATCGATACACTTTTCCCAACGGTGATATGATGAGAATGATTATGATGAAGGGAATCCCTAAGTTGGGCCCTTTGCCGAAAATATCGATGTGTATCGGTGTACCGATTCTTTTCCGATACATCGAAATCGAAAGAATATTTTCAAAAATAAACTCTTTAGAACTTTCTGCAGATGAGAGATTCAGTGGCCGCCGAAGGGTCGTGAATCAGTGCGGATAGCGCATAAAAGAGGTATTAAAGGAAAAGTTAGGTACCTGTAAGCTGAGTTGGAGTTGTCCTTCGATATCTCAGTTTGAACGGCGGTCACTGGTCTTTTCCCACAACACTTTGCTATTAATTTTGAGCTTAGTAAAACTAGCGAATTCACCACAGCACTGTGGTGACTGAAGTTTTTATGCGTGCGGTGCGAGCGTTGAGAAAGAGGTCAATCTTCATTTCTTCGTGCTTTTATAGGAAGCGGAAGGGGAGGGATAAGGGCGGATGTGCATATGTAATGAGTGATCTGTGCGTTATAATGAAATTAAACATAAATGTGAAGCAATAAATATTTATACAATCTTATAAATTATTATTTTTAAATAAAATGGCGTAGACAGCAGTGATGATGTTATATTGATTAGGATAAGAGTGGAGTGCATATTGGAAGGCGTGGGGGAGGGGGGGGGGGGAGAAACAGTATAAATCTCGGGCGTGGGGTGAGAGTGGATATTATAGAAGACATCGGGTGGGGGGAGAGGGTAAAACACTGAAACGTTGATGGGGGGGGGGGGGGGACGAAGACTGAAAGGCGGAGGGAGAATAAGTATAAATCTGGGGTGTGGGGGGAGAGTGGATATTATAGAAGGCTTCGGGTGGGGGGAGGGGGTAAAACCCTGAAACTTTGATGGGGGAAGGGGGGGAGGGGGTATACTGAAAGGAGTGGGGGGAGGTGTACCTGGTCGCCTTTGTGGGCGCGTCGCTTGTGCATCCGAAGGCCGTACTCCCCTATGAACGACTCGCCGCAGAGGTCGCAGCTGCTGTCCGACGGATGCCTCAGGCGCACGTGGGTCAGGTGGCTGGTGGACTTCCTGCGGGTGTAGGAAACCACCAAGCTTAATAGCGTTAATCGTTGTAAAACGATATTCGAAATTTCTTGTATGCCGGAAAGGATATAACAATGGATGCGAACAATGGATGGCAATCAGCCGTTTGGCTCAGTGGTTAAAGCGTCAGGCCGCGAACGCCGAAGACGTGGGTTCGATTCCCGTAGCGGCGACAAACTGTTCGTACTTTTTCTACATATTTTAATGGTCAATCTTAAGTGCAGAGATTAGCACTAAGAAAAATTTATTTCTAAAAAGGCAATGGCGACGTAAAGGCTTGCCGACAACCATCAGAAAAGTGGGCCCCGGCTACCAACTCAACAGAGGAAACGCGAAAGTATGGAAGTATTATACCTCACGTTGGTATTCTGTGAGGCCGTGGTACTTACCCGAACGAGAACCCAACCAGATATATATGAGAGACAGAATCCCAACAGAAAGTTACAATAAGTTTAATTTTTTTGTCAAACCCCACATTTTAAAACTACACCAGCTATCGAGCTAAGGAAGCCTATCCCCATCCCTATTAGGGCAGGAAGATGAGAGGACAATTATAAAGTATTGATGCTGGTATGTATGAAACGTGGGCAGTGGGATCTCGAGCCCAGCTGTGGGACACTCACGCAAACGACGCGCCGCAGATCTTGCAGACGAAGGTGAAACCGGTGTGCCATTTGGAGTGCTCTTTGGCTCGGTGGCTGTTGGAGGAAAAGCGCATGATTATCTATGGCCTTCAAGGTGTTGGTGCTTATAGTGCTATTGGCCTATGGCCAGGGCTCTTGGGTTCGATTCCCAAACGGGACATGTGTTCGTGTGTTCTCGATCTGGATGTTTGTTTCCTAGGAGGGTGGGTTGACGTCAGAGGGCCGGTCGTAAACAACCATGTAAATATCGCTAACTACATAACTAATGGGATAAGACCAGGATGATGTGGCTGGCCTTTTCTCATTTGCTCTTACCATAGACCACATGTTGCCCAATAGTAATTAATTATTCATGTATGAGCATGTTTCGAGCTCTTGGTTATTTTAAAATCATTACCAGTTCACTAAATTAGGCCTGTTTACAAATAAATAAATTTCATATTACTCCATTTCTCTTAACAGTGTCTACAAAGCAATTTTGTCATAAAATCTGCCATCAATATGGACTTCGAGCGGGGGACGCAGCGCTTGCAAACGACTTTACCATAGTAGAGTCCCATCAATCTGGACCTGGAAATATGGTCACAAGTCTTGCGAAAAAACTTGACTCTGGTAGAGTACCACCGACCTGGAACTGGCAACGTGGTCGCATAGCTTGCAGACGTACTTGCAAACGACCCCAGTAGAGTCCCATCAACCTAGACATGGAGACGTGGTCGTAGGGACAGCAAACGACATAAACCTGGTAGAGTCCCACCAACCGGGACCTGGAAACATGGTCTCAGAGCGTGCAGAACGACATCACCCTGACAGAGTCCTATCGACCTGGACCTAGAGACGTGGACTCTGGTATTTCAAAACGACTTAACCCCATTAGAGTCCCACCAACCTATATCTGGGGACGTGGTCACAGGACTGATAAACAACTTGCAAACGACCATAGTAGAGTCCCATCAATCTGGACCTATGGAAATATGGTCACAAGTCTTGCGAAAAGACTTGAATATGGTAGAGTACCACTCACCTGGACTTGGCAACGTGGTCGCAGAGCTTGCAGACGACGTACTTGCAACGACCCTAGTAGAGTATTATCAACCTAGACCTAGAGAGGTGGTACAAGAGCTTGCAGAACATCACCCTGGCAGAGCCCTGCAGAAGCTTGCAGAAAGACTTGACCATGGTAGAGTCGCACCGACCTAGACCTGGAAACATGGCCGTCGGCTTGCAAACGCCTCCCCCCTGGAGAGTACCACCCACCTGGACCTGGCGACGTGGTCGCAGAGCTTGCAGACGTACTTGCAAACGAGCCCAGTAGAGTATCATCAACCTAGACCTAGAGAGGTGGTACAAGAGCTTGCAGAACATCACCCTGGTAGAGCCCTGCAGAAGCTAGCAGAAAGACTTGACCATGGTAGAGTCGCACCGACCTAGACCTGGAAACATGGCCGTCGGCTTGCAAACGCCTCCCCCCTGGAGAGTACCACCCACCTGGACCTGGCGACGTGGTCGCAGAGCTTGCAGACGTACTTGCAACGACCCTAGTAAAGTATCATCAACCTAGACCTATAGAGGTGGTACAAGAGCTTGCAGAACATCACCCTGGCAGAGCCCTGCAGAAGCTTGCAGAAAGACTTGACCATGGTAGAGTCCCACCGGCTTGCAAACGGCTCCCCCCCCTGGAGGGTACCACCCACCTGGACCTGGCGACGTGGTCGCAGAGCTTGCAGACGTACTTGCAACGACCCTAGTAGAGTATCATCAACCTAGACCTAGAGAGGTGGCACAAGAGCTTGCAGAACATCACCCTGGCAGAGCCCTGCAGAAGCTTGCAGAAAGACTTGACCATGGTAGAGTCCCACCGGCTTGCAAACGGCTTCCCCCCCCTGGAGGGTACCACCCACCTGGACCTGGCGACGTGGTCGCAGAGCTTGCAGACGTACTTGCAACGACCCTAGTAGAGTATCATCAACCTAGACCTAGAGAGGTGGCACAAGAGCTTGCAGAACATCACCCTGGCAGAGCCCTGCAGAAGCTTGCAGAAAGACTTGACCATGGTAGAGTCCCACCGGCTTGCAAACGGCTTCCCCCCCCTGGAGGGTACCACCCACCTGGACCTGGCGACGTGGTCGCAGAGCTTGCAGACGTACTTGCGCTCGTGGGCGGTCACCACGTGCGCCCGCAGCGCCCTCGAGTCGGGCCAGCGCGCGTGGCACACCTCGCACGCGAAGCCGCCGCTGCGCTGCGGTCAAAGCGGACGGTCACCGTCGGCCAGCGTGGTACGGCACCGTCCTCTTTGGGGCTCCGTACCCGAGGGGTGCAACGGGACCCTATTACTGAGACTCCACTGCCCGTCTGTCACCGGACTGCCCGTCTCGATAGTTAGAGAGTAGAAAATTTTCACAGATGTATTTACAAATTACTAATGAGTTGTTTCGTTCCTCTCTTTACAGGTACGCAACTGATAGTGGTCTAATACAGTAGATTATTATTGTCATGTCCTCAGCCTAGTCGATCTCCAAGTACCAAGTCATTGGCAAGATCACTGACGTATCAGTGTAATTCACAGATGTATTTTTGTTGCCGTGTTTTATACAGATGATTTGTTTCTGTTGCTGCTATAACAAAAAATACTAAAAAACAATAAAAAAAATATTTAAGTGGGGACAACAGACATGATTTTTTGTGCCGTTTTATAGATTGTACGGAACCTTTCGTGTGAGAGTCCGACCAGTTACTTTAAACTAAAATATTTTTATATTTTGTTTTTTGTTTTTTTTTACTTTTTGTTGTTATAGCGGCAACAGAAATACATCAATGTTTAAATACTTCGACTGTTTAACTATCACGGTTCATGAGATACAGCCTGGTGACACACAGACAGACAGCGGAGTCTTAGTAATAGGATCCCGTTTTACCCTTTGGGTATGAAACCCTAAAAATTACTATAGACAGATGTAATTTTGTTTCTTATCTCGATGAATAAATGATTTGATTTGATTCGAAACTCTAGGGCACACCCTTTATGCAATGCCTTTCATGTCAAACATTTATGAACTATGACAAAAATCATAATTATAAAAACCTATTATTTCTATAAAATTAAAAACCTATTTACTTGATCGTGCCGCATCATGTGATTTTTGTAAGTCGAATCCGTTATGAAGCCTTTGTAACACTTTTCGCATTTATAAAACGAGTTCAGGTAGTTGAAGGATGTCTTCCTCGCTTGCACCTCCTCTATCTGTTGCTCCTTTGTCAGTATGATGACTTCCATGTCCTTTAAATCTTCTGTCTCCTCCTGTGTGTCGCTGTCGTCTACTGGAGCTGTGTGGTCAAAGTCGTCATTGTCATAGACAATGGTTTCCTCTTCTTCCTCCAATTTTATGTTTATACCCTCAAAATCCGTTGGCGTCTCCTCCTTTTCCCTCTTTCTCCTTTTATACACTTTTTTGACTCTCTTCTTGGGCAAGTCGTCGGAGATTTCCTCCATTTTAATCAACTCTTCTAATGGTACGTCCGTGATTTGTTCCTCCTTTATTTGTGCATCGGGCAGGTCTTGGATTGATATAGTATTGGTGGTGATTGTGTACGGTAACGACAGATTGAGTTCTTTATTTATTGATTGTAGGTAATCCAAGGAGAGCTGAAACAAGCATTTTTTTATTCAATGAGATTGCAACTGAGAACCTGGTTGTAAAAGAAGACATGGTGCGGGTCTTCAGTTACCCCACTTCTCACCAGACGAAACACATGAGCAGAAATACTTTCATGTCAGTCATATTTGACGCTTTGCTTCTTTCCCAGCTAGCCTATTTATGCGTATCAAGGAAACTGAACACTACCAAAGTGAAACTATATGGAGATTTAAAATCATACAAGTTTTAAAGTGTTTATAACGCAACACTCTCCAGACTAACTTTAAAGTTCTTTCTAGAGGCTACCACTACTAGGTAACTATCTATAGTTACCTAAGTTACCTTACTAAGCTCTAGCTTACAAAAAGAAATTACTGTAGCGCTATTACTCTAACTCTTAATGTCTAATAGCTGAATTTATTGGAGACAGTTTATAAGTTCTCAATCAACATTATTCTATTTAGTTAGAAAGTGGAAACTCAAACAGGTGTAAGGTCATGTACCAATGATTCATAAATTAAACGCATTTTTTCTTCTATTTAATTTCTATAATCATTTGATAGAAATGTAAAAACATTACAATCTAACAAACAAAATTATGATCTACAGGTTTTTAACCAGAACTAATAAACTGCAGTCCCAGTTTTATATATGGGTAGAAACTATTCATATATAACAGTTTTTAAATAACGTAAGATTGGGGCTTTAAATTTACAATGTAATCAAGCAAAATTAATTAGTAATAAAAATTGTAATCATTCAACGATGATTTAAATCAATAATAAAAGATGGACACATTAAATACTTTGAACCATTTGTTGGAATAGCAGACAGGGATTAAATAATTCCAGTTTCCACTACATGAAGGGAAAATTTCCATTCCTAATGTATCATTATTATATCAATCATCTTTCAATCAATTATTATATATTTACATTACTTAATATGTATGTATTATTAAATATATACATTAATTATTATGTATATATTATATATAAATACCGATCTCTGCTCCAGCAACGAGTACTTGAGAAACTCTTGGGTGTTGCAGCATTTCTCCTTGAAAGATACGGATCTGACAAGCATAGCGCTGCAGTAGCTGCATATTTGATGTGGGAGGCCATCACATTCGGTAATCTGAAATAGAAAAAGATGCATTGTTCACTTGAATAATGTTTGGAACTGGTCCCGAACAAGGCATTTGGTCAAGGGCCACATGGCAGCTTCTGCTGGTGTAGGAACAGGCAGGCTCGTCCCAAGGAGTACCATTGCCTCACAGAAGACAAGGTTGAAGTGAAAATAGTATACTTTCATGTTTCATTTGGAGAGTGAGATAAGCAGTGCCGGGGTAAAATTTTCGGGGTAAATTTTTTGTGATGTAGTGATTCACCCCCCACTTGTCCCCCCCCAGTGACGCATAGTTTTTTTATTGTACAATTTAAATTTTATTTATTTAATAGAATCTAATAAGAATGTCAAGAAATCTAATAAGAATGGGAGGGTTCCCCCCCTGTCTGTTGTTCTTAACCAAACTTAACAACAGAAGCGCTAATGCATGGTTATAAAAAAAATAACCAGGAAAGTTAATAAAAAAAATAAGCTAACGATTAAGCTATTATTATTATTATTCTGTCTGAGTCGGATTGCTGTGTTAGATCAGGAACTCACTTAATTTAAAAAAAATTTGATGTAACAAATGGCACGAGTATGAAGTCTCCCACTTCCTATATTTATCATGTTGGCAGTACTGTGTATGGAGTTTTATTACAATTAATAAAACGTGCGTACTTTCTTAGTGAAAATAACAAGCTTTAAATTTTTTTTCTCGTAAACTGAATGTGACTGGAGACTTCTGCTTGTTGAATAATTCATTAGTGATATTTCTATATTGTTTAAAATTTTTTTATTATTCGCATCTTCGAAAACCCTGAAATTTATCAAAATTACGTTCCATTTCATCTTTCGTAAGATTTTTTGATTTAAAAACATAGCTTATTAAATTTTTTAAGCGTCTCCGGCAGAAAAAAAAAGCGTTACTGTGCTTGGTACAAACCTCCTTAACCCCACCAAACTTACAGTGTATTTGAATTTGGGCAACTCTATTCAAAAAGCAACCTCAGTGCCTGATTATAATAAGTCATAAACATATAAACGATCTGTTGATCACACAAATAGGTGTCCAGACTCGAATGTGGGAATCGAACCCACAACCCATGACACCCTAGTCAATACCTTGGCAAGTACCCTACGGAGTCATCAAATTGAATAAGTAAATTAAACAAATTGAATAATTTTTAACATCAGCAATTTGCAAACTCAAAATCAAATTCATAAGAAGGGAAAAGTTTAAGTTTTATATTGTATAAGTAAATAACATGTAAATTACATGTTATCTTTACTTTGTAAATACTAACTGTAAGTAGATAACATGTAAAGTACATGTTATCTACTTACAGTATTTAATATTGCAAATAATTATTTTTCAATAAATTTTAATATTGGTTGGTATATCCTAATTGAAAAAAACTATTTGTAGACTCGTGACTAATTTATGATTTATTTAAGCGAAACATGGCGCGATTATTTTTTGTGAATTTTAAAATCTTTAATAAAAAGAATAATAAAAGAATATCGTATAATTAACTTATATCGAATGTTTATAACTTATTCCCGTGTAAAACAAAAAGTAAAAATTAAACAATCGGACAAACCTGTATTCCTGTTAGAATTTCAAACGGTTCCGCCAATTTATAACTAAATAAATTGAATAACTTTATGTCCTTAGTAAGGCACACGCGACAGATTAAGAGATCGTCCATTTTACAACCACATCAATTGCTTTATCACAAAATATTTATTGTATAAACAATCCTAACAGGAGATTTGAATTGAAATGAAGTTTACAAATAATGTTTAAATGTACAGAGCAACAAACACAATAGAGACTCGGCTAGCAGTATCTACTGAGCCGAGATTACACTACAACATGGTGTCCTCTCTGTGTCGTAACCGTAAAACTCTTTGTTTGTAGTCCTAGTACTGTAGGGACGTTACCTATACAAGTAACGGTTTTTGCAAACAAGCTATAAATAAATTAACTTTCTAAATTTTTAAAAAAATTAATACGTAAGCTCTTAAAATCTAAAAAAAAGACTATGTTTCTCAATTTTAATATCAAGAATAAATCTTAAGATTTTATACAAATTTGTTATGTTACAAATTTATCTTTGAAGATTTTCAATGTGATTCTAATTGTGCTACAACTAAGATTCAAAATTAATTAATATACTATAATTTATTTTTACTAAAAATGAAAAGTACAATATAATAATCGTCTGATATCACATATGTTTAGGTACAAGTTTAACTTCCCTAAATTGATTCTCAGTACATTAAATAATATATATTACACAGTCATACATTTTTATAATATATTCACAATATATATGTAGGCAACATTGTTGCACGAATGGGCAGGTCGGTCCGGAGAAGTACCAAGACCTCACAGAAGGCGAAGGTGAATTGGAAGAGTTATACTTGTGTTTCTTCTGCCGAGTGAGGTTACCGGAGCCCACTTTAGTGGGAACGCATTTGCAACCCTATGGATGTTGAATCATCAGCTCACTTGCTACCTTTCCACATTTAGCGTAACAAAAGAAAAATAACTAAAAATTTTATCCCCTGTGCCAGTTACTGTTTGTTTGTGGAAAAGGCATTAAATGCAATTGATAACGGCTTGGTATAGCAAGATAACGATGGAGCAGCAAGGTTCTCTAGTGGAGACCGTGTGTGGGGCGGCCACCCGCGAGATGGACTGACGACTTTGACTGAAGTGAAAATCCCTAGAGGAGGCGTATGGTCAGCAGTGGACGCTTACAGGCTGAAATGATGATGATGATGGTAATACCGTAAAGTTGTAACTTCATTATATCACTTTTTCTCTGTGGGTGTGCCTACGCAACGTAAAAATTTCACTATCATATTTTTTTCCAAACGCGGCAAAAGAAGTAGAACTTCATAAATCCTGACAAGTTTACATGACATAAAGTGAGTTAATTAGATGAGTCTAATCGTTACAACAATTAATAAAATACCGTTCATCGACAAGTACCTAGTTATTTCTATATTATTACGCTAGCTTTCGGTGTTTGATCACGGTAATGATAAATAACTGAAGTCAGAGGAACTCGTTACCGTACACATAACATAATTAGCCTCTAAATAGGACATCACTATTTAGTAATAAAATAAAACCAATAAAGATCTTGTACGAATTACATTACTTTTGCTAACTGCTTAAACTATATTGGTACGGGCTATCAAATCTAAATAAATTGCTATTAGTTGCAGGTGTAATGAAGTTCTTTGAATTTCAAAACATTTTTCGAATTGTGCCATAGATGTTATTACTTCCTTTAATTGGTCAAATGCTGCCCATAGACTACTTAAGTAGTGCTCCTGAAATCGATTTTGTAGTTTTATCGATTTTTTTATTTTTATCATATGCATTATGTGTATGAGTTTATCAATGCATTACTTATAATTCAACCGAGTAACCGTTGTTTTGTTACAAAGCAGAGAGTTTATTTGAATTTAATGCAGACAGTTAATTTTAGGTTTCTGGTGTGTAATAATATATTGTCATCATTAAACGAATAAAATGACGTTGTTATTATCAAAGTAAGTCAAAAGATTCATACTTAAGTGAAATAACAACTAATCTCACTGTTGTACTTAGGTTGTTTAAATTTTATAGAATGTAATATTTACATCAGTTTAAAAGTTAAGGTAAACTTAAAAAAAACAATAACTATTTTATTATAATTTCGTTAAATTTTGAACAACTTGAATAAAGTTGTTCGAATTTCTTTTGCTAAAATCGATATTCTAATTATAAAACACTCGGACGGGTCGACTGCAAAGCACATCACTACGGATTACACAACGCACGCGTCCACAGATACTGTCATGGCGGTGCTTTTATACATAGAAAAATAAGTTCATTTCATATCAGATTCCCAAGGTGATCAGTTAGTAATCTGTGCCTGTATTTGTACCCTAAAAATGTTCTATTGCTCTTTCGTCAGCATACATTATATTATCTGTGAGTGTGGTGATACATTTCCCACCGAAGAAGCGCTGAAGGAGCATTTGGAAAGGGAGCACAACCACAAAATCGAGAAACATGAAGAATTCCGTTGCGACACAGTAAGTTATTGATACATTGTCTCAGCGCCCGCGCGGATTTCTTGGAGACGCCCTAATTAGTCTGTGCGAGCTGTATCCGTGCACTTGCATACGCTATACTTTTATAGTCTACAATTAATTTCATCCGCACAATTGATAAATTCATTTACTGACGATAGTTGTGTTAATCTTGCGGGATTTCAAGATTAATGTTTTTATAAGGTAAGTTTCTCCGAAGCGTTTGCGAAATGCTCCATCTCGAGAGGTTCATTTGTTTTTTTTTCGGTTGTACAGATTTTTTTTAGAAACAATAACGATTGTATTACGAATATAGTATTTAAATTAATGTTGTATTTAAACATTTTTTAAATTTTATATTAAGTTCGATATTTTTATCGATTATTCAGATTTAATCTCTATTTCAACTATTTAATTTAATTTTGACTGCTAATGGATCAGAATACAGCTCATAAACACATTTTGGTTATAAATTATTTTTAATATATTATTTTTTTACTGACCACTTAACTTTTTATATTTAGTGAACCATGGAAATTTGTTAATAAATATAGTTGTCTCATCACACTCAAATTTTTTTGGTGTTGTTGTTTCATTGTTAGAATATATTTGTAGTGTGCAATAACTGCTCATCATAATTTATGATAAGCACTGGGGATATGAGAAGTTTTTAAAATGCTCGGAAATAGATAATGCACTGTTGGATAAGTGATAAGTTGATCAGGGATCCAAGGATTTCAATTCCGGTGCCATACACTAAAGCAAATGCTATCTTTATGTGCAAATATTGGTTTAACAGTAATCTTGGTATATGGTAGTTTTTGATACCGGTCAGTTTTGAAGCATCAATTTTCTTATAGTTAATTCTAAACTTCAAAACCGTATTTCTTCTGTTTTTCATTTGCTTGTGGCCCCCTCCAAAAGTTCACAGTACACAATAACGCAATGGTTATTAAATCATCACCAGTGTACTCTCGTTGCAGTGCGATAAGATCTTCGCGACGGAGAAAGCATGCCTCATACACCAGCGGGTGCACACGCAGCCTCGTATTCGGGACAGGCCGAAGGAGCCCAGGGAGAAGAATGTCGTGAAGCGCTACTACAATTCGAAGAATATCGTTTGCGAGGTGTGCGGCAAGAGATATGCCGTAAGTGTACATCAACTGACTTGGTACAGGGGCGATGAAACGGTGAACTGTCGTAACTATCGCTCACCTACTGAACTATTTTAGAGTTTTGGCAACACCCAAGTATGTGGTTATCATTTGCATCTGTGATATTTTAAATGAATAAAAGCAAGGCTATTTGCAGGATCAAGTTCCAACCTTAATCTGATGGTTTAATGGCTTGTAAACAATTGAAACTTGTTTCTGCATCAAGATATATGCCGAGTGAATTATTTTTTACTTTACTAGGGAGGGTTGGTTGGGTTGGCAATGCAAAACGATTGTGATGGGGTAAGAAAATTTAGTGAGAAATAAGTAAATCCTAGAAAGTATTATGAATATATCCAAATTCTACTACAAACCAAATTGTTGGCAACAGTCACCGGCGGCTGGCAGTTTGAACTTAGCAAACATCCTGTATAGTGTATACTTAAGCGTTTGTTGTCAGTGGTCAGGTCAGGTGGTAGCAGAGCCCTTCTTTAATGAAATGGAGATATAAAGAGCTCATTTTCAAAGTAACGCAAATAGGCGGTTGCTTATGTTAGACTTTCGAAATAGTGCAGTTAATTTTATCCCAATGAATTGTAACTAGGGCTTTATCTTGCAGTCGAACGCGGCGCTCCGCTACCACCAGCGGGTGCACACGGGCGAGAGGCCCTACCATTGCAGCGAGTGCCCCAAGACCTTCACGATGCCACTGTTCCTGCAGGTGATTTCATGATCATTATTATTATTATTATTTTTACTTTTTACCTAAATTTTACTGTCCACGCACACAAACGAACTTGTGTGCGTTTTAGTTATGAATGACCGCGTGTGAAATAAATGAGTTGCGTATAAATCGCGCACTTTTGGAGATAAGTTAAAATGAATGTAATCAATCACTTAGCGAGTGATTTAAAATATTTATCATTTTTTTATAACATTATTTATTTATAGAATTTAATAGAAAAAAATAGATTCACTTCGAAAAGCCTCCCTGTATTAACCCACGTACTGGATAAACACTATGTTCATCACACAAACATTTTCCAGTAGTGGGGTTCAAATCTCCACTCTCACACTCTGGCGCAAGAGACACGGTCCCCATCAACTACGCCAATTGGGTCGACTGGGAATTAAAGCGTTGGTCGTTTTCAGATCCACATGCGGACGCACACCGGTGAGAGGCCGTACGAGTGCCCCCATTGTCCGAAGGCCTTCAGCAACAAGGCAGCACTCTTAAGGCACGATAGAGTGAGTGTTTTGCACCTTGAATGCGACTCTAGTCTGTGACTGCTGCCGCAGAAGAAAACAACGGTGTATTACTGTTGACCACAACAAAGAAACGCTTTCCAAAACAATAACACAAAACCATACGCACAATAATCCAAAACCCCTGGGGATGAGTTGATCGCTCCCAAGCTATCTCTGAGCCGTGATAGCTCAGTGTCCGGGCGCTCGCCTTTATTTCAATATACTCTAGCAACCTGAGTTCGATCTCCGGTGCCAGCACCAATGAAGTTTTTAACTTTAAGTGCTGTCTTATCACGTGCTCCGCGGTGAAGGAAAACATCGTGAGGAAACCTGCATATTTTCGAAATAATAACAAAAAAAAAAATTTCGAAGATATGTGAAGTCCGCCAATCCGCAGTGGGGTCGCGTGGTGGACTATGCCCTGATACCCTCTGTATAGAGGAGGCCTTTGCCCAGCAGTGGGACATGTATAGGCTGTTACTTTAAGCTATCTCTGAAAGGAGAAAAAATCAGTTGAATAACTTTTAATTTTTAAAAAAAAAATATGAATTACAAAAAAGTGGATACCTACGGAGTTTCTTTCGCCTGTTTCTTCTCATTACGAAACGGTGGTAGATTTAAAAAAAAAAAATATGACTATCGATAGATGAAATATAAGTTTCTTATGTCGTTATTATGAATGAATGATTTTGATTTTTGATTTTGATTTTAGTACATTCAAGAGCCTAGCCTAGCCAGCATACATGATTTTAAACTGTTTTCCTGACCTTTGCAGGTGCATACGGGTATAAAGCCCTACGTGTGCCCACAGTGCGGAAAGACCTTCACGCAATCCAATTCGATGAAACTCCACGTCAAGACCGTTCACCTGAAGATGCCAGCACCGTACAAGAGCAAGAATCGAAGGAACAAGACTAGTAGAGGTAAGTCACCGTCAAAATTTCTTTATTCAATACAGGCCAATGTTAAGTTCTTCTTAATTTTTTGTAAGTTTATACAACGGGAGGAATAATTACTATTTTATGTTAATGAGTGCGCGTAATGACAAAGAATAAAGTAAATATTTTCATTACAAAAAAAACTTGAAATACTTATTAACAGTGTATGAAAATGCCATCTATTGACAATTTGTTTAAATGGAAGATAGCAAACTTCTTTCTTTTGTGAAAAACACCAGTTCATATTTTCTTATTATTAGGTCGGTAATATCGAAAAATATTATGCATATTTCATTACTCAGTAATTTGTATCTAAATGTAATTTCCAAAATACACGATTTACCAAAAAAGAAAAAAGGTCCTAACAATTATGCGTGGCCGTTAAATAATTTTGTAAATAATTTTCTGTGATTAGGGCGCGAATTTCGATTTTCAGTTTAAATAGATTTGGTTTTGGTTTGGTTTAAACAGATTTTTCGGGAATTTGGACCTTATTTTTTCTTGACTAGTAATTTAAAAAAAAAATTGAGTACGTCTTTCAAAAGTGTCATTGCGTCGACAATAATGACGACACAGTAATTGTAACGATATAAGTTTTTTTAAACATATGGCCTCTAGGATTCTATTTTACGAGAGGAGAAAATATTTATTGTATATAAAACTGTATATATAGCTATGTGTCTCCTGTGGTATTTCTATTTTTATAAAGGTTTTTTCATTAGTCATTTATTAATATCGTATTACGTTAACTATAATTCAGGTCAATGTTCGATCAGCCGTAAAGTAACAGCCTATACATGCCCCACTGCTGGGCAAAGGCCTCCTCTGTACAGAAAGTATCAGGGAATAGTACGCCACGCGACACCACTGCGGATTGGCGGACTTCACATGTCTTCGAAGTATTTTTTTTGTTATTATTTCGAAATTATGCAGGTTTCCTCACGATGTTTTCCTTCACCGCTGAGCGCGTGATAAGTCAGCACTTAAAATTAAAAAAATATCATTGTTGCCTTCTGGAATTTCATGGTCTAAACGCTGGAAAGGGTTCAAAACAAGGAAATTAAAACTAGTTTCATTTAACAAAGACGAAGGTTTTAAAGAATTGTTGAGTTTTTCTAAGTATCACCCTTGATTGCAGGGATGAAGGTCGAAGTGGAAGTAGAGTCTGGCATCTACAAGCAGGACATCAAGCCCGAGATCAAGCCGGAGTTCATGGAGGAGGAATACCAGGAGGCGGATGTGATGGTGGAGGAGGATGTATACGAGCAAGTGCAGGCCCAACTCTACTCGCAGGACGGTGAGGTCTACCAGGAGGTCTACGAAGGGGAGATTGGAGAGGAGGATCTGTATCACGAAGTGGTCGTGGAGCACCCGGAAGTGACCCTGTACGAGATGGACAAGCCAGAAGTCCTATACGAGGAAGTGTACGAAGATGTGTAATAAGGAGTTTGTTGTGAAGTGTTTAATGTAATGCCCTCTGAGTCGGGGCCTCTATCTAGCAACTTTACAGTAGTCGGGCACCGTTGAGCGTATATAATGGTATCAGTATTGCCATAACCAAAATTGTATAATGATTTTTTTTTAAATTTACCGCTTATATATACCAAACGGTTGTGTGGCTTTGGTTTAAACGGTGTTGTATATCACGGTAATGTAGTGATGCGGAATGTTAGTTTTTTATGTGAAAAGTATGTGAATGAACATATGTAGTAGGTTTACCTTATGATAAGCTATTACGGCTGCTACAACCTGACAAGTTGTAGATGCATAACCCCACTCGCGTGACGAAACGCGAAACTGCAATACTTCCACATTACACCGTTCTTCTGTGTGGTTGTGGTACTACTGTACGAGCCTGCCCATTTGTGCAACAGCAAGATTCTGGTGTGGGTGCGTACCACAGATGAAATATATCATGAAAGATTTAAATATGTATTAATTGCACAATGTATAAGTAATGTACACTTTTTGTAGACTGTAATTGTGTTTAAAAGATATATGCGCAAATTTCTTGTTCAGTATGTTCCTGTTAAGGCGGACACAGCCTATACTGAACTCATCTAATTAAGATTTGTGCAAATAGCTCTTGATTAAAAACTGTTTGGGAAAGTATATTGTATTTACATTTAGATGGATAAACATTTAAAAATTTTGATTATACATATTTATAGAGTACCCTTCTGTAATAATTGTCGTCTGTAACATATTTATAAAAAAAAGTTATTCACATGAATGCAACACAATAAATATGGAACATGTGGTTTTGTACTGAATATTGCTTTGAAAAATCTTGAAAAGCGGAAGTGCTGGCAACAATCGAAGATTGGAAAACCCGTGATATGGGTTGACAATTTAACCATCATGCAGAGAATGAATTTTTGTGCTTGCGACCGCACCCTTACTTAATTAGTGGTTGCAATCACCATCCATGATTGACTGAAGAAGTATATATTGAAGAGTGAATAGGCTTTAAATAAGCTAAATAAGATAGCTTGGTTACTTTCTAAAACAGGATTTTTGTTAACACTCCCCATAACACATGTGCCTACTACACGAGGCCGACGTTTGTTGCACGTTTATTTTGTATTATAAAGATCTTTTATGTTTCCTTAGTACTGTCGAGTTAGTATTTAATAAAGCTTCGAGCAATTTTACGTTTATTTTTTTTGTTTTATGAAACACTGGTCACGGCAGAAGCTATGGGATACCAATGCTGCTAAATACTACTGATTTTATAAACGATTACTAACTGCGGTAGGGGCATGCAACAGTTTTCATTGTTGCAGGAATGGGCAGGTCCATCCGGGTAAGTACCGCGACCTCGCAGAAGACGAGCGTAAACTGGAAGTATGAAAAGTACTTTCGCGTTTCGTCTGGTGAGTAAGGTAGCCAGGGCCCACTTTATTAAAAGGTGGCAACCCATCTGCCACCCTACGGGTGTTGCAAATCTCCATGTGCGGCGGTTATCAGTTGAACAGCCAGTTCGCTTGATATCATGTTAAATAAAAAAAATCTGCTCGCATGTCAGTGCTTCGCAACAGATTTATCTTTGGCTAATTACATTCACATTTAAGTTAATACATAAAGTTCAGAAAAAAAAACAGTATATAAATTACGTTACTAAAAAAATATGTTACAAAAATAAATATATGAATTGAATGGTGAAGATATTAACAAATTATAAAAAGATTATTGGCACTAGTACAATTTTATTGAATGTCTGAATCTAGATAATATATTTTTGTCAAAAATATCTATTTTTTTTTCCTTATTTAATAAGTTGAAGGATTTAATGATCTACCATTTTTATTTTACACTATCTTCTACCATTCATACTCATGAGAGTCTTAAAAAGCGTGACTTTTTGAAAAACGTCATCAAGCAGTTGATGCCATGATCAAATTGAATTTAAACATTTTTAATGCATTATAACAAACTATTATTAATGATTTATATTTTTACGCTAATACTATTATTAACTACTTAAAACTAATATCTGACAGTTACGAGTTTCACGTGCTAAACTTTGAGTATTAGATCACTGTATACCACAAAGTGAAAGGCGTTTGTGTTGTCTAAATTTCTCTCTTGGCTAAGTCACAGGTTATGTGATGAGCATATTATTTAATATATTAGAATTGTCTCCTATTACGAGGTAAAAATCGATATATCTATGTTCTACATGGATGAAGTCATTGAGTTACTAATTAGATCTAAATAGTAACTGCAATGAGATCTTTTAAAAGCGTATGTAGTTTTATTGCTATAACTGCGTAGGTTTCATGAAATTTTAAGCAATACAGAATTGAAGTAACCTCGTTCTTGAAGTTACACTTCTTTAGGCGCGTTATGATAAAATTATGAGAGATGCGCGCGCATCACGCTAAAACGCTTATTATAGATGGCAGCATAGTTCTCAATAAATAATGTAGATGGCGCTTTCATATTTTTATTATTTATATCCTGTTCCGGTCTTTTTATTATTTTATTGTAATTAATTTGCATGCAATTAAAAACTGTTTTTTGTGATTATAATATGGTTATGTTAGTTGCCAGTGGTGGTAGTTAACATTTTAACAAACGAAACGACCGTTGTCCGTTCACGCGTAACTAGTTTTTAAAACGGATTACTAGTCGATTAATTAACATCGTGGGAAAAACAAGATATTTTTAGGCTAGATATATATAGCTAGATATTTATAGGCTAGCTAGCAGCGCACGCCAATATCGTTATATATTATAATAAATTAGTTAAGTTTATATAATTCGTGAGCAATAAACTGGTTAGATCAATGGGAAAACACTTATATCTTTATGTATACAAGTATTTTTCCTAATGAAATACTTGTAAGTAAGTACATATTTAGAATATTCTGAACTTTATTATACGATCGTTAGTGAGACATATTATAACTGTGATTATGGGATATTTTTATTAAAAACTCGATGAAATAACAAGAACTTGATTATAAACAATGTATATCGTGAAAATACCACAATATTAACTCATTTATCATTACGCCTTTAGAATTTTAATATCAAGTTAAGAATAATAAGAATCTTCATTTTAAGTAAAGCCTTAAAACTATGTACAAACCATGTTTTTCTACTACAGGAGCCAAATATCCTCTTTTGGCACTTAACTAGATAAAATGTGTATTATAAAGTTAATTAACAAAAATAATATTAATAACGTGTTTAGTTATTATCTTATATTGTAACGATGTAAGGTGTAAGGTGTTTAAAAAGTTCTAAGAAGGTAAACCTGGAGTGTTCAATTCAATTTTGTTTATAAAAGAGATGATTATATTTAAATCAAAATCCGATTTGAATTCATGTTATGGTTGCAAGTCTGTAGCACTTACTATCAAAAAATATTTGTAATAAAGCAATATTGTATTCGACTCGTCAAGTTTACCAATCACTTTGATTATGTACTTGTTATGTACGGGCAGATCAGAATCAAAATAGAAATAGCTAACGAAAAAAGTTTCAGAATTAATTGAAGAAATTACAAATAATTATTTTATAATCCTCTGTATAGAGGATGCCTTTGCCTATCAGTGGGACTTGTTTTATTTTTCTGGTCCGTCTTTTACATAAAAAATGTAAAAGTTAATCCACTTTATATAGTACAATTAGGTAGTTATAAATATCGTAGTTGCATTTATCACTCTTCTCTACTTTAATTAAGGAACATTTTGCCTTTATGTGGTTTGCTCCTATTTATTCACTAAGCGAGTTTATAAATTTTAAAGGGATAAAATAAAAACTAAAATAAAGTTGTCTTTTTATTTATTACGAAGTGCTATGTGCTATCTAGGCACAAAATGTCGAAATTGGTATTTCGACATTTTATTCCTAGATAGCACTTCATCTGCAGCTGAATATATTTTTTTTTTTTTTTTTTTTTTTTTTTTTTTTATATTGTGGCATTTTGTTATCCTTTATGCCAATGACAAGTAAAAGGAAGGAAACAGTGGTTTTGTTGAAATATAAATTTATTTCAACAGGACTAGGAAGCGGAATTTGGAAAAAGGAAAATAATCAAGAAGATTTACGATACATATATTCAATGTGATAAAGTATTATTAATTACAGAATATTTAGTTTTATTAATATCGTATTTACACAAATACACATAATATATATACATATATACACACACATATATATATGTATATATATATATATATATATATATATATATATACCCATATATACACACATACATACGCATACATTTATATATATAAACCTATTAACCAAATTATACTATAGTTTTATAGCATTTTTCTGAATAAATGAAGCTAATGTTTTATATACACAAGGGTCGTTATATGCTAAAAGGAATGGTATATTAATAGGAAAAGGTATCCGGAGCAATAGAAGATCAGTAAAAAGAGAGGAGCGGTCATATAATGGGCAAGAAAGGAAAATGTGGTTCAAATTTCCTTCTTCCGTTCCACAAGCACATAAAGAAGTATCTACAACATGAATCTTAAACAGAAAAGACGGAGAACAGCAGTGACCTAATCGCAAACGAATTAAAGAACTAGTACAATATTTATTTAAATTGACTTGAGTGTACCAAGGCTTATTTGGAATTGTCGGTTGAATTGAGGAGTAGAATTTTCCTTTCACTAGGCTATGAGATGTCCAGTAATGTTCCCAGGACTCTTTCAAATATCGCTTCGACAAGGAAAGAAGATCGTGACAATAATTAGTGTAAGGATATATATCACCGCTTAACACGGCTTCATTTGCTAACTCGTCTGCCTTTTCATTTCCTTTAATGCCGCTATGCCCGGGAATCCATGCAAAAACTACTGTAATGTTTTTAACTTTGGCATTTGTATAACAATTTTCTTATTTCTAAAATTATAGGATATTGGCATTTTGATTTAAGCGGAAAATGTGCTAATGTTTGTAAAGAA